TTATGGATCAGGCCCAGCACCAGGTTATGCAGCAGATGAACCACATGATGCCTCCTCCACCCAAGATGAACAGCCTGGCTCACTCGGCACCCTCGTCTCAGCTCTCATCGCCTAACGTCTCTCCTCCCCATTCTTACGCCAGCGCATACACAAGCAACCCTGGCTCTTACTTGACGCGCAACGTGAGCGGCGATCTCAGTCCTGCCGGCCTCAACCACCCCATGGATATCAACCTCTTGGCCACCGCCGCCTCGCAAGTTGAGCGCGAAAACTCGCTTCCCTCGCATCACATGGGTCTTGCCAGCAGACACACATACGGCACTCATCCTTACAGCCACCATCCTTACTCGACTGGCCGTCTTCCTTCTCTCTCGGCTTATCACTACAGCTCCAACCCCACTTCCCAGCCCATGTCGCGCTCGCACTCGCATGAGGATGACGACCCTTACTCTCACCGCATGACCAAGAAGTCGCGTCCTGGCTCTCCTCAGTCGACAGCACCACCATCGCCATCATTCTCTCACGAGTCTACTTCGCCAACTCCCGACCACACTCCTTTGGCTACTCCTTCTCATTCTCCTCGGCTTCGTCCGCAGTACTTCCATAACGGTGTGCAACTCCCCACACTTCATCATCTCTCCCTCCAGCACCAACCGCCTCCCGCCCTTGCCCCTGTTGAGCCGTCCGCTGACGGTCAACAGCCGTACATTCCGACGCACCACAGCGGCCTACGTATCAGTGAGATCATGGAACGCGAAGACGGAGCCCAACGAAAACTGCCCATCCCAATGGTGCCATCAGCCGTCAAAGTCAACGATCTGCTCAACAACACCAACGGCTTTAGCAGCGGCCAGTCTAGCACTACCGGCAGTATAGCTGGCGACAACTCGAATTAAGCACGCCTCAAAATAGTTTGTTTGAAGTCATTGTCAAGGCGTTGGCCTTTGTGGCTATGGCACGATATCATGGCCTGGGTGTTTCGGTCAATTATTCTCGGAGTCTCTGTTATTCTACGTTTTGGCACGGCGTTTTCACTACCCTATAGACTGGACTGGAGTCGGTTTGATAGTATTATTGAGCGGGAAGAGCGATGGAGATTCACGAAAGGCTACGGAGGATACCTGCAATCGGAAAGATTGCCATCTGTTTTGTTATTGCTTTCGACAGCCCCCAATGACTTCGTTTCTGTTCTGCAATTTTAGCGGCTTTGCTTCTCTACAACTAATTCGGATGAATCGAGGCTCCTTCCTCTAGATAGACGCTTGCTTCTTGCTCTCCACTTAACACAACCTTTCGAAACAGACTCATCCTCTGTTTCGCCAAATACACAAAACATTCAATACTACGTTCAGACCCAAACATCCCACGCTCAGGTGGTCGCTCGTTTTGATCATTACTCGCCCTCCGCAGCATCAGCTCCACAAAATCTCCACACAACCAGTCGTCTTGCGCGTCCATGCAGATTCGTATGTGTTGGCTCTCCAGAGTTTTATCCACCATCAGTCCACATGCTTGCCCCAGCGCCATCTCAGCCTCCCCACGGGCCCCTTCCAGAAACGCACCACCGTGCAGAATGAACGTCTCACCTAATTGTTGGCAGTCGGAGCAATGGATTTGCGTACGAAAGGATGACTGGGCGCTTAGTGGACTTACGGGATCGTCGCCTCTCATTTCACTGTCTTGCCTTCTTGGCCAACGAATTGATCCCCCCCTCATGTTGAGTCATCCCTAGTACACAAACGTTCTTGTTGCTGTGCAGACTTACTGCAGGTTACCCCGATATGATCGTCACTACACCGAAGTCACGCCATGGAGATTCGAGTTGTCCACCGAAGCATTTGCATGAATGTGCCCCCTGATCGACGGAGGCAGAGGTCGCTCTGGACGCTGACCCTCCTCTATTCAACGGAGAGAATGCTTGTCTCGCAAGTCTTGTCTTGTTCCCCACCCTTTATCGGACGTTTGGTGTGTCATGGCACTTTGCAACAACATCGATACAGCGAGCCATCTTTACCTCTTGTGACCAAGTACATATGGGACAACTGTCTTGTACGAACGCATGGTCGCAAGTATTGCCCAAAGCGCACCTCGTCCTCGGCCAAACTCGGGATCACGTTTTCTGCACAAAACAACCTGACTAGGTTGTGATCGTCGCACACATTTCTTACTGGTTTCTCTTTCACAAGAAAACGACAAGAAAGGAGCACCGTCTTCGGGTCATCTGTCCTCACCAATATTTTTACCTATGCCTTTTCTCAGATGGTCGGTGTGGCTTGCAGGTACAGAGTACTTATGTGCCGAGTTGAAGAAACCGGATTGCCGAATTGAGCAAGACCATCTCCCATCTCCAGGTTTCCCTTTCCTGCGGGGATCGCGGGGAAACAAAGACAATCACAACCTCTTGTCTTGCACACGACAGGATGACTAGACAGAAAGCTTCATTACAGGGTCAAGAGACTAGCAATCCGGTCTTCTGGCTCTGCTCCACTGCTCTAGGATAGACCTAGAGCGCTCTGATATTCTTCACGGCCGTATCTGTTCGCAAATCCACATCGTTGCTTGTGTATGCGATAAGGACATGCTTTCGCGCCCGTGATCGCATCAACGCCAAACTACCGCANNTGACTACTGTCGTCAGCGCACCACTACTTTCATCTTCACCGCAAGAACACTCATTCGGACTCGGCATTCTCAACGAAACTGCCTGCCCACTTGGATGTTGCTTGGCATTATGAAGATGNNGACAAACTCTAAACCCTCCAACGTGNNGTCGTGGTGGACCACCNNAGGAGAAAATTTGACTCCTAGCTTTGCCGTCGAAAAGCGCAACTTGCACGGCTACGTCATCAGAACCGTTGANGTCGATGCACCTCGATCAATAAATCCATTTGTGTATGGAAAAGTGCCATGNGCTTGAAGCATAAACCCCGTCGGGCAGCTGGACAAGATCAGGGATCTGAATCGTGAGAGATGGCGTGGGGGTCCAATCTTAGACCAACAAGATACAGGCAGGCCGCGTACCCGCCACCACTACGTGATANNGTATTGGCACTATCAGCCCAACGATAGGCGCAAAGCAGACGGCTGAATCGATGACTGCGACATCGAGAACNNACTCTGTCTTGTCCTCGATAGCCGAGCAACAAGGACTGAACGAACAGAAAAGAGAATATTATGACATGTCCCATGAAACAGATACGTATCAGCGATTGCGGTACGAACATGGTACATCGTTCTAAGTATCTTCTTCCTCCGCACCCTTCTCTCTGGGGTCTGGGGCCGCTTCTACCCGCGCAAGCCACCTGTCTCTGCCCCTCGATTTCCCCCAGGACCAAGGCGCCAAATCAAAGGCAAAACAGACCTCCACCAATCCTTAGGGCCGCGGGTACTTGTCTGAGTACCTTGTTATCCCCAACAAAAGATCCAGCCTTACGCGCCGTCGAAGAAGAGAAGGAGCTCAGGAGTGCCACACCGAAGCTTGCTTTTGCTCTCTCTCTCTCTCTTCACACACGTACCCCGCAAACTTAGCCAGGCGCAGACTCCGACAAAGCTTCACAAAGTTCTCTGATCTCGGTGCGATTATCGGTGCTCAGGGACTTGGACCTTGTTTCGGCTGAACGTCGTATCCTCAATCAAGAGGATTGAAGGAACGGTTTTACTAGGACGACACCGCCTCATCTTCACCTTCCTCTTTGCTTTGCTTGTTACATAAGAGGAATTGTGTTTTGGCTGGGTGCCTGACGAAACCGCTAAATGGAGCCATGCAAGCCGTATTCGATAGCCAAGTCGAGGCTATGCAAGCTGCTAAGGAGTGCAGTTAGGCCCGAGAAGGTCTGTTGGATGCCTTTGTTTTGACCGCCTTTTGTTCGTCTGTGCCGACATCAACATGTTGAAAGGCACTGATGGATGTGACTGTGTGATTTTGATGTTTCATATGCATATCGATACGAGCAAAAGACACGCGGTCTACGGGGCTGCTCGGGCCTGACAGTTCTTGGGAGGTGGCCCAGTTTGATGTACTCTCTAGATGACACTGAGAGTCGTGTGTTTTGATTGGATACTAGCTAACCTCACTTTGCCATCACAGCTAACAGGGACTCTAGGCAGCTGAATTCGACTTCACAGCCTGACCTCTCCAGCGTGGGATAGGAAATCTTGTGTGATTGGATCGTTGCAGTTGCAAGATAGCAAGACACGCAGAATACTGATGTAAGAAGACGTGTGAAGACGCCGTATATGCGAGGTATGCAAGTCATCTGGCCCAATACTACAGAGCACGTGGTATTGTGGTGTAGAGTCGAGTACAGGCATGAGCTTCTTATCTCTGTCGACATCTTCAAATGTATCTGTATGTCTCAGAAGCGCGTGTGTGTAAGAGCAGCTAAGCTATCTTGCCAAACGCACATCACTATTCCAAGGTGCTTCGAAGTTCTGCATCCACTCTTTCCAATCAACATGCACAGCCCTGGTGACTGATCATCCTGTGGCTTGCACCGCGGGCCGCCGTTGCCTGCATATTGCATGATGAATCTCTTTGTTGTACAGTACAGTACTTGTACACAGGCGCGGACCCGTACTCCCTCCTATCACATGCCAACGATACACAGCCCAGACAACAACTCCCTTTCTTTCTGGAATCTTCACATGCCAAACGGGGGATGAATCTGGTGACTTCTTCCTTTTGTCTCCTCAAAACAGGGATCCTGATTTTTGCCTGATTTATCCTGGATATGCGCACGCTGTGCAACGGGAATAGAAACAAATGCTTAGGTAATCGAAGAATGTGAGGTGCATATTTGCGGAGAACATGGGACGTGGGGGTTGTCGTTTTTGCCGGAGTGTTTTCCTGGGGAGCAAAGGGGGTTTTGTGGATTTATCCGGACTGCGATAAAAACTGTTTGGAGTCGTTTTGACAGGCTGTAAGCTGGACGGCTGGTAATAGGCAGGAGGCCAGGGGCTGATCTGCCGCAAGGTCATCTGTGGGGTAAGCTGTTGTTGGTTCAATCGTCAATGATGATAGTGGCAGGTCTGTCGTCGGGTGCAGCGGTAGCAGCAGCTTCGTCGTCCTCGAGCAACGCAGCTTCATCGATCAGTCCCTCTGCGTCTGCTTCGTCGCCATTCAGCCAACCGTACTCATCGCGACCTTCGGCAGTGCCATCAGCAATCTCGGCATACGGCCGCTTGCGAATCTTGGATGGAGATGACGCGGCAAGTGTAACGACGGGAGCATCGGCAGTAGAATCTTTGTTGACGATGTCCTTGAGGCCGTCCTTGTCGATGGTGAAGGGAACCACTTGGCCCGTTTCGCCTTCGTCAGAGAAGGTTACGCCATTGTTCTTCTGCAGTCCAATGTATCTCGCGCTCTCGGGATGTTGCTGTTGTTGAGCCCAGCTTCCTAGCTTAAAGTCTCTGAACATGACCAGTCTGTTGGATATGCCAGCCTCCCATTCAGCACCTCCCATGCCAGGCACCAAGACAGCGCCCAAGCCGCTACCAGGGCGTACGCGCGTTGCGCATCCAGTGGTGACTATAATAGCCATATCATTAAGCGCAGCCAACTNTTTCAAAGCAGAAATGAGAGTGCCCATGATGCCGTAGCGACGACCGGCGGCCCATCTAGCAGCTTCGGACTTGTGACTCGAAAAGGTGTTTGCGCGATTGCGAGGGTAGGATACTTCAAAGATGGCGTGCAGGTCGTCTATAATCATTAAGGCGGTCCTTGGCGAAGGGAATGATTGTGGAGGATGTAGGGTAAGAGCTAGCAAATGGGCAACGGTAGGAGTCGAGAAAGCGTGGAAGCGATCCAATCTGGTGTCCTGATCAGGCTCGGAGCCATGAGTGGATGGGTTTGCAGCGAGAAAGTCGTTCAGTCTAGACTTTGCAAAAGCTGTCGTCGCATCNNTGGTCTTGTATCAGCGGCTGCTTAGACGAAGCGTACAGCAAAGAAGTAAGGAAGACACACCTACCCAGACGACCGAGCTGCCATTGTTCAAGGCGTGTGCTGCCGTTTGCAAGCTGTAAGGTCGATAAGTGTCGGTCGGCAATGGCAGCAGATGTCGGACTCACGCGAGAGAAGTCTTGCCTGAGCCGGAGGGACCCCAGATCTCGGTGATAGTACCACGCCCGAGTCCGGGATTGGTGGTGCCGAGGAGGGCATTGAGTTGTTCAAGGCCGGTGGATATGGTTCGGGGTCCGCGAGACTGTAAACTGAGGAGTGCTTCTGAGGCCGAGACGGTGGGTAGGCGATCTGACAAAGAGTCAGACTTNNGGTATGCGGGCAGTTGGTGGACACGCGACCTACGGGAAGATGGCGGCGGGGCTCGCGAAGTGCTCGAAGGGGCCGAAGGCGGCGGTAGCGGGACGGCAGGTTCAGACATGTTAATGGCGCGTCCGACAGCCACAGGCCATGGGGATATGAAGCTGTTAGGATATAGAGTATGTTCTGGCCATGTCCAATTACTTGCAACAGGGAGACAAACAGCGACGAGCGCGACTGCTAACCACCGGCCCTATCGATTGCGGTTCGGCATCGCCGGCACGGTAAAAGGACCCCCGCCTTCTCACATGACTTTGCATCTCTCACCAACTTCGACCTTGTCCGGAGATGTCTGGTTTTACCAGAAGCGTTTTGCAAAGCCAAGTCATCCTTCTGCACCTTTGACACACGATTGCGCTTTCAGCTGTCGCCATCGTGTCATTCTCTGCATAGATCTGCTACATCCTCTACTGCTTTTGTATAACACTATACGCCATGGGTGGCCAAACCGCCTTCGGCCTCGCCGAAACTGTTCGCGGCCCACTCCCCATGACTTGCTTCAGCTCTTACCCTTGTGTCTACACTCAAAAATACTACCACTCCTTTCCCTATTTGAAGTTTTTCGAGGTTGTTCACTTTGCTTTCTTTACTTGTGTGAGATTGTACGATACGATGCTGTGTTTTTCCGTCTCTCCTTCGCCTCTTCGTCTGCCTTGCTTCACTTCTTGAGCTGTCTCTCTTCTTCTTCATCTGCGACGTTACTTACCATTCCACTCGCTTAATCCCGACATGGACGCCCTTCTGCATAGTGGCGCATTTGCCTTAACCACTATTCTACTTGCTGCATTAATTGCTTCTCTCTTCATCTTCAGCTCCCACTTCCAAAGACAATTGGACGCCGAATCAACAGTGCCAGGATGTCGGCGCTTTGGTCTCGTCGGAAAGAGCAACATGTCTGATCAGTACTCACCTGAACACAATGGAGAGAACTTTACATCTTCGGCTGCATGCAAGATCAAAGCTCTCTTCATCTACCCGATCAAGTCCTGCAAGCCTGTGGAAATCGAGCACGACGATGTCATTCTAACTGGACTGCGCTATGATCGCCAATTCTGTTTCGCTCAGCTCAAGACAGAAGAGGCAGAGAAGGATGAGGGAGACCTCAGCGTCAGTACTAAATGGGTTCACAACTGGAAATTCATCACACAGCGCAATGTGCCCCGATTGAGCCAGGTCGACGTCAAAGTCTGGGTACCGGACCCGTCATCTCCTTCGTACTCCCCAGAGGCGGAATGGGTAAAATCCAAGGGTTGTGTCGTTTGCTCATTTGCCTTCACCCCGGAGTGGTCCTGGAATCTGGATGGCCTCAAGACCGCATTCTCACTTCTGAAGACCAAGATTGCTCAGCGCGATATCAGAGCCGAGCCGCGCCTTACCTTCAAGCTCCCTATCGCCCCCGACGAGAAGAGGTCACAGAATTACAACCGAGAAGTCATGAAAATCTGGAAGTGTTCACCTACGGCCATCAACATCACATCCGAGATACCGACAGACACACTGGCCAAGTTGAAATACTTCCTTGGTGTCTCCAATCCTCTTGCTCTCTTCATGGCAGATCCTGAAAACCATCGTCAAGTCTTCAGGAATGCACCTACAGTTGAAGAGGCTGGCTACCAACCTGGTGTGGGCTTTGCCGATGCTGTAAGTCATCTCTACATCCAAGCTTAACTAGCAAATACTGACTTTCGTCCACAGTATCCACTGTCCATAATGGGCGTTGCCTCCGTGCAAAAAGTCTCAAAGACAATCAAGAATTTGCCGACTCCTCATCTCGATGCCCTCCGTTTCCGCGCAAACATCTACTGTACGTATTGTTCACAACTTCAATCAGTCTCAACCACCTGCTAACAAATCATCNNAGTAACCAACATCCCACCTTTCGCCGAAGACGACTGGAAAATCATTCGATCAGGAAACCTCGACTACCACGTCAGCTGCCGCACAACACGTTGCGACCTCCCCAACGTCGACCCTGCAACTGGCATCAAAGACCGCGCAGAGCCCTACAAGACCCTCAAGCAGACTCGAGGAAACATCGACAAGGGTGCTGGTGCTCATCCAGTGTTGGGAATGCAGATGGTACCTTTGCTCAAGGATGCTAAAGGCAGTGAGGAGATTAGAGTGGGAGCAGAGATGAAGGTCGTCAAGACTGGGGAGCACTACTACATCAAGTTGTTCCAAGACTAAAGACTAATAAAAGTTTGTTGCTTTCTTCTTTTCGAGTTCAAGCATGAGATTTTGTGACAAATCTTGTTAGAGAGCTACAAATGGCTTTCTCGCGATATGAAGTCACGGTGGTCAAGATGTAGACAACCAGCCTTGACCTTCAAGCACCAACCGGCCTATGGTTGTATATCGTAAAGACGACTCAACACTGCAACCCGTGTCTTGGGCACCTTTTCCCTCGAATGATAAACCGACCGCACATAGGGCATTGTGTAGTAGCCGATGTGTTTGGTCTATATTCAGGCCCAAGGCATTGTGCAGTAGCGGATATGTGTGGTCCATATTCAGGCCGAAACGTCGAACGAGGAACACAATGCCGTGAACATGGATGCATGGTTCTCCTATAGCCTCCACATCCACCACACAAGAAGTAGGCCTTGCCATCTGGGGCATACTTTACTCCAGAGGGGTAGGGATCAGCTGGGAGAGATCGATTTCTTGTCTCACTCTGGGAATTTGCGGTACAATCTGATTCCGATGATTCTGAAACTGGCTCTGGTGTTTGTGCTTCTGATTGCGTATCGTCCGTACTGGTTTCAGCCACCTCCTGGTCAAGATACGATGATCAGTCTAGAACTTCGACTAGATCATCGACGAGAGACGAACCTGTGTCAAATCACTTTCTGACTTTTTCGGTTCTATATCGAAGTCCCTATCAACGAGCATCCAAACCGACTTGCTCATGTCGTTGTTTGGATCATCCTTGTCTAAGTCGCTGTTTCGTTGGACACAAGACGAGCCGGAAGCAACAACAGAGCCTTCCATCATATAATTTGAGGTCTCTATCAGTTGAGTCTTTGGCAGACTAAATGGCGATTAGCAGGCAGGTCATCAGATCAGGTACGAAAAGAAAGCCGATACAAGGAAGCAACGAAGACCAGAGATCGATTCGATACATGAGAGAGGAGAAAGAGCCAGTGAAAGAGCTGACGCAGCACAGCAGTTGTTTTCTGATCAAAGAGACAATGGATAAACTATACGTACTCAATCTGGACACGATGCAAGGAATACAGATGAAGGGGGTTCTTTCTCAAGAGCGTCCAAGAAGGTAGTGTTCCCAAGGAGATCAGATGTTTGTTGTATAGCAAATAAAGATGTGATAGTGATAGAGTCCAAGTGGGGTAGGCGGTTAATTGGCCAGGGGCCAGTGTCAGCGGCGGCAGGCTGTGCCGCAATCAAGATCCAGAAGGTCTTACCGAATGCGGAGGATAGAGACAGGAACGACATCTCCATGTTGTCAGGCAGATTGGTTTCTTATTGAGAAGGGTATCGTCCGCGATCAAGGCAGGGTACAATCTCCCTCAGAATCAAAGAGTGTTGCATGAACGAGGTTCTTCCTTGTTTAAGAATTTCTAGAAGATATGCAATGATTCTTGCCAACGATAAGAACATGTCTATCTAGAGGAGCAGATCAATCAAGTCATTTCGATACCTGTTGGAATGTGAAATTTCAAGTCAGGGTGCTTAACCAGTAGGAAATGTCAGCCAAGACGATTGAATCTCTTTTCGTCGAGGTAGTTTGAGGATGGATTGCAGGATCCAAACATCAGCTCGAGGGATGTCCTCAAATCGATTTGTCGCTCAAACGCCCACGCAAGTCAGTGACGCTGACGACGAACTGAAACTTGCGAACGCTCAAAGAGGAAGGAACAATCAGGGTTCTGTTATATTCCGTGAAGAAGCCAAAGATTCTCTCCATGTTCCTATATCATCACCTATGCTCCCGACCATCCTTGACTCACCCGTGTAACAGACTGTTCTGCAACCATCTTTTCGAAACCGGCATCATTGGTCGAACAACGAAATCCCTTGCATGCACCGGAGTTTCAAAGACTACTCCGCTTCAGCTGTATTTCTTTGTCACGCGACATAACAAGATCGAAATCTGCTGCTGTCATCACATTCACCTACCTTTGCAACCCTCGACTCGATCGCATATAGAATGAACAACACAACCACCAATTCGACGACAGATGAGCCTCCGTGGAATAGCACTCCAACATGGAAGTTGCCTGGCTGGACTGAGCCATTGGTACGCATGGACGCTACCGATCGAGAAGCAGATAGCTGATATGGATTCCGCAGNATGGTTGTAGCGATCCTTTTCGGAACCATGATCATGACAAGAAAGAAAGGATTCCGAATTTTTCGAAACAAGCCTTGGATGTACAAATCAGTCCTGGACGGCGACGACGCTGCTTGCTCATCAGACGAGCTCCTGGTTCATCAGGAAGGCGATGAGATTGACACACAAAAATGCATGGCTACAACAAAGCACTCGCCCAAGACACGAAGATTGTTCGGTCTCACGTTCAGAACACCCAACACCTCCAGGTTCAAGAACAACGTCCACAGTCGAGTGCTTCAGCGCTTTCCGTTCCTGTTGGAAATGTTCTACTGGGTCATAAACTACGCCTTCTATCGTATGACGGCCATCCTATCGCAACAAATATTCGCTGGTCCAGGTATCTGGACAGTAGCTGAGAGACATGGACTTGCTATCCTGGAGTTCGAGCAACGCGGGTTCCTCAACTCTTTGTTCCCTAGTGAGCTGAAAGTGCAACAATGGTTCATGCAGAACCACCGAGATGCATTGAGTTCATTGAACAAGGTCTACGCGTTGATACACATACCTGGTACGGTGGGCTTCATCGCATGGTATTACTACGTCGCACCATCGCATTCCATCTTCGCAAGGGTGCGCCGCACCATGAACTTGACCAACTTTATGGCCTTCACAACATACATCTTCTATCCTTGCATGCCTCCGCGGCTGTTGCCAAAAGAGTATGGATTCCTGGATACAGTCAGGCATGATGATGCGCAGTCAGTGTGGATGAGCGGCAAGTACGTCAACAGTCTCGCAGCTATGCCGAGTATGCACTTTGGATATGCATTCTGTGTCGGCTGCACCATAATCTACCATTCAGGGGTCTTCCGTAGAAAGCTAGAGCATGGCGAGTTGAGCAAGTCCTGGGCATGCAAGTCCTTCTACNNCCTCATGCTTGGAGTAGGTTATCCGATGTTGATCTTGACTGCCATCATAGCGACGGCCAACCACTACTTCCTGGACGCTTTGGTTGCGACGGCGTATGTTTTAGCGGCGTTCATGAGTAACAGGGTGTTTTGTGTGTTTGTTCCTCTCGAGGACTGGTTGTTGTGGGCAATCCGCGCAGAGAGACCAGTTCCCAGTACCGGCGAGAGATTCAAAGAAGCAGATTATCGCTTGTAAATACGTCTCCAATGATTGTCGAGTCCATATATAGTTGTATCGTGTGCTGTGACAGGTGTAATAGGCATGTAATAGGCATGTAATAGGCATGTAATAGGCATGTAATAGGCAGACTTTGGACTGAAGATGGACGGTTTGGCGAGCTCGGTCCAGATGGAAGGACTGACTCCAGCTCCGGCGCAAATTGGTCGATTCTTGGGCGCGCGCGCCAGCTTCACAGCTTCACTTCATCAGCTCATCGTCCATCCAATCGCTTTTTTTGACGCGTCTCTTTGGTTTCTTTCTCTCGACTACAGCTCATTCAGCACTTCTCGCACTAAATCTTCACAATGGCCGAACCCGAGGTTGTCATTGACGCCAGCGAGAACAACACTCCCGCACCCACCCAGAGCCAGGACGTCGACATGGGCGGCCAGGACGAGAGTACCCAGCCCGACAACAGCGCCGAACCGAGCACTGAGCAGCAGGATGTCGAGCCTACTGGTCTCGAGAACATTGAGCCCGATCTCCCCGCCCGCGTTACTTTCCTCGAGTGAATGAGTGACCGCGAACGCTACGCGTCGAGCTTCGAGTACTGATCCGACGCGACAGCNTACCTCAAATCTCCCATCATCGAGCTCTCGGTTGGCAAGGACGACAATGTCACTATTCTGCACGCGCACCAGCGTCTCTTGGAGCAAAGCCCTATTCTGGAGGAGAAGATTGCTGCTTTCGGTGATGCCGACAACGTAAGACTATATGCGATTCGAGTACCCTCTCTGTCGCAATGCTGACCCTCTACCTAGCGTCGCATTGAGCTGCCCGAAGAGGACATGACCGCAACCGCCTGCTTCCTCGAGTTCCTCTACAAGAACGACTACTTCCCCACCCTCAGCGGCTCCTCCCTCGAAACCGACCCCGAAATCCCCGTCCCAGACACTGAAGGCATGGCCCTCTTGCGCCACGCCCGCGTCTACACACTAGCCCAGCGCTTCGGCGTGCCCGCCCTGGCAACCCTCGCCCACAANAAGATCCACCTGACCCAAAGCACCGCCCGCGGCGAAATCGAATACGCACGCTACGTGTACGGCCACACCGAGACCACGGACGAAAGCATCCGCAAGCCCGTCGCTGCCTTTTGGGCAACACGATCACATGTCCTGCGCCACGAGGCCGAAAAGGAGTTCCGCAGCATGTGTCTCGAGTTCCCGCAATTCGGTTTCGATGTGCTTAGTTTGGTGCTGGATAACCAGGAGAAGAGGACTGCGAGATCGGAGACTACGATTGGTGATGGTCGCAAGAGACCTCGTGTCAGTGCTGTGTAGAATGCGGCTGCTGCTTCTGATGATACTGCGTCTCCGGCTAACGAGAAGCGCTTGAGGATTCAGTGATTCGATTTGAGCCCTTCTCTCTAGCCCCGCCGGCTTCCCTTTTCTCTGCTCGATCGATCTAAGACTTGAATGATGGCTTGCTTTGCCTGACACGAGCAGGACAGAGATTGGAGTGGGAAGAATGCATCCTTTGCTTGCTTTGCTAATCGAAAAAGCACATCTACCTGTAGCTTATTCTGCCTTCCCCTTTGAACACCCTTTCTCACACATACAAGACAAAGGACGAACACACAGGACAGGATCTTGATCGTCCAATATATAACAACTTTCCAAACCTTCAACTTTCTCTCAGACCGTGGCTTTGCTATGTGAACAGGATGTCTTTTATGTGTTTGTCCACAAGGGTCTAATTTTACAGGACTATATGTATATTCTACAAAGAAGTGAATTTTCGAGATGCTTTTACTCTTTCTATTCATGAGACGAGAGTTTTGAATGTGCTTTAAGCACCACCACCCATCATGCGTCTCAGACGCACGCTCAAGGGTTCTTCTTCAGGAGCCTTTGACTCTTCGGCCTTGACCTCTTGTGTCTCAGGCTCGGAAGACGCTTGTGTAGGCGTCTGCTCAGATGTGCTTTCGCCAATAGTGCTCGATGTTGAAGTAGACGCCTCTGTGCTTGATGCTTCTTCGCTGACAAGCGAGGCATCATGCTCTTCAGGGGCATCAAAAGTCCTGGTTTGCGATTCCGGCTTCTCAATCGCGATGACCTCTGGCGTAGATACTTCATCTCCGGCTGCTACTTCCACTCGAGGGTCTTGATCGGTATTCAACTCAACACGCTGTTCTTGCTTCGCGACCTTTTCCATTGCTGATGGGTCTCTGTCATTGGTGGCCTGTACTTGCAGAGCCTCTTGCTCGACAGCACGCTCTGTCTCGTCTGTAGAGGGAGTATCTACCTCATGAGCCGAAATGCGATCTTTCCTGGGGTCGACTGTTTTCGGACGAGAAGTAGCCCGATTATCCTCCTTGCTCGCCCTCTTCGGCTTGGTAGTATCCAAGCGTGATTTGCGAGACGTGTCACGAGCAACAAGCGTCTTGCCAGAGGCATACAACGACTCCTTGAATTGTGACTCTGCAAGAGAGTTGATCACGTTGACTGATGCATCCGTGAGACTGTCTACAATTGTGTCATCTTTCTTGTCGTCCACTTTCTTGCTGTAGCGCAAGCGGAGTTCGAGGCGACGCCCACCCGTCACGCCTGCCTCGGTGCTCTCAATACTTGCACTGAAGTCTGGCCCGAGCAGTTTGAGATCAAAGCGCCGTAGATCACGATACTCGAAGCCAGCGAAAAGGTATTTGGCAAGGACTAGCTGGCCTTGGGTAGTGTCCTCGGAAGTGACCGTTTGTGGAACACGTATTTGTAGAGCTGGGGGAGCACGCAGAGAGGCATCGTTTGCCATACTCTCGAATATTGCTTCGATGAACGACCTGATTCTCGGATCCTTGACGGCGCGTGTTGAGGCCAGTGTCTGTTCACGCTCGAAGCGCAGGTCAGCAGGATGAGATGGCAGGTTCAGCTGTACAGCCTCGGTTTTCATGACGGCGCGCATATCCTTAAACAGAATACGTTTACCATCGGGAAGTATAGCAGACATGCGCTTCTCGTCGTCTAGTGAATAGGTAGATCCTTTAATGTAGAATCTAAGCTCCAGAGTGGGCAAAGTAGCAGAAGCCAAGATACCTGTCTGCTCAAGAGGAGAAGGTACCAGGTAAGCTGTAAGCTCGTGATGTAGGAGAGGGTTGTGATACCACGAGCCCTTGCGAGAACCAGTGGACAAAAGTCCAAGAAGACCAGGAATTTGGGAAGTGAAAACCTGCTTGGGATATGCTGCAGGGTCCTCAAGACTCGAGGTCAGACCGTTAGAACCAGGATAAGGATCTTTAGCTTGAAGATCGTGCAATGATAGGCCGATACGCGCCTTCCAGAGACTGAATGAAGGCCTCTTCGGCCAGATTGACAACTCTATCTCGGGTTCATCTTCCTCTGAAGAATTTAGACGGCATTTCATGAGCGCAACGGCTTCCTTCATGATGGGACTCTGACATTGCAGAGGCGCGATTGGTAATTTGTCTACAGCCTTGTCACCAACATCCTGAGCATCCCCGATATCCAGGATGGTTGGATCGGCACCGGCCTGGCTAATCTTACGCGACGCAGTGACCCAACGACCGAGCGGTCGATGCTTTGCATTAGAAGGCAGATTGTTTGTGTTGTATATGGCTTCAAGTCGACAGTGATCGGCCTTTTCCGAATCGTAAAGGTGCGTGACGCTGGCTTGAGAAGATGAAGGTAAAAGAGCAATAAGTAGACGGTGAGCATCGTTGATGGCGACATCGACGAAACTGGCAATACGAAGGCGCTTGGCATCGACGTCGTAGTGAATATAGGTCCTGGTCAAGGCCATGATTTCACTCAGTTGAGTGGGGGTCAATATATTTCGTAGCGTCAGCGCTGAGGAATTTCGTTGCAGGGCGTCATGGAAGGTTTCGAGATTGATATCAGCGCTCCTAGCAGGAGCATAAGCTTCGGTCAGGACGTGGGCGATGGCCTCAGCCTCAGCTCTTGGGCCTATAACTCGAATAACGCGTTCGGCTTGGTGTAACTGAAATCGCGAGTTTCTGTAGAACTTGGAGCTCTCGAGCAGAGGCCTCAAGGTCTGAGAGTTCTTTGTGAGCAACAGACCAAACTGCATGGGTGATAGCAGAAACTCCATCTCACCAATGGCAGCTTGCTCCTCCTCGATACCAAGCGCCCAAGCATGACGCAGGATGGATTCTATCACATCGTCTTTGTTGTTCATCTTACGACCGATTGACATGGAGAAGTCGAGCATGGGCAAGCGCTTGGTCGTAGGAGTAGTACCGGCATGCCAGGCGGTTCGCTTGAGGTTCTGTAGCGGATTGATTGTGCTGCTGATCTCGGTAGAGGCAGGCTTGTCTGACTCGGACAAGGTACGACGGGCGTTGTTAGCCTTGTTTGAAGAAGGCTTAGCAGGAGCAGTCTTGCTCACCAAATAGGCTTTCAATTGGCTTATAGTATAGCCTTTGTTCAGGGCAGCAAACTTTTGACGAAACTCATCGTCAGTCAAGAGATGAATGCCATCGTCAGGCCTTAAAGCATCAATGGACTCGAAGACTTCGGCTGGTCTTGGGCGAAGTGCTCTTCTACCCGACATGTTCTCAATGTCGCGGCCAGTCAGAGCAGGCGGCTTGGGTTCAGCAACTTCGGCATTATGGGTGGGTTGATCGGAAGTATTTGGGACCTTTTTCTCTGGCCGGCGCTCGTGCAAGTCACGTAGAACAATGACTTCGGAAGATTGACCTAAGCTGGCAATGGACAAGGCTTCGGACGACTCGACACGTCTCTGGCCGCCCTTCTTGCCGCGAATCTTTCCATGGTTGCCATGGGTCCTGATGAGTCTCAGACGCGAAGGTTGTGGAATTTGTTGCTGGTCAGAGGCAGGCGCAGGTGCGGGTGCAGGAAAATCTTGAGTTGGAAGGGGCGATTCATCGGCGGAGGTGGACTGGTAACGACGGTGGTGGATCTGACGGAGCACAAGGCGCAGATTGCATCGCAGACATGTCGACGCGTCCCTGGCTGACGACGGGCGTAACATCAAGACAGACAGTCTACACGCGACCAGGCAAGCATGACCATCTACAATTTCCAGAAGCACTTGATGCTCGAATCTGTAATCTTGGCGCTAGCAAGAGCCTATCTTATCGCCGAGTCACGGGCCGAACGACCGTCGTCATCTTCACATGCGCCTGAGGAATGCCGCTCCTTCCGTAATACCAGGTACCAAATAAGCACAAAATCACAAATCACCGGATATTGCAACAAACGCTGCTGCCGTGTCTACCTGTACCGCTCTTACTTAAGCCATCCCTGCCGCCCACGCCAGAGATGCAGACCTTTGGTGAGGCCGGACGACTTCAATGGCCGCCGCCCTGAGGGCCCAAACGCTGACCCTCACAGTCCCAAAGGCCCGTCGTGTATGTCCACCGTCCTGAGTCACAGTAGCCTCTACCCTTATTGATCTTGTCTTCGACAGNCCACGCTTCGATCTCAAACTAAAGATCTTCGACCTCAACAACGTTCCCCTGGTTTCCGGTACATGCTTTGTCAAATGGCACCTCNNCCCCTCGTCGAGCGCTGCCGAACATCGTGGCCGAACGACTAAATGCAACATCAAGGACCACAAGGTCGTCTTCGACTACGAGAAACAGATGCCCGTGCGTCTTGTTATTGGCAAGGACCAGATGCTGCAAGAGCAATGGATTCATCTCGAGATCATACAAGAATACTCCAGCAGCGGCAAAGGAGAGCGTATCACTCTGGGAAACATCAAGCTCAATCTTGCCGAATACGTTGACACCAATGATCATGGCCACGACTCTGAAGAAGGCGTCACCCGCCGCTACCTTATGCAGGACAGCAAGATCAACAGCACTCTGAAAGTCTCCCTGCACCTCAAGCATCTCGAGGGTGATCGAAATTACTATGCGTACGTTTCGATCTGGAGTCGTACTGCCATTGTACTGAAAAACAGCATAGTNCCTCCATTACGCACTGCTCCTGTCTTTGGTGGCATTGCTGGCATAATGTCTTCCGAGGTTACGGAAGCCACCGAAGAGGGCAGTACCATGCCTTCCTTATCCAACAAGAGCCGTGAACATGGCGAGTTGCAAGACATGTATCTTCGGACACTAGCCGCATCATGGGTCGCTCAGCCAGGGGTAAATTGACTCTTCCGTACAAATTCGATAAGCCAACTACTAACTCGCGACCGCAGNGAACTACGAGCCGACGACTGTATCAAGGACATCTTCGCTGGTGGCGATGGCTGGGGCTCCCACCTCGACCATGTCCAGCACGACCACCAACCCAAACCCAGCAGCGACGAGGAAAAGCCCCGCTGGACCAGTCTGAACCCAATAGACCAACCCTCCAAATCACCACGGTCTAAAAGTCCTTCGCATGGCCACCACCGCAACACCAGCAAAGAAAGCGTGCAATCCGACAGACGAAAGGGCTTTGATGGCTGGTCCAACAAGGACGGCTCTTCCACTGGCAATCTAAGCAAACACGGCACTTTTGGAGGCCGAACTAGTCTGCATCAGCAAGCCATGAAGTTGGAGCAAGAGTCTGCAAAGCGCAAGCAGAAACTTGGTCATAATGAAATTGACGAGTTTGATAATCCATGGCGAGAAGACATGATATCGTGGAAAGTTGGCAGGTCAACTATGATCTAGCATCTTGTTCAATCCGATCCCTATCGAGGTGGTTTGTTGTATTATCCTAGTTAATGAGTAATGTCAGATGTATGAGTACGAGACGCAGAGATTCGTATCAATTGATCCGACAAGGTTATTCCGAGATAGACAACAGCAATATGATGTCTTCTTCATCTCATGGATTGCACTGCACCGAACAGTCTCACAAACACCACGAGACGATTTACGCCGAATGAATCAAAGCCTCAACCTCATCCCAAGACCTCGGCGCCGTAGTCAAATTCTCACACCCCTCCTCCATGACCAAGACGTCGTCTTCGATACGCACACCACCAACATCCCAATACCTCTCCAAAACAGCCTTGTCGATGTACTTTGCATACTTTTCCTCCTTGAGCGCGGGCTCAATGATAAAGCGGCAGAAGTAGATACCAGGCTCAACCGTCACCACCGAGTTTGCAGGAACCTTGCCTCTGATGCGCAAATAGCGGAACATCGGGTCTGGGTCTTCGTAATCTGCATTACCACCACAGTCATGCGTGTCCATACCCAAATAATGACCCAAACCATGAGGCAAAAACAGCGTAGAAACTCTGCTGTCGAAAAGCTCTTTCTTGTTGCCGCTGGTAAGAATGCCCAGACGTCTCAAGCCATCGATGGCGATTTCGTGGGCAAGAGCGTGTAAATCTTCCCAAGTGACATTGGCTTTAAGTGCTTTCATACACTGTGCCTGCATTTCATCCACAATATCGTAGATTTGTCTGCTTTCTTCTGTGAAGGTGCCTTGCAGAGGGTATGTGCGTGTGATATCTGAGCAATAGCAGTTATACTCACACCCAGCATCAATCAACAAATTCAGCTTTTCGGATAGAGGTAGGTCGTTGTGGACGTAATGCAAGGTGGCTGCACTGGGTCCTGAAGCACAGATACAGCCGTATGCTTGTTCGCGGCCGCCATTGCTGATACACGCGCCCACAAAAGTTCCCATCAATTCTCGCTCGTTGCGGGCGTTTTNTACCATGCGCATAACTTCGGTGTGCGCATGTGNAGAAATGGCATTGGCGTGACGGATTAAACCGATTTCGTGGTCGTCTTTGATGACGCGGCAGCGCTCGATTGCGTTTTTCAAGAGATCCCAGTTGGTTTCTTGGAAAGAGAGGAAAGTGATGTGGTCTGCTACTTGCTTGGGGATGGCCAGAATAGTACCGTGGGGAGTTCCGGGAGAGGTCAGATATGAGTTGACCTCAGTCGAAGGTTTGCATGCATCAATATCGAACCTGTTTTCCATTAGTCGTGGTCACTTGAATAAGAAACAGAACACTGACTTCTCCATTGCTTCCTTCTCGAGAAGCGGCAAGCCAGACCAGATGACATCTTCAGGATCGATGGGAGGAATGAACAAGGTCAAGAAGTCGTTCTTGATATCGTAAGCCAGATATGAGTCCGGAACAGCGCATCCAGAAAGATAGAAGAAGAATCTACGTTNGGCTAGAAAGGATTTAGTCCCTAGAACCTGATCTTACGAAGGACTATCTACTGACCGGAAGTGTGCAGCTTGATCATCATCCTAATCACACACATCAATCAGCAAAAGCTTCTCATAAAAGCCATATTCCCCCTCTGCTCTCAACCACACGAAAGTCGTTCTTTTCCTGTCGAGACAGGAAAAGAAACAAAGAGAAGAAGTCACACTACATACCTCAACCATAGCAGTCTTCTGCGCCTCCAAGTAGATAATACCATCCTTGGGGCCACCGTTCTCAGCAATGAACTGAGCTACACGTCTGGCGTGTGCCTTGGCGGGGTATTTGCCCGATGGTGGGGGAGGAAGGTCGTGGTTTGCAAGACCCATTTTCTTGTCCTTGTTGGTTACGAGTCAGTTGAAGAAGAAATTATTTTGACGGGAGTCGTCGGTTTTTTGTTTTGAGGTGTTTCTGATAACAAAACTCAGAGATTGTGGTTTGATTTGAGGATACGAAATGCCAAGGCATGGAGCTGCCTCGGTGATCGCCTGCCTAATTTGGCTATACAGCGTTTGGGGGACTTCAGAGGTGTTGCAGATGTGGGTTCTTGGAAGTCCTCGAGCATGCAATGTACGTGAGGACAGGTTTGATAGCTATTCATGCATATACAAAAGTTCGCCGATTCGATGCTAGACCATCCTCTTGCAAGAGCATCAGACCAAATAGAAAAATTCAAAAGAACGCCATTCCGAAGGGTAATGCCATTTATTTGTAAACAGAAGCCAGGAAAAACACAAACGCCCGTGATAACATCATTTCTAGTAGGTCGAACAAGGCTAGTCCTTCCAGCGATTGAGGTACTTCTTCATGTCGGCAGCTGTGGGTTGAGTAGCAGCGCTGGCCTGTTGCGAAATTGTCAGTACAATAAAACGTGAGAAGGTGAAGAACAAGACACTTACTGGGTTCTCTCTACTTGAGTGACTCAAAGTCTGAGACTCGGTCACGGTGAAAGTAATCGAGGCAGGCAGCGCATAGGTCTTGAAGATGGTGAAACTCGAGCTGGGGTTCAAAGGGGAGGCCGACTTTGCAGTGATCTTTGTTCCAGGCTGGGGTTGCATGGGAGCGTACTTGATGAGGCCAGTCTGGGACATGTAGGGAACGGTAAACAAGCCAGCTTCGGGAGCGGCAGTGGTGGCAGCACCGGCACCAGCGGTAATCAGTTCGTGAGCAACTGGTGGGGTAAAGGTAGTGTCGGACCCGGCGGCAACGACACCTTGTGCCACAGCAGGAGTGAAAGTGCCAGTCATGCCTGTGAGACCGAAGCGCGGGCTGTAGACAATGTCGGTTCCTCCATCGACGCCATTCGAGATCATTTGGAGAAANNGCTGGAGAAGGTTAGGCAAGGCAAGTACTTGTTTCTGGATGCGAAGAACATACTATCCATTGACGGCAGTCTTACCGATGCCAACGGGAATGGTGAAGGTAATGGAGCCAGTTGTACCCACGTAAGCGACGCCGGCTTTGATGGTGGTGAGCGAGGCCTGTAGCTCTTGTCAGCGCTCGAAAGGAGAAGACGAAGAGGACCATGATACAGTAGAGGCTTCTGTGTTTCCACCAGCAAGGAGATTCAACGTGTATGTACTAAATTGATCGATAGTGGGAGAGATTCCATCGTCGGTCCAGGAAANAGTGACGGTCGTGCCACCGGCGAGTTGTGCACCGGCAACAGGCGCTGTGAACTTGACATCGGCGACAGCGGTGGCTGCCAGAGCGGCCAGTGCCGTCAAGATGTGGCAGCGCATTGTTTATGTCTTGTGTGTTGTGTATTCTTCGACGCGCGGTCGGGCGAGATGGCCGGCTGGGGATTTGTTTGGCCCGGACGGCTGGCCTTCGTTAGAGATGCGACGGGTGTTAAAGGCGGTGAGGTGTATCAGCGAAGATGTCGGCAGCGACGACGAGAGGCAGGATATGCACTAGGGCGGACAGAGGTTACGGGATCAAGGTTGAAGATACAAACACGAATGTCGACATGGGATGAATGCGACAAGGCCTTGGCCATCTTGCAGCGCCTCTCCCGATCGCCGCAAAGCCGCCCCTGACTGCAAGGTTTCAAACACTGCCCTTTAATTAGCTACACCTCTCCCCTTTGGCATCAATTTTTTCTACTTTTTCTCCGCTTTTGGCTCCCTAATTCCAAAGTTGTAGTGATAGTCCATGGGCAGCTTCTCTTGCTTGGTAAACACGAAGCTGTGTCGTTCGTAAAGCGGTCTTCCAGCTGGACTAGCATCAATGTAGCATTCAACCTGCTCCTCGTCCGCCAACGCAGTTCCATGCTCCAAGATCATTCCCCCTGCCCCACGGCCCTTGAACTCTTCAGCTGTCATGAGGAGTTCCATGTCTTGAGTGCGTGTGTCAGTCCGTACATAGACACAATAGTCCGCTGTGGCCACACTTACAAANNAATGTCTCCGCTCCTCCATCATCTCCCGTCTATTCCTCACAAATGACCCAAACAAAGCATCGGCAGTCTCTTTATCAAGATATGGATCAAGAGCACTCCATCTCTCTTCTTCATGTCCTGGTTGTTCATCCTCGACCTTTTTCTTAGGCTTCACCCACCGCCCATGGCTGACAATCTTGCCCGTCTTCTCGTCCGTGACTTTCAAGCAGATGGTATATGGATCTTTGCATGCGAAACGAAACATATCTGCCCATGCGAGACGACTTTCTGGCGTGTCGGGCAGCATGCGTCTGAAGTAGGCATGATCATGAAAGGAGAGGGCGAAGAGTGGCGCAATGGCTTCCGCGTCCTCTGGTGTCACATATTCTAACCTGAGGCCGTTCTTCTGTGCAGATGCCATTGTAGCTTGTTCTGCAGATAAAGGATCGATAGAGTATGGTAGGAGTATAAGTCAGAGAAAAACTCAGTGGTGCCTTTTGTCAGCATCGACCCCGCTGTCATCGTGTTTACATGTACGTTGAAGCCTACCTCGCTGGCACAGCATGTGGAGCGTAAGCACTAAAACAGACATAAAGCACACAATAGACCAGTCAAATTAGATACTGCTGACAACAAGGGTTTTGGTATGAAATTGCTCTATCACGCTACTCAGATTTGTGTCGTCCAGAGACCAACAAGATCCGCCCTCAGCATTAATCGTCCTTTTGCCTCTTACCAGCGCCAGCACTGGTTCCACTCCTCGCTCTATCCTTGAGTGTTGAAGCATACGCAAAAGAAGCACTACTGCTCATACCAGGACGGCCAGTGCTCTCCGAACCCTGGCGACCCCGATGCTTTTCTTCGTCTTCTTCTTCATCTTCACCTATCTCGAAAGATTCGGCCATCTCGATGAGATCGCCAATTCCACTAGGTCCACCTCTGTTTGCCACACCACGATCTTGTGGTGGTGGGATAGCAGTGCTGGCTTTAGCTGCCATCTTACGCATCCATCCCTCGACAGCCGCCCCTACGTTCTCGATGTTGATAGAAGGCGATTGTGCATGCGTGAGGCCGGGTGTGAAAGGCGTAGGATCATCCGAGTATGTCGGAATATCAGGGAGATAAAGATTCGACTGATTGGGCGGGGGAGCCACATTGGGAAGGTGACTTGCAAACATCTTGTTCAATCCATCTTGAGCAGGTCCAGGCGACTTCACGTTCTTGGCCATGGTTCCGACACCTCCCGGCCCAGCTAGGTAACTGGGAAAATAAGCGTTATTTGCATTGGACGACCTTCTGATCCCGCGCGGTCGTTGTGGAATCTCTTGCTTAGGAGAGTCCAGAGGATTCTCGTGTATCACAGATCTGTTAAGGTCGAGAGAGGCAGTGGGTGTGTCAATGTCAGAATAAGACTGAGATTTTCGTCTAGCAGGTGGAANAAAGGCCAGATTTCGTCGAGACGACCGAGCAATCTCAGTAGGCTGTTTGCTGTTCGGCAGGAGTACCCATGCGTCGTGTTCCCAGTCTGCTTCTGGATCGTGTGAAGAGCGACACGACGAAGACGACGGGCGGTCACCATTTGTGGATACAGACTCATTCCTTTTCCTGCCTGTAGGGATGGGTGTCTTAACCTCTTCTATAGACGTAGGGAAAGGGTTATTCTCCTGAGTCAGTTGATATAGATCCTCACTGCCATTCAGACGAGTGCCTTTGACGGCGCACTGATCGACAGGAAGCAGAATAGTCTTGCGAGCTTGTATGCGATCATTGGGCCACATGCGATTGGCTCGTCGCAAGGCTGAAGGATGAATGTTGTACTTGATAGTGATTCCGGCAAGCGTATCTTCAGGCTTCACATGATGAACATAGACCAAGGCGTCTCGGTCGTGACCATGTTCAGGGGGNNGAGCAGAAGCGGATGGGCCATCTTCCGAAGAACGACGCTTGAATTGGCCAATTGTGTTGTGTTCCGGAGTAGCGTTCATGAGTTGCTTGCGCTTCTCAGCACGTATCAACGAATCCCTCTCTTCATATGAGCCAAGACCAATAGCAGAAGAAGGGGTGGAAGTGGGCACACCCCAATGTTTCGGAGGGGCACTTGTATTCCGTGTAAAGGTCGAGTTGATAGAGGGTTTACGACGTCGCGGCGAGAGAGCTGCTTTAGAAGACACTGGAGAAGGAGTAAGTAGGTCCGAGGCCATGCCCTGTATAGCCGACCACGAATCTCCAAAGAAGGCCGACAGGGTTGCGGGTGACTGAGCGCGATCGGGATTCAATCGGCTCATGCTCTTTACATGGCGTACATTCTGGGAGGAAGCAGTGCGCGGCAGACGTGTACTGGGCATAGGCGAGGGCTCGCGAGAGTCAAAGGGCGAAGGTAGGGGCGAGGCATGGCGTGTTACTGGAGTTAGAGTCGGCGGGTCTTCATCATCGAGACCAGAGATAAGTCGAGGCGCTCGGGGCCGGAGGGTCGACGACTGTGCTGTCGTCGAGCTGGTACGCGAGCTCATCGTCGAACAACCATGTGATCTGATGTGGACACGACTCGTCCGCCTGATGGACTGTAGAGAAACGTATCAAGTATGTAGGGAGCTGCTGCTCGATCCGGGGGTGAGCTCGGCCTTGGTCTGTCTGGGCAGGTTCCTCGATAATTTGTTTGCCTGAGGAAGCCGACGGCTGCTGCTATGTGACGACGGCGAGATTCCCAAGAAGGTCAGATTACAGATAGACAAATTGCTCGTTGCTATTGAGCGACAGTAACAGATCAGATACCTCGCTATCGGCTCCAACATTCGACTCCAAGACTCACGGCGCTGCCCCATGGCGCGTCATCGCGTCCGTGCCCTGCCGGTCCCGCCGCCAATCTCCATTTTCTCCATTCCCGAAACACGTCTTCAGCCACTCTTAATCGATTCGAAACCGAGCCAAATATCGTCAAGTTCGTAACAAAGAACAATAATGTATGTCTACACTATCAAAGCTCCAGCAGTGGGAAAACTATGCTACACAGCAGTGACCTTTGCATCTGCATTATCCCTCTGCGTCTCGAAAGGCTATACCATGCTTCTTTCTTCTAGTCATGCAATCCATGAGAGCAGCTCCACAGCCATTACCTTCCCTTGTCCTCTTCATCTCTCAACTTCTCCCCCATTTGGTCAGCCTCTGCTGGCCCACCTCAAGTGTACTGCCAGGCACCTGCTGAGATGTTCTGATCGTGGACGATGGCGTAGAGTCCGACGCACGAGCTAGAGAATCTAACGCCAGCCAGACGTGCGAAGAGCTTCCAAGATGTCATGTTGCTGCCTTCTGGTGTGACTGGACAAGTGATAAGATCCTCGCCGTTGGGTCCGAAGTAACCACCGCCTTCGTAGGCAATTCCACCACCGTAGTAGCTCAGGTTCCACTGGGCTGATGAGTGTGCTTGAGTGAAGGTCAACGCTCCGTCAGTCTGCCAATAGATGCCTTGTCCGCCGGGAACTACAGTGGNCCTGGCTCCTGGTCAGTATGTGCTTAAACAGCAATGACAGTAGATCTCGCTCACCATATAGCCATTGCCGATGAGGGTAGTGTCGTTGGGGAACGAGTTGCAGATACTGCCGACATTTGATGGACAGTAGGTGGCGGCATGTCCTCCGACCCAGAAGTGGTTGCCAGCAGCTTGAATGGGTTGACCGTCGAAGGGCTGGTCCGAATTGCTCGCAGTGAGGGTGTAAGTTCCGCTGGACTTTCTTGGATTTTCAGACAGGGCATTTCCATTGCAGCTNNGCTCATGGTCAGTAGATGCACCGGTTGTTGACAGAGAAGACAACAACCTGTAGCGAAGAGGTGTGTAGCAGGCACCAGCACAGTCATCCATGGCTTCGCCGTTAACCACCGGGCAGAGGGCGTTACTATCAGCTCCGGCTCGGCAGGTATAGCTGCGTGGGCTGTACCATTGACCACCGCACTCCTCGAGACTGGTGGAACTGCTGTCGATGGGGACAGGCGTTGCCCTTGTGGAGGCCAACAGGCCGGCGAGGATGGTCAGAGGGTAGACTGTTGACTTCATTGCTGTGACTTTGATTGTGTTTGTGATAATTGATGTTGGTGGTGTTGTGGTTGTTGAAGCGAGAAAGACGAGGAGATGTCGAACGAAGAAGCAAGGAGCCTCAGTCGCAGTGCTATGGAAGGAGGTACTTGCATTGCACCTGCCTTGGCAAGTTTGTGAGAACGAGCTCCCAGCCTCTCGCCGTAGTACTTGCCTTTACTAGTCGAGCTACGTAGCACATGACCACAAAATGTTGATGGGTAGCTCTACACCTCGTATTGACGGGAGGCTATGTTGATCGCAGAAGTGTCGTCTGTACATATTCGTTTCCTAAATTCCATTAGTGCAGATGAAGAATTATCCTCTGGCCTTAAAATAGATCGCACAGCTCCGAATAGCTAATCTTTCCGGATGGATATAGACATTTTCAAAAGCATTGTATAACAGAGCTCTGGAGCGTTTCAACAACCGGACAGACAAGGAGATACACAGAGATATGTACTGCTATGTACTCTATCGGCTCTTTGAACAAGCTGTCAGCCTCTCGTTTAGCCCTCGAAATGACCAGTCGTAGATTTCTGTGCTTATGTGGGGGCGGTCAACATGCATAACCGTGTGATCGACATGCATGCATTACACCAGCTGAAACCTGGTTCAAGCTTCCTGAGTTAGTCAAGGAGCAAGACGAGTTGAGTCTCTCATGTCAGAGCAAAGTGCCTCGGCGAGGAGGGCACCAGTATTTTGTCGACGGTGGAATTTCACAAAATCGTCGAGAGCATGTCTTGAAATGCACTAGGATGCGTTGCTTTTGATAATCTAGTTGTGTACACTTTCAGCTTTGGATCGCCCCTCTGATACCATGCAAGCCAATATTTGGTCGGTCGCTTTGTCCCCAGTCTTTGTTTGACGAGTCGCGGTACTGCCTGCGCAATGTATTGCCCCCTAGGCGAATTTCCACATAGCCCATGTAGACCGCTGATCAGCCCAACTACTTCTATGCCCCCATGCCTGTGCGGAGAAAATCGTGAATCGTTGAGTCATGGGTTGATCATTTTTGGTTATTCTTTAACTCGAGGACCTGGTTGCCTTGTCAGTGCACTGAGACAACACTCTCGATATGTCCACATACCATGTCAACCCAGTTTCCTCCACCAAATGTTGCTTTGCTGGGGCCCTTGTTCTCGAAGCCCAGCTTCTCGTAGAACTTGACGAGCTCGCCATGTGCAAGCAAAGCAATTCTGTCGGCGGCCTGGACATACTCCATTCGTTGAACGAAAGCCTTCAGCAGAGTCGAACCAAGACCTTGATTCTGGAGAGATGGCAGAACGGCTAGGCTGTGTACAGCAATTGTACGACCTTCCTCTCTGTGACCAATGTTGCCTGAGGAAGCACCAGAAGTCTTCCAATCGCTAGGTACTTCCATATCCTCATCCATGACGGTAGGGTTGGTCGTTTTGGTCACAACGCAGTGAGCAAGGAGGACGGACTTGCGTGCTGGTGCCCCACTGTACACGAAATGAGCACTAGAGGCTGTCTCAACCGATGCGAGAGGGGCTGATGAGTCGCTTGTATCAACTGAAGTGAAAAGGCCAAGACATAGTCCACCACATTTGGTGAAGCGGTATTCGAACTGTGCAATGTATGTTAGCTACAGGATCGGACAAATATACTTGGTTTCATCGTGACAGGCAGTAGCACGAGAAAAGACGCAGGATCGTACAGCGACTTAAAGGGGGTAGACGCTGACCAGCGGTATTAGCAGGAGCTCGAGAAGATGGCATCAGAAGATGACCGTTGACCATAGAGTGCTGTGTTCCTTAGTAGCGAAATAGTCTGGATGGCACTCGGCAGTCAGACTGCACAAGCAAACCTCGAGTTGTCGAGGTTACGTTCTGTAAGGGCTCCTCAGCAGCTACCAATGCCCGACTGCGTCCCTTGCGCAATGAAAGTTTGTGCGCTTTCTACAGCTCTCTCTGGTACGAGTTTTGACAATTTGCAAAGCTGATAGACCTAGCACAGAGGGACACATTTTTCGGGATCATGGGTTGACCTGGAAAACACCCCAACGTATGTCTCGGGAAGAAACGGAGAGAAGCGCAGATGGTGTCTCAAGAAGAGCACAGCGATACTGAACTTGGTGAAAGGGAAACAGAATCACGTGTTGAGGCTTGATGAAAGAAGTACGAAATGCAGTGATGGTGGTACAAATACCTTTTCTCTGGTTGCGCGTTCCTCAGGGGGGAAACGTGGCATCCTCCAGTTTGACAGCGCTGTCAATGTCGGAGGTGGTAAGAGTTTGGACGTAAGGCTTGATTTCAGCTAGGTGATCCTGCTTTTCCATGTCGCGAGAGATCTTGTCCTTGGGTTCATCGTCACCTCTCATCAGGGCAGCCAGATCGCGGGGCATGCTTCTCGATGGCACGTGGTGGTTTCAAATAGAGGGTATAGGCAAGGAAGCAAGTGGAAGGACAAGTTCGACCCCTGGCGTTATGATGGTTTCAAAATACAGAATGAAGATTAAGTGTTGGTAGGACAGGCAAAAACAGGTTACTCAAAATACTTAGTTAAAAGGCAACACATGTGGAAGTGACGTGTGAAAGCAAGTGCAGGGACCACGCCTGGTGGGGTTGAACATGAACGGCGATGGCATCAGAGCAGCACGTCAAGTTGATGACAAACAGACGTCGTTGTCGTAGAATGGGTTGACAGATTTATGTCTGGGGAGTGCGCCGTTGAACTGCAGGACAATCAAGGAGAAACTTCAGCGCAATGCAGGACCCGTGGCGGCACGACCAAAGGCAGACGAGGGGCTTTGATCCATGACAGGCGACAGGTGGCAGACCGTCAATCTGCCAGTGATTTGACGTGCATGGCTGCATGGCGCATGGCGCAACTTTGTCAGTTGGCAGCAGAAGGCAGAGGAACAGCAGGATGAAGGTGGTTAGTGAATATAAATGCTTGTGCGGTCTATTCCCACGTGTAGCAGCATAACTTACTCTAGACTCACGGCTCCGGTCGTCTTTGCCTCCGCAAGCTTTCAAGGCGCTTCGACGGCCTTCTGTCCGTTGCAATCACTCCGTTAGGCGTATCAAGTGCTCGTACCTTCCATCTCTCACATTCATTACTCATTGCCGTCCAAGTGCAACAAGTCCAAGACACAGAAGCAACCTCTTTCGCGCCTGCTCGACCTCTTTCAGCGACGTGCATAACCCCATCCCACTCGCCTCTAGTCTCCACGCAAGGCAGCGTCCCCCATCTCAGCAACCATGTAAGTGCCGTGACACTCGTTCTGACTTCTCTTTTCGATCACACATGCTGATGCCCGTCCGAACAGGGTTCAAGTCACGATACAAATAAACGCCCCCGGCCATGCTCTTGACGAGGAATTCCTCCCGCTCGACGCCGACATCTCGTCCACTCTCGCCAATCTCAAGACTCAGGTCCACGACGGCACCGGCTTTCCCATTACCTCGATCCAGTTCTTTCTCAACGGAGCTCCCGTAGTTGGCGACGACAAGACCCTCGACCAGGCAGGAATCAAGAATGGAGAGATGCTCTACATGTTAGTCCGCGAACAGAACAACATGCCCCGTCAGCAGACCCGCCCACAGCAACCCCAGCCACCACAACAAGGCCGTTTCAGCAATGACCAGATCGAAACCCTGCGTCTGCAGCTATTGGGCAANCCCCAGGCCATGCAACAGGTCAGCCAGGAAAGACCCGAGCTCGCCGCTGCCGCCTCAGACCCTGTCCGTTTCCGCGAACTATACGTCAGCTCTGTCCAACAGGCCGAGGCTAGAGAGCGTGAGAGACGTGAACAGATGCAATTGCTCAACGATGACCCCTTCAACATCGAGGCTCAGCAGAAGATTGAAGAGATCATCCGTCAAGATCGTGTCATGGAGAACTTAGAGTATGCTTATGAACACAACCCCGAAGGTATCTTGGTCTCCTCTCTTACTAAAAGCTCACTCTTACTAACTTCGCCCNNAGTCTTTGGTCGCGTGACGATGCTGTACATCAACTGCGAAGTCAATGGCCACAAGCTCAAGGCCTTTGTGGATTCGGGTGCTCAGACTACCATCATGTCTCCTAGCTGCGCCGAAAACTGCGGTATCATGCGCTTGATTGACAAGCGTTATTCTGGTATTGCCCGTGGTGTCGGTACCGCTCAGATTCTTGGTCGCGTACACTCGGCCGATATCAAGATTGGCAAGGCTGTTATGCCATGTTCCTTCACAGTCATGGAAGGCAAGGATGTTGATCTTCTGCTTGGTCTGGACATGCTCAAGCGCTACCAGGGATGTATAGACCTTCGTCGCAACAAGCTGGTTTTCGAGGACAACGAAGTCGATTTCCTGCCCGAGTCTGAGATCCCTAGATCCTTCGAAGAAGCTTTGCAGAACGAGGAGCACATCAAGGGCCCTAATGGTACCGAGATTGGCACCAAGACTGGAACTGTTACTCAAGCTGGTTCTTCATCGCAACAACCTAACGGCAACTTCCAGGGTCAAGGTCGTTCTCTTGGAGAGCCATCTACGAGCGGACCTGCAGTGCATCCTACACCTGCAGCTTCCGCTCCCGCTAGGGCTGCACCTCCACAAGCTGCCCCAGGCAGCAAGCACCCGGAAGCAGCTATTGAGCAGTTGATCGGTCTTGGTTTCTCTAGACAAGAAGCTATTGCCGCTCTGGATGCTACTGATGGCAACGTCGAATATGCCGCAGGTCTGCTTTTCCAAGGTTAGAAACGAAAGGTCATATCACGAAGCCTATGACATTGGGGGTTCAAAGTTTATCGAGCATTTCAAGGCGTTTTTTCTTTCCTTTTCTCGCTACCAACGAGACACGAGGACGGGTTCTTATAATGGGTTCAGAGGTTGGGTTTCTTCATTTCCTTTCTGATCATGCTACTTCCTCTTTGCTTTTCTTCAAACGATTACCCGAACCATAAAATTCATTCCCCCTTTTGTTCAATCAACGATCTTATGCCTTTTGTCTTCTGTCTTCATCATCGTCGAACCATAAAATCGTTGCTACCATGTCATTGCCTGCCTTGAGAGTGGGAATGAAAAACAGACAGAAGAAAACATGCGAAAAAGTCATTCGTCAGACTCCAGTCAGCATCGATCAGCCACATTCGGCAGACCAAATCCAGAGATGTAATGCTGAGATCTGTAAGCCGCGTCAGTAAAGCGTTGCAAACGAGAGGTGGAACAAAACAGACCGGAGGAATCGGCACTGGCAGATCAATCACTGTCGCAGCCGGGACCGCGGTAGAAGGTGATCTCGCTGGCATTGTCATCGAGGAAGCGGAACGCCTTGCGGCGCAGAATCTTGAGCTTCTTTTCAATCTTCTTGACAGCACGAGCAGCGAGCGACTTCTTCTTCTTCTTGACAGAAGAGGCAGAAGATGACTCGATGCTCTCGACCTCGTCGGTGTGCTGAGGACCAGCAGAGAAACACTTCATAGTCTGGCCATCGAACAGACGAGGAGTCAGCTCCATTGAGCGTCTCTCATGGAACTGGCGGGAAGCGAAGGCTCCCTCAGTGGGGATAGGGGGAGAAACTGGCTGAGTAGAGGTTGAGACACGAGCCAAAGTGGGGAAGTCCTCTCTGTCGCGGGTGTGGAGCCACTGGATGTCGTTGCCCTNTTGCTTAATTTCATGAGCGATTCTCTCCTTGCGCTCACTCTCAGTCTCGAGGAGCTCGCGTTCGGCTTGAGCAAGCTCACGACGTCTGGCGAAGTGATCTTCCTCTTCCTCCTCATTCATAGGGGAGAGATTGACGTAGTTGGGGTTGACGTCCATGTCAGGAGCCTCGATAATCAGTCTCGGCTTCTTGGAGATCTTGCGGAGCCAGTCAGGTTGATTCTCAGGGTCCTCGCTGTCGTCGCCATCGCCACCCGACTTGCTGTCCTTGGGTTTCTTGCTCGCAGCCTCGTCGTCCTGGGCGTCCTCAGAGTCCTCGGAGTCCTCAGTGTAGTCCTGGGAATCATCGTCTTCGTAGCGCTGACCATCACTCGAGATGCCGTGAATGGCGGCATCGAGTCTCTCCTNGACCCTCTTGTAGAGGATCATCAGGCGGGCGTACTCTTCCTCGTCCTTCTTGATCTGGTGCTTATCCTTGCCGTATAGGTTGATGAGCTTGGGCAGTCTGCAGATGATCTCCTCGGCGATACGAATGTCTCTAGTGTTGAAGCATGCCTGAACATTGTAGAGGCCTTCCTCGTCAGCTGGAGTCAAGAAAGGGTCGTTGTCGAAGTCGAGAATGGTCAAGATCATGTTCTCATCGAGCTTGATGTTCCAATTGGGGTCAGGCAGGGCTCTCAGGCGTCTCATCTGAGGGCTGGTAGTGATGGAGTCGCTGTCAGAGTCATCGTGAATGATGCGGTTGACATCTGCAGCTCTCTGGAGTGTACGCTTGAACGAGGGGGCAGATGGCTTGATGCCATTCTTGTACAAGGAACGAAGGGTGTTGCAGAGCTTCTCGAGAACCTCTTCGGCCGAAGTGCTGCCAATGCTGGAGTTGCTGTCGAAGGAGCTGGCGCTGGCAAAGCTGTCACAGTCGGAGAAGTCTTCGGGATCCAGGGCTTTGACTTTGGCTCTCTCGTTGCGTCTGATTCTTCTCTGGTACTTCTTGTACTCGATGGCTCCAGCTTCCCACTCTGCCTTTCTTCTGGCATTACGCCAAGCCATCTCTTCATCATAGGCCTTCTGAGAGGTGGGAGTGTAAGGGTAATGAAGGGGNNGAGCGGCACGACGCATCCACTCCTCATCGCTGATCTCCTCAAACATGGGGAAGATACGGTGAGCGCGTTCCTTAGCGGTCAAGTCCTCGTCTTCGTACAAGAACTTCAAGCCGAGGTGACGCAACACGAAGCGGCCCCATTTGGGAGTCGGCTTGATAGGGTTCTACGGTTAACAAAAGGTTAATAAACTTCTTCAACCATGACTTTCTCGAGCAAAAAAAAAACGAATCAGTGAACTTACTCTCTTCATGGATAACTCCTCACTGCCCACAATCTCCCAGAACGTCTGTTCCAGGAATGCATAGACCTCGGGAAACGTCTTGTTGACGATGCAGGCAGCAGCAAGGGCGCCAGCAGGCTTCATGTGTCTAGGCAGCTGCCAGTAGCCATTGTTCTCGCCCACCTTGGGGGGAGGCATGTCGTACATGACTCTGGTGTAAGTCATGTTGAAAGATCTTGGTAAGTCTAGACAGTGTAAGTTGTCGTGAAAGAGTGTCGAGAAAGGGGGCACAAGAGGCGCACTTACCGGTGATGCGCAAGAAGAGCCGGGTCTACGACGAAGAACAAGTGCTGTTAAACGCAAATGCGCGAAGACAGACTGGTTCTGGCGGAGGTAGTTCACGGTGGTGGAAGGAAGAAAGAGAGGACAGAAGGAGGCGCAACGGGACGAATCTGAAGCAAACACGACCTCTCGCTTTGTAAGCGCAGTGAACTGAAGGACTGGCACGAACTGAAGGCAATAATGAACGGTATACAGTACAAAAAGGTGGATTTTTGGTGGTAGAGGAGGAAAATTCATTATTTCGCAGTCACGTGCGATGCTCACTTGGGGTCACCCGGACCTCACTTGATTTTTCTCCTTTGTTTACCTCTTTCTCCTCCTCATGCCCCTTGTCCTATTGGCCGATTCTCATCAAGCATTCACGTTGAATGGCTTGTCACTTACTCACACTGGTTACTAGATGGTGTTCACTCACGTGATATGGGCCTCTGTCACATGCAGATGTCTTCTGAATCAATTTTGTACAGGGTCGAGCAACGACGAGTGCACCATCTACTCCTATCAGGATAGGAGGTTGGAAGCTCCCATATCGAATGCAGGTTGTTCAGGGTGCTATTGAAATGCATAATAGTTTAATATATTATCTTTTGTCCGGTAAAAGCCCAGGATCTATGATACTCTCTCTGGACATCATCGTAGATACGAAACCACTGTGCATTTTGATGGCTTTGATAAGAGACATGTTGTATCTGGGAGCAAACTGTTCGAAAAGACTGTCTAGGGCTGAGACTTTGTATAGCAAGAATCTCTCCCAGACCAACGAACGTTCTAGTATACTATAAAAATACACAGTAGTTTAAGATTTCTAGTTTTGTCCACTGAGAGCTCAAGAATCCATCTAATCTCTCTAGACAAACTCTTTGATCTCAAAGCAATTGTGCATTTTGATGGCATTGATAACAGACATGTTGTCTTTGGGAGCGAATTGTTCGAAGAGCCCCTGCCTGGGGCTGATACTTTTCATAGTAAGGATCTCTCTCCTAGGCAAACAAGTTTTCAAGGATGCTATCGAAATACACAATGATTTGAGAGTTCTGGTCTTGTCCAGTGAAAGCCCATGATTCTGTATACTCTCTTTGGACAAACTCTTCGAACTCAAAGCTATTGTGTTATCCGATAGCATTGATGACAAGTTTGTTGTATTTGGGAGTCACTCAAACAAAGACACATGGTAGTATGTGGTATAAAACGTTGTGAAGATCCTATTGACTAGTTAAGAGAGACAACAAGCTTCTTAGCAGAAACGCCCTTTCTCAGAATATCCGTTGCTTTCTGCAAGGATTCCAGCCCAGTTCCCACGACCTCTGCTTGAGGAGCTGCCTTGTATTTGCCTTCTGCGAGAGCTTGAGTCGAGAAGTCCACAAAGACGGCTTCTCCGACGCCATTGTCCGTGATCGTGGTTGCGAAGACGCGGTTGTGTTTGAAGTTCTCGGGTATTTCCTCAGGTAGACGCACGGTGGTCGTGAAGAACTTGTGGCCCTCGACTTTGGTGAAGAGGTCCGCACACAAAGAAATGCAACTACTGGCATCTCCAGCAGTGTGCAGGACACCAGCGAAGGTCTTGCCTTTGAACGCGTTTATGAGCTGCTCGAGCAGAGTTGCAGGATCAGCGTTGTAGTCGAAGGCTTCGCTGGCACCCAGATCACGGACGAGCTCAAAGTTCTTGGGTGAGGCTGTGGTGATGACCTCGTAGCCGGCAGCAATGGCTAGTTGAATAGCGTTGATGCCAACACTGGAAGCGCCACTCCAGATCAGGACAGTCTGTCCAGTGGGCTTGGGAGAGAGCGAGGGGTACTGCAAAGCAAGCTGATCATCTTGGAAGAGACCACAGGCGGCTGTGGCAAGGCCTAAGGGCAGCACAGCAGCGTCATTGTAGGAAAGGCTGTCCGGAATCTTCGTGACCATTCTTGCGAGTACGACAGTGTATTCTTGGAAAGCAGCACCAGAAGGCTTGTTGGCGACCAAACCTCCAGCCAGAGCTAGAACTCTGTCGCCCAACTTGAGCCTTGAGACTGCACCGCCAACTTCGACCACTTCGCCAGCGACGTCTAAGCCTAGAATCGTTGGATAGGAAAGAAATGGGAACGAAGCATTGTCTTGCAGCATAACGTCGATCGGGTTCAGGGCAAGCGCATGGTTCTTGATAACCACATAATCGTCGGGAGGAGAAGTATAGGGAGCGTCCTTGATTTCATGTGGGACACCTGGCTTAGACTGCCAAGCTGCAGTGTTGGAAGGCATATTGATCGTGGAGTTGCTTGTTAGGTTTTGTGTTGTTTGTGTTCATTCTTGGTTCAGGGAGGTGGCATACTATATACCCTCACGGTGTCGGTGATGTTTATGTCCGTCGGAAGGATGCAAGGAGTTACATGGCCCAAAGAGGGAATCGCTATCTCCGTCGGAGGATCTTTCGGTGACCGGTCAAGACCTTGATTACATGGTTTTCCATGTATTTGCATGCAATCTCTCGAGACTGCTCTAGCGTTCATGTCGGCTGGTTCGGATCAACCTGATACCTCACGTTCCAGGCGGTGGGCTGTCACTTAACTGTCAGAGATTTAATATGTTACCCGCGAAGATGACATCGAGGTAGATTGTAAGCTGATTGCAGGACCGTAAGCTGATTGTACAAGAGTTTCTAGATGTTGAAAATGTTTCTCGTCATGCGAGGCAGGCTCCGGTAGGTAATGGCAGGTTTGATCGCTCGGATTTTGGAGGATACTCGGCCGAGACGTGAGGCATTCGTATCTCAGCTTCTTCCTTTGTCGCTTGAACAACCAGTGAGGTTCTCAAAAGCATCATGTTGGTAACCCATACCGTAGATATTCACTTCCAACTTCCACGAGCGTGCGCTTTGGAAACTTGTCGAACAACCAAGCATGCGCGAAGGCTTCGAAGCGAAGTGTGTCTGCAAAGAGAGGAATCTATCTAGGTTACCCAGAGAGACGATAGCACACAGAAATGGAAGCGACGAGTAAGCTTCAATCTTGCCCTTTTGTTTTGCTGGAATAGTGGCACTCAACAGGAACCGAGCAAATATGATCTGTGGTAATGTCAGGAGATAGCGCATGCACATGCTGATGAAGGAACGTGGACAGACTGCAGACTCGATAGAAAAATGAGACCGTGTTGTGAAAGCTGAGATCGATGCAAAAGAGTTAAAAGACGCGAGAACAGCGGCACGGTGATGGCGGAAGCAGGCCAAGGGAGGCCGTGTTGAGACATGATTGCAAAAGCGATCAGGAGATGCGACAGCATAGTTCGAAGCAAGAAAGGAGATGATATAGCTGAAGAAAATACAAAAAAAGGTGGAAACCTCGAAGGGGTAGGGGCCCCAGCTGGTTTCTGATAAAGTCTTCGTGGCAAGGGCAGGATTCGAACCGAGACGTTTCCCAAGCTACCCTCCTTCCAGTAAACTGGGCGGGGATTTACATGTTGGGCGTGTTAACCACTACACCACCGAACCAAACCAGACATGGATAATCCCAAACTTACCTTGAATATATAGCTTAATGCCACGGCAGCAGCCAGAACATTCGGTGGCACTCAGACACTTACAAATAACATATGCAAGGATACCAAACTCCTGAGCCATGAGGAGACGCTTTTCCATAGGGTAGTGACCAGTATTCTTCTTGGATATGTTGCGTCGGTCTCTTCGCGCACCGCCACTCGGCGCCGATTGCGCTTTTCAAAGTCCGGCAAGACGCCGGTAGCGGAATAACAGATGACAACAGCATCGCTCATGCCTTCCCTCAAAGATAGCTCGCAACCATCTAAGGACAAGTCGTATTCTGGTGCTCCAGCCAATCCAGGTTTGGGAAGATGGTTCCACACGGCGTGGTTGGCATATGATTGTTGCGCGAGCAGCGATGCTGCCATAGCACACGCAAGGTAAGCTAATTGACCGCCGCCAGGATGCATGACTTTGCGTGTACTGAACACTACGACAGAAGTGTAATGTTCGCCTGTTTGTCGCGACCTCTCACGAGTGTACACCCCATAGCACTCTCGATTTCTCCATGGCGAAGCGCTCCTGACGTCTCGAACGACTCGACTGTACGGCGATGCGACAGTAGCTATTGACAACACCGAGCCCTTGCATAGACGATACTTCATCGTGGATGTTGTTGACCGAGAATAGCCTTCGGGCAAGTCGACGACCGATAGATACCAGGAATGTCACCGACAATAGAGAGAAAGAGCTAGGGTTCGGATTCGGATTCGTCCATGGACATCTCCGAGGTTACTCTATCAATCCTTTGACAGATGTTCCAGTCTGCATATTGTCCCGATGGAGATATGTCCGAGGTCCAGTTGTAGAGATAGAATCGGATGAATGGGCAGTGTAGCTCGACAGCAATACCTGGTACAGATGTCTGGTTGGAGGCCTCCCGCCTAAGGCCTAGGGTCAAGAAAGGTCATAGATGAATGCTATGCTGGATCAGACTTGCTGTGCAGCTGCTGCCTTCATTCTCAATCTGGTTCGACGAATTGGGCAGATGAGTCACATCAGCCACTACATACCTACAAACCAAAATGTTCAAGACCACTCAAGGCCCTGCATTGATTCCCCTCAGACAAAAACATCATTCCTGATCAAACAAGATCTGCTGAAGAGGAGCTGATGTTGGAAGAATCCTGCATGAACGGCTGGTCAATGCGTTGATCTTCCCACAACACTCGCACATGAGAATCTCGTGATTTAGCCGCTTGCTCTCCTTTCTTGGACCAACGTCAGGTCTTGTCTGACATTCATCCATTCCCAAGATAGTGCTTGTCAAGTCAACCACAATGGCTACATCAATCTGGAACCGCAAGTGTGATCTGATCTACTTGGCCTTCTTCCTTGTGCACATCCCAGTCATGTTTTGTAAGATCAACTCTTTTGTTGGCATAACAAACTTTGGCCAGCAATTTGTATTTGTGTAATGCAGAGCTAACCTGAACCCCAGGNNTGTCGACCTCACACCGCTGTATCCAGCAGCCCTGAAGCCCGCGTTCATGACGGATCTGAGAACATGGTACATCACCACTTACAGAGATCAATTCTTCTCTTCTCCACCGTAAGTGTACCTTATGGCTTTGTCCAAATACACTCAATTGATCTTGTATCAGNNTGCCTGGTTCGATACCTACATCTGGCTGGAAGCTCTCTATCACGTCCCGCTGAGTCTGTGGGCTGTACCAGCTCTTCTTCGAGACGATCCCAAAGTACCACTTCATCTTCTTACCTTTGCTCTTGAAGCTGGTCTCACCACATTGACTTGCATTGCCGACTATCTGAGCTGGAGTGGCTACTCAAACAACGAGAAGGTCGAACTTACAAAGCTCTATCTACCCTACCTGGCACTGGCTGTCTTTATGGGTCTTGATATGTTCTACCGTTTGAGCGGAGTCATCTCTATGAACAAGGCAACTAAGGGAAGAAAGACACAATAGACAGGCTCTCAATGGAACAACCATACTTTTCAACTACTCTTTGCCTTTTGCTGGTATAGCAGAAGGGCTGCAGCTTCACTGGGATCTCGTTGATCGCGCCCGAACGTGGACTAGCCTCGTCGCCGACTAATCGCGGCTGCGCAGCTGCCTGGTATATAGAGCTTTCACATCTTCTTCTCGCGCTCGCTTTTCTTTCTTTCTTTCTTTGCGACAACCATCAAAAGATGTCTTTCTGCTCTGGTTTCCGCGCTCTCTTCTCCTGCTTCGGCAGCAACAACAACAGCAACAGCAACAAGGGCCTGGCCAGCCCCCCTCAAGATCGTGAGTTCTCGTTCTCTCGCGTTGGCTTTTACAAACTACTGACGCATGTNCACCAGAGCGGCCCTAGGTGCTTTACGCACCACAAGACGGGAAATCCCAACATCCCGCTGCGTGCCTTTGTGAGCACGCCACCTCCATACGTCCAGCCCGAGCGCCCCTGAAGGCCGGGTATTGGGTAAGTGTCAAGATCTCTGCTCTGCGGCATCCTTGTTGATTGACTTTTGTGTGTACAGACAGGGATGGTTGGTCGTGACTCGTTACCTCCTCCTCTGGGCCCGAGGCGCCCCCCTCGCGGGTGTCCTCATTTCTTTCTCCTTCGTGGGGCCCCCCTTTTGGCCATTAGGTCATATATAGAGTGATGCAATCAAACCTCGCTCTCAACCCTCTCAATTTGTCGATGTGTGCCTGTGATTATAGTGACCGTGACTCCTCTTCATGTAATGATATAGTAATTTGGTAGACTTGTAGTGATGCATAGTGTATTTGAGATTAAAGTGGTGTCCAGAGAGAGTCTAGCATTTGAGTTGCTTCTCTGGCACACTCATGATTGTCATTGATATCATGCATTCTGATAATATACTAACCATAGATGCATGGGCTTCGAGATATAAAAGCAAGGCTATACCAGGCACATTGATATCATTTCGCCATTCCTACATCTCTCCGGCACAACCTACTCTCAAAACCGGCTATCAAAATGCAGAAAGGTATTGAGACAACAGGTAGTGACCAGAGAAGAGCATGTTTAATAAGCTTCCCAGCCGGAAAAAAATGTATTCATTACCTTTTGTTCGATTAAATGAACAAAAGACTATATGCTATTCAAAACGCCAACCATGATTTCTATTCTGCTGCAGGCGTGGGTGGGATCTCCCGAGCATCGACAAACTCAACGGCTGGGCTTGGTTCGTCAAAGTCCACAGCTCCGTCTGCAGTTGGTGGTTCTAAGGAGCTTGGAGCATCCGGTTTCGTGTTCTCGTCTGCGGGCACAGAGGGTGTTGGGTCTGTTTTGTCATCCTCAACAGCCGCAGATGGTTCTTCAGTACTCTTCTCTGCTAACGTCTTATTGCTTTCCGTGTTGGGCTCTGCAGCATTCTGCGTGGCGTCGGCGGCAGCTTCGGGCTCGGCAGCAGCAGTCTCAGCAGCGGCCGCGGCTGCCTTTGCAGCAGCATCGGCAGCTCTCTTGGCAGCTCTGTCTCTCTCCCTCTGCTGGAGCAGCTCATAGTTCTCCTTTCTACTCCTTTCGTCTTTGAGTTTGCGCAAGCGCTCCGCCTCTTCCACACCACCGCTCTTCTTGAGTTTCCCTTCCTCAACGAAACTGCTGAGCTCCTTTTGGAACTCGCCGTCACGACGTTCTTCCAGTTCTCGTTGACGTGCCTTTTCAGCGCGCTCGATGGCTTCGAGACGAGATTCGTGGTTCGGTTGGAGTGCGCGTACTTCGCCCAGAACGCCTGTACGAGCTTTCTCGGGGTCGCCACCACGGTCGAGGGCAACAGGGTTCAGTGTGCGAGAAGAAGAGCGAGGTGTGTTTTGCAGATTCTGTTGTCTTGTAGCTTGCTCGACAAGTGCGAATGTTTCAGCCGCCTTCTCGAGGTCATCTTCCAAGTCGATGCAAAGCTCTTCCTGCATGGTGAGCAAATCTCTATCCTCACAGACGACTTGCAACTCTTTCTCCCAGATCTTGGTCCAGATGGGTTTCTCACGTTTGAGGAACTCTTGCAGTTTCTTGAGGCCTGATGTTGCGGTGGAGATGTCTTTGCTGACGGCATCGAGTTGACGCGGTAGTGGTCGAACTCCGCGTTGCACGACGTCTTTGCGAAGATCCTCCACAGTGTCTTGCAAATCATCCACTTGGGTGACAAGCTTCTCGCTGTCATCTGAAAGCGATTTCTTGCCACCATTGACGTATGATCGACCAGAACCAGCAGACATGGAAGGAACACGCGCCTTGTTCGCAGCAGACTTTACTGTAGCAGCTTTAGTTCGAATAGAGGACATGGAAGAGTTGATGTCGTCGACAAATGACGTGTATGTTTGACGAACAACAGCAAGTTCGCGACGGAGAGATTGAACTTCAGTAAGCTGAGCGGGTGTGCCTTTGGATGATGCAGTCTGGAGCGGTGGCGGAGTTGCGTTAGGTGTCTGAGCGCGTGGGGGCGCTGCCACTATCGTAGCCATCTCCTTTGCGGCCTCTTGTTGTCTCTCAGAAACGCGATGGATGGCAGATTGCTGATCGTCCACAGCAGCTTTCAAGCTTTCGATCATACTCTTGATACCTCCGATGCTATCGTCAAAGTGCTTCTTGACTTCGTCGAGCTGTTCCACGTTCAAAACAAGTACAGCACGATCCTTGATATCAGCCAGATCTTCCAACTCATGACGTACTCCTGATACGGGGTCTTGCAAGTAGATTTCGGGAAGGTCGTTGCCGTTATTGTGTGTGTTCCAAGCAAACTTCTCAATAAAAGCAAGCTGAAGCCTGGCTATAGACAAGTCACCACCATCAGGCAGAACAAACTTTTTGATCTTGCTCTTGTACTGAAGGAAAAGAGTCAACTCCTTGCCAGGTTGTGGCGAGGACTCGGGTACAAACTGTTGCTGAGAAGAAGCCTTTTCAGTAGATGGAGGAGGGGTGGTTTGCCGTTGTATTCTAGACTTGCGGCGCTGCAATTCTCCTCCTGCTGTTTCCTCGAAGGTCGATTCAACGATGGTGTCGGGGATCGGCCCATTGACAGTGGCGCCCAAATCAATCTCGTCCGATGTTGGTTGCGTCGGGAATGGGTAAGCTCCTCCAAGTTTATCCTCGGGTGTCTTGGGCATGGGACTAGCACTCTCCAGACCCGCGGTCGATGGTAACTCTGCCACATCTGTGTCTATTGACTCTGTGGCCCTTGGCTCTTCTGGTCGCTCCCTCCTGCTGGGTGAGTCCTGTGCAGTCTTTTGTGACGATTTCTGCCTGTTGTGAAGATAGCTTCGCGTGCGAACGGCTTTCATGGATTCGCGCGTGTCTTGACCTCGATTGGGTATTGGGCTGTTCTGAGCCGACGGTATCATTGGCACGCCATTGCTAGACCCCAAATGTTTGGAGATTTGGTAAGCGGAGAAACGTCTCGAGGCTCTCCTCTCCAGCTCTCCACCGCGTTGCAAAGCAGCCAGTGCATCTTGTTGTTTCGGTGGCGGAGGTGGAGGCGGCAGAGGCAGGTTGTGTTCGGTATAAGGTGGTCGCGGAGACTCTTGCTGGTGGGCTACGGNGGCAGGTTCGTTTCCGTACTGTGCTGGTGGCTGGGCAGGCATCGTGTCCTCCTGGGGATACGGAGCGATGACGGGGATATTTTGCATGGCATTGCTGGACATGGATGATGTGTCGGAGTTTGAAGTATCGCGGCTTTGATCGCGGGCGTGATGTGTCGAGACAGCAGGAGTAAAGGATTCTTTCCTTGGTGACGACCTACCTCCCTGTATAGAGGCCGAGCGTGGAGGGAGGTCATGGCCAGCAGGCTCGTTGGCAACTCGTTGCGACTGGGTTCGACTGGCAGACTGGCGAGCGAGGAGGTCGTCAGCAGCCGACTCTGCAGCGCTGGCCTGCCTAGAGCTCTGGCTGCCACTGCTGGTACGCTGTCGCAAACGCTGCTGCTTCTTCTTAAGGCCATGCAGTAGGTTGATGATGATATCGCGGATGCGTGGGAGAAAACGGTCGAGGCTCTGTTGACTGGCTTCCTGGCTGAGAGTCTCCTCGAGAATGGCGCGCAGAAGGTCGGGCACAGGGCCAAGGTCCTGAGTATCGACACCTATGCCGTTGAAGGCGCGACAGGCAATGTTGAACTCATAGCCCAGGCGAACATAGACATCCGAGACCTCACTCTCACTGGCAGCATTGCGAGACCACTGGGTCAAGGTTTCAAGGAGCTGCTTGGTAGCGACGAGCAGGTGTGTAACGCTCTTTTCGATAGTCGACAGTTGCTGCGGCTGCGACGACTGACGCGCTGAAGAGCGAGCAGCCGATGATCGTGAGCCTGAGCTGCTCCTAAGACTCGGGTCTTCGTTGGCCATGACGGGTCACGGTTAACACACTTCTTAGTACCGTAGACAGACGGCGGGTGCTGCTTGGAAACGCAACGCGGCGCCTAAAGGGGCTGCTCAAACAAGGGGGATGGGCTCGCGTGGCGCCTGAGAACCCAGGACGAGCAGAAAAGCAATGCGACAACGCTAAGTAAACAACACGAACGAACAAAGAGTGCTGTCGCCAAGTCACCCAGCACAGAATAGAGGACAAGACGGTTTGCCTGAAGCCATTTCTGCTTTCTACTTGACTAAGAGCTCCTGATGCTGGCCTCGGTGCATGCTTTGGCTCTCCACTTGAAGCTTCTTGGCCGAGTCGAAGCCTCGACCTGCGACGTGTGTTTCGACTGCATACGTGACTTTCTTGCAAACAATCTCAAGGTCAGTCAAGAGTTGCAGGTCAACTAGCCACCTCTTCGTTTTTCTGAATTCAACACATCCGTACCGACGAGTACTTGTTGTTGCTTGCTCAGCGGTCTACAGTCCAGACCAGGGTATTGCTCGTCGATCAAGGCGCGCGGCTCCCTCAGCAGCTGGCCATCTTCACGTGCCAACCGAAGCCCAACATTGAGTCGGCGACACAAGCCGCCTTTATTCCTGTCTCTCTCATCGAGGCACAATTGCTACCATTCTTGACTTTGTACGGTCTGCCTTGTCGCTGCCTCAGCTATAGCGACAGCCCTGCCCTCTCGACATTGCGACGACGGGTGATAGTCTCTCACGAGTTCAAAGTCTACGCGTACCGGTCAGCCCTACGCTCTGGTCGGATCGGCTTCCGAAGTGGCCGCCAAGCTCCCCATCCCAGTTGAGTGAAACACGACATCTACCCAGCTGTAGTCTGTCCTCAATCAACTGATCAGTTGTCGGGCTGCTCGCCGACTTGTTACTTGACTTCGTTCCGCTGCTGCAATACACCAGCACGCGACACTGCGAGTCCCGACTACGTTATCAGGCATTTGGTTGTTCTGGTTGCGCGTGCGAGCTCCAACATTCAGATCCCCAGTCTCCTGTCCGTCCCCTGACTGAACTAATCATGTCCGCTCAACCCTCCGCCATGAACGGTGCTTCCACATCTTCTGCTTCACAGTCAAAACAGCAGCTCAAGACAAATTCCTTCGCAAAGACCCTGGACGGTGCTCGTAAGCAGGCCGCAAGCCCCGTGGATGCCGCTTCGAGGTACGTCGAGCATGCGACATTATACCAATCCTCCGCGATCTCTAACTTGATATGACTNAGAAAATCTCCTGCTCCAAAGGCCTGGTCTCAAGGCACCAACCCCATCACACAACGCTCCAATGCTTCCACTCCCGTAACCAATGGCTTGACCAACGGCACCCCCAAGCCCACGCAATCTAAGCCCCAGCAAGAGAATGGCACGTCAAACAAGCATGCTACCGACAGGCTTCTGTTCCTGATCGCAAACTTTACCGTACGAACTAGCCACCCTCTCATGCCAAACCTGTCGGACTAACCTTGATATATGTTGCAGGGCATGGAAGTTGCTGTCTTCCTCTTGAACGGAGAGAAGTTTACTGGTGTCTTCTCTTCTGCTTCCACCGAACCTGCCAACCCTCGTCTGACTCTGAAGTTTACCAAGAAGCTCAGTCAGCAAATCAACGGCACCACCGACCAGTCCGACGCATACATTGGTGAGGGCGAAGATCATGTCATGACCTTCAGCCTGCTCGACGTCGTAGATCTCTCGGTCAACAATCTCTTCTTGGCTACCTCCGAGACAAGAGCCCATCAATCGAACGCCCCTAGCTTCCGTACCGATGTCGAGATTTCAGGAAACCTCAACATCCGTGAGCGCGAGCTTCAGCCCTGGCAGCCTAGCGCAGATACCGCCATCGACATGTCGCTCGAAGACAACTCGCGTCCAGGAGAATGGGATCAATTTGCTGCCAACGAAGCCCTCTACAATGTCAGAAGTGACTACGACGAGAATCTTTACACCACCGCCATCAACAGATCCGACCCAGACTACAGACGCAAGGCAGCCGAAGCTGAAAGAATCGCTCGGGAGATCGAACGCAGCGCTCCTGTGAACTCTCACGTCGCCGAGGAACGTCGCATGAACGCTGAGAAAGATGGCGGCCTTGATGAGGAAGANAAAGTAAGTTGGGCTGATAAACCAACTCCACGACTTGTTGCTGATACCTCTTTCAGATACAGTGGTGTCCGTCGCGAGACCAACATCACATCGCTTCTCAAGCAGGGTGCACCAAATGCTTACGTTCCTCCATCGCGAAGACCGATCACTAGCCAGCCTACTGTACCAGGTGCTCCGTTCGACCCAGCTATCGTCTCGGTTGCACGCCCTAGCCCATCTACAGCTACAAACTCGGACAGTCAAGCTGCCTTGTCTAAGAAACCAGAGCAGGAATCGCAGGCTTCAAAGGAAACGTCGACTCCAGCAGCGGCAGCAGTCCCTTCTGTGCCGTCCGTGACGGCTCCTTCTGGAGAAACACCAGCGGCCACCGCTAAGCCCGCCGCAGCCACTGCTGCACCTGTATCCAAGCCGATTCCTTCGATCAACGCTGGTAAAGGTGCTACTGAAGGTGTCGAGCGTAAGGTCCTGGACTCATTCAAGCAGTTCTCCAACAATGAGAAGCTTCGCGTTCAGCAACATCAACGTGTTGTGCAGGAGCGTCAACGCGCCAGTGCCCGTCAGGAGAAATCGGTCAAGCTGAATGACCTCAAGAAGTTTGCCGAAAACTTCAAGCTCTACTCACGCGTTCCCGAAGACCTTGTGCCCATCCTTGCTAAGACAAAGGAGAAGCAGAACCTGATCGTTTCAAAGGCCGAGCTACAGGCGCGTGAGAAAGAGTCAAAGGTCACATCCGCTGAAGCGAGCCCAGCTCGCATCGCACCTGCCAAACCTGAAGTCGCTTCTACTGAGGTTAACCAAGCACAGCCAGCAAGCCAGCCCGCGAAACGTCCAGAAACTGCTAACGAGCCTGGCTCTCCATTGAGCCAAAGGCGTATGGCTCAGAACATGAGACAAAACCAAGCCATTCCTCCTCGTGGACCTGGCATGTCTCACGGCGTTCCTCCCCGATCAGCTCAACAGTACAGAGCTCCTATGGCTAACATGCAAATCCCCACGCCTATTNNCCCCCCTCCCGAGATCCGTTCACCCCCCACCGGACCTGCCTCCCGCGAACTTACCAGCCCTTCGACTGCTTCTGCCAGACTAAACGTCAAGGCAATGGAGTTCAGACCTAACCCATCAGCAAGCACGTTCACTCCCACATCACCTACTAAGGCAAGTTCACAGCCTGCCAAGCGTCCCAGCATCTCTGCTGCTTCGCCGGCCAAGTTTTTCGCCCGCAAGAGCGAAAAGCCCTTGTCTGAACGTACTCCTCTCAAGGATGCATTCAACCCCGTCAAGTACATGCTCGAAACCACTGCGGCTGAGGGTAAGACTGAAACCTTCTCATCCAATGGAGGAATCCCGCAAGCATATCGCACTCCACCAACATGGGAGGTCGCTGAAGCCAACAAAGACAAGACATACCGTGATATGTTTGCTCAGAGTCCAGTCGCCGCTATTCCACCTATGCACACCCCTACCAACAGTGTCATGGCACACTCTCATCAACTTCCGCCTCATCTGCAGAATGGTCCTCCCAACAACCAAACCCCTCGCTTCTACCCTCCTCAGCCTCATCACCCTGGCCAACACTATGACGAACACCGCATGCAGTACGGTTCAAACACTCCGTCCGTCCAGCCATCTCCTCGTCTGCCTCCTGCAATGGCCTATGGTCCGCAGATGCACCCTCAAATGCAGCACTTCCCTGCAGGCATGCCTCCCTATGGTATGATGCGTCCTCAGCAATTCGGTAGCCCTCAGGGTCCTCCCATGGGTGGTCACATGATGGTGCAGCAGTCGTCTAATGGACCCTTCATGAACGGCGCAATGGCACAGCAGGTGCCAATGTATGCTTCGCCTGTGCCCGGTCATGTACAGCCCCACTTCCCAGGCCATCCCACTCCTCAGCCCGGCCCAGGCTTTGGACGCGGTCATCCTATGAGCCATCAAGGATCTCAGCAAGGACACCCTGGACAGATGTATATGCAAATGCCGCCCGCTGCGCCCATGATGATGCAGCAACATCCCGGACAGAGTAAGTTGTCCCGAAGAAAGTTTGTACGGACATCGTTATCTAACATGTTTACAGTGCAGCAAATGAGAAACTTCCCTCAGGGCCAGTATCCAGGTGGTCCCCAAAACCAGCACGGCTACCCTATGCAGCACCGTGCCATGTCAAACCAGGGTTACAATCACAATCAGATGACCCCTCGCCAACACCACGCAGCCCCTCAACAAGGACCCAGCCCAGGCATGCCACCAATGCAGCCCGCTGTCCCAGGAGATGAGGGCAAATGAGTCAGCACACCGGCTGCCATGTCACGATGGCACAGGATGTTGAGATAACGTGACCACGCCTTAGGAGAGATGAGATCCAAGTATTTACTGACTATTTCTCCTACCGCGCCAGGAATCAAATCGATTGGGAGGATGACGAGTCACTTGGTATGACTATACCGTCCCATTTCAGATGCAGTACGATTTCGTCTCACAAGGTCGACCAAGACTGTATAGTTTACTCAGGCCAAAGAAGGCAAAATTGGCAGGGCGAAGAGGGTTGTCAATATGGGAGCAAGCTTGATGAGATGTGCTCCAGCTTCAGTATTGGCAGATAGGAGAATGAATGAGGAGATTATTGGAGGTGGATAGCTAGCGAAGACACGCCATGAATGTAAAACGCAAAACGTCGGAACAAGTGTGCACTCGTGCGTGCTCTACCTGCCCCCTGGTGATATGCTCTAGATTAAGGTGTGATCGTCAGGCCCTGGAAAGTCGATCACAAGCCACCTCCACGAATCCGGACCTCGGCCTTTGGCGGCTTTTGGCTCCTACATATCTGAACTCCTGGATGGACGAACATCACCAGTTCGTACGGTCTGTCCCTTCGAACCATATTGCAGAAGAACTAGAACTCGAGAACATGCGTGCTGTCGCTGGCGATGAATCTCAACAACCACTGATAGCCGACGAGAGCGGCGACGACGCCACCGCACTCCCTGAGGTCACCCGAAAGCAAGCAAATCGTTTGATCTGGCTGTTGACTCTCAGTGCAGGTCTGAGCGGATTGTTGTTCGGTTATGAGTGAGTCCGGATCAGAAAATCACTTTGTAAGATGTTTACTTACCACTTGAAAGTNACTGGTGTCATAAGTTCCACACTTGTCTCGATCCATGAGGATCTTGGACGTCCTTTATCCACATTCGATCTGTCTGCTATCACAAGCAGTACTTCTTTGCTGGCGTTACTCGCATCGCCTTTGGCAGGACACTTTGCGGATGTTGTCGGTCGTCGGCCCGTCATTGCAGCTGCTTGTGGACTGTTCATCTTTGGCGCCTTGTTCCAGTCTGCTGCGACCAATGTGTGGACTATGGTAATCGGGCGATCTGTTGTTGGCGCTGCTGTAGGTGCAGCTAGTGCCGTGGTACCGTTGTATATCGCAGAAATCGCGCCAGCAGATCGAAGGGGACAACTCGTATCTGTACAGAGTCTGTTCATCACAGGAGGCCAGGTCGTAGCTTACCTTGCTGGCTGGGCAGTCATGGGACGCTGGCGCTGGTCTGTTGGCTTTGGAAGTGTTCCCGCTCTGATACAGGCTGCGCTGCTCGTTGGTATGCCCGAGTCTCCCCGCTGGTTGGTCTTAAAAGGCAGAGACGACGAAGCCGCTGCAGTCTTTACCAGACTCGGCCATGATGACTGCGACCACATTGTTTCTCAGGTCAAGCACGAGGTTCAAGAAGAACAACTCAGTGCCGGTGGAAGCATGTTCAAGGAACTCATCACCGTACCAGCCAATCGACGTGCCTTGACCATTGCTGCAGGACTTCAAGCTCTGCAACAACTTTCTGGCTTCAACTCTTTGATGTACTTCTCGGCTACCATATTCTCTTTGGTTGGATTTACTTCACCCATTGGAACTTCGCTGTCGATCTCGGTCTCTAATTTTGTGTTTACCCTTCTGGCATTTGCGATTATTGATACAGTGGGACGCCGTCGCATTCTGCTCTACTCGATTCCATTCATGATCCTTGGACTCGCTAGCTGCGCTCTCGCGTTCTTACATATTGACGCTTCGCCCTCAGACTCAATGTCACCATCTTCAGATGCATCAGCCGAAACCTCAAGTCCTTGGTCGCTAGTCCTCCTTTTCTCCCTCATTTTCTACGTTGCTGCGTATGCAAGCGGTTTAGGCTGTGTGCCCTGGCAACAAAGCGAATTGTTCAGTCTCTCTGTAAGAAGCATGGGATCAGGCCTGGCGACTGCAACAAACTGGACCAGCAATTTCATCGTTGGAGCTACTTTCTTGCCTATGATGCATGCTTTGGGACCTAGTGTTACTTTCCTTGTGTATGTGTTTATATGCTTGGTTGGATATATCTGGGTTTGGAGATGTTATCCAGAGACCAAATCGCTGGAACTCGAACAAGTCAAGAAGTTGTTGGAGAATGGATGGGGTGTCAGGGCAAGTGAACGTCCAAGCGATTTAAATGGATAGTCGTAGATACAGTTTCGAAGAATATAGATGTAAGAGTGGGAAGATACGACTGCACTCCGCCTTCTCGCATTTCGTTCGCAGATGAACTTGGACAAACAATGGTTGGCAAAGATGACATATAGAGTAATGGTTTATGCGATCTAGAAAGAGTCACATGCTCGGTATATGGCTTGTTTTGTCCAAGTAACGATGACGAGACCCATACAGGGTCATACCTTCGACGATAATTCTTGGATCGTCGCAATTCTCTCGCATATTATTGAATCCTGCGATGCTGCGCCTTTCTTCATCCTCTTGCATTTTACATCTCCTCAAGAACAGGTAGATCTCATCAGTTGAGGGATTCGGAGATTAATAGGACTGATATTAAATGTTGAAGAAATCGCCGGAGGTAGCTGTGAGGGCTGACTCAAGCAGAAGAAGGTGTGTCATCAAGATCGCTCCAGCTGGTGATATGACGAAAGCTGAATCAACAAAGTGCGACTCGAGGACGCCGGACTCCTCGAATTCAGCACTCTATCGAGTTAAAAGACTTACCATCTTTGAATGGACAAAAGAAATGCGAAACATACAGCAGCAGGGATTCCCACGTGGTCACCCACCGTAGTACTAATCTGCCGTTCAACTGCTTATGTATGGCAGAGCGGACGGGATGCCCAGTTTTCAGCTGACTGTGGCCGTATGTGCTGAAACTAGAATTTTGATCGTGTATATTGGCACGACATACTACTTTCAGTCAACCACACGCTGGTCAAAAGTTGTGTCTCAGGCTTCAATGAGAGCTTAAACAATGTGTTTGTTCTGACAACTCTGTATTACTTTGTAAAGTCTCGCCAAGCCGACGTCAAGGTAAAAAAACTCGGTGCATTACCTAGATGCGGCAATTCATGATTCGTCATACAGATCTGCGTGCTAACAAGGTGGTAGGTTCACGATTTCCGGCGCCAGCGTGGGGCATTTTGGTCATCGACCAGCCTTTTTCGTTGGCTTTCCTTCCTGATTACCACGACATCTTGAAGATCAAGCATCGATGGCCCGGGTTCGATAATCGTCGATGGCAGTGAGTTATAGAAGTATTGCTAAAATGACAATCCAATGCAGTGACGATCAGCCTGCTGCTTGGTACTTAGGTCGCTGCTCTGTGGCTAAGCTCGACAAGTCTTCTCAGTTTCCTGTTCGCTGAAATGAGACATCACCTTCCTGTATTGACCTTCGCGGCTGCTGTGAGCGGCGTGCAAGCCTACCAGCAGCAACTTGACGTCCCGGATTCAGCATTCACCTCGTGGCAGCTTCCTACTGCCGTTTCAGGACCATGTGACGTTTCAATTGGACCTGACAACCTTGTTTACGTGCAAGAGTTCTTTGCCAACAAGATTGCGCGATTCAATCAGAACACTGGTGAATTCACAGAGTACGACATTCCCTTCACCGTGCCTGGACTGGACAACTTCACCCTACCGCTGCCTGGCCATGCAAAGTTCGAACTCCTGTCTTGTGCCATACGTACTGGCTATGATGGTTTCATGTACTTTAGCAACGGTGCTCACAATCAGCTCGTCCGCCACGATGTCCACAGCGGCGAAACCGTTGTCTTTACTCCTCCTCCATCCCTCTTGAGTATCTTAGGCAATCTTCAGCCTTTGAATGACTTGACTACTGCTCCGGACGGAGTCTATTTCACGCAGACCACGGGAAATCAGATCACAAAGTTCGACTACGAGACACATGAGTTCACGTCATGGACTGTGCCTACACTGCTCTCGATCCCTCTAGGCATCTACTATTCACAGCATGATGATGGAGTCTGGTTCCTAGAGTTCGGCGCTTCGAAAGTCGGCCGCCTAGATCGCCACACCCATGAGATCGAGGAGTTCGACCTACCCTTGGATGCACTACAACCTCTGGTCATGCGTGCCGAGACAGTCAACCAAGATGGCAGTACGACTCTCTGGTTCGCATGCACGACCTCGTCCACCATTACGGGTATCAACACACGAACTGGAGGCATCACTCCATACCACGAGCCTAATGCTCCCACAGAGACCGTCGAAGTAGCACAAGACTTGAAAGGAAACGTGTGGGCGACCCACATTCTGCAGAATACACTAGGCGTACTCAACCCCAAGACGGGTAATGTCAGCGTCGTTGTCGAACCAAGTGTTATTCTGGACACCCCAGGCATCACAGTCCCATTCTACGGCGAGAGCGGTATCTTCGGGTACGCTGTCGGTCAGCCACCAGGCCAAGGACAGAAAGACATTCTCGGCGACTCGATCTGGTATACGCATTTCTTGACCAACCAGTTGATCAGGCTGGACCTGACGAACGTCGAGATTCCTTGAGAACAGGTCTAGAGGAAACGAGCTACCAGGCACAAGCTAAAGCGCCAATTAGGCAAGAGAGGTAGCGACCATTGGATCATCATGCCTCTTCCGCGAGCTGAAGACAGTTATGTTGTGGTCGTAGAAATACACAGTACTTTTATGAACGGTCTGATGTCCTCGAGTCAGTCATATGCCTGCTGCAGATCAAGCGTCATGCCTCTCAACCAAATGCACGGCCCGTATGTAGGATATTGTTTACGATACTCGTTATTAATAGTAGCGCGCCTAAAAATTGTATAAAAAAGTGGACATGTCGATGTCGTTTTACCTACCTTGATTGATACTTTCCTGCCTGCCTAACGATTCAATTACATTCAGAAAGATGCACCTCAGTCTTAGCAGTCTCGTGCTTCTGGCCACTGTAGCCCTTGGCCAAACTGTCTGTCCAGCATCCTCCATCTTTAGAGTGAAGTCAATCCTCAAGAACTCTACCCACTCCAATACCACAAGCTCTTTTGGCTACGTCAAGTCATTAGGCTGGTATTCCGCTCGCTATCACGCCATCTTCGACCCTTCAGAAGATTGGACCATAGCAAGAGCCTATACCACCGATATCTTCAACCACACTGCCTCATATCTTGAGTTTGCAGATGCAAACTACGAGCACTCGAGAGGATTCACGCTAAATCCGTTGACTCAATCTACACCTACTGATTTTGCAGAAATCAATGGTGCAGATGGTCCTGGTATTGTGCCCGGAACTCAGGGGGTGTACTATGATGAGGCTGGGAAAATCCAATACAATGGGTTTGATGGGCAAAATGTGCACTGGCATGGTGAGTTGACTTGGTTATTGATGAATATCGCTCACAACTGACCCATTTGGAANGGTTGCCCGAACCGCGACTTGGAGTGGAGAAACAACGTAACCCAGCTCGGATACAGACTGTCTAACGAGACTATACCAAAAGGCTGCTTCGATGTTGATCTTGTCATCGAGTATATGGTTGGCTGGAACACACCTACGGGCTTACCACCTAAATGCTGGGATCACGCTTGATTGCGAACAGATCGAGGCGAAGTGTGATAATGGCGCCTGTCTCATATATACAATCGAGGTGTAGATAGGACATGCTAAAAGACACAATCGTCTAGGATCCTCGTAGCATGTGGAAGAGATCGTTTACTATCAACCCACGTGGCGATGGATGAGTCAAAGATGGCAGCCTCAACTCCAAGCTTCTCCCATCGCACTTTCCTTTTCCTTAACCATTCTTCAGCCTTGCTCGATTAATCAAACCTTCGGTATCTCCCAATAAACACGTACAACAGCAAGAACACTTGTACAGTTGCACAGCAAGTACCAAAGATGGAGGAACAAAGAGAGATAGCAGCACTCCAGATGAACAAAGACCTATGGTACAAAATCCACGTCCTTCTCTACGATCTCTGTAATATCGCTACCGACCGTGCAGCAGAGTCACGCACTCTGGCCACAACAGACGAGCTATACATCAGCGCGCCATACTTTACACCTGAAGAAGCCACCCTGATTAAGACCACGAACATCCTAACACCATCTCTGCATGAGATGCCGGAGTTTGAGGCACTTGACTACGAGGAGTTAACCTCAGAAGAGCCCCTGACTGTGGATCGCGAGTCGTCCTCACGCTTCGTGACCATCGAACAAGCTATCAAATATTGTCTGCGAAATTTTTTCGAAAAGCGCAGGGCGAGTGGAGATGCAAGACCTTGTGGTCCGCATGATTTGGGTCCGATTTACTGTGCAGTATTCGGGATTGCGAAAGCAGAACTCAAGGATGAGAAATTCTTGAGTCGTATGAGACGGTCAGGATTGCCACGACTGGACACGAATATGGAGCAAAACAGCGATGGATCGAGCAAGAAAAAGGAGGCAAGAAAGGCAAGCGCCAGGGCAGAAGCTCTGCTTAACTCTACCAAATCTCGACTTTGTGCTCTTTCTAGATTCGGCTGCGCAAAAGTAGCACTTCCCTACTCCAAACAAGAGCGACCGACTATTGGTGCAAGAAAGTAATCTTATCAGCTGCTCCTTCCTCCAACCCACACAAACGTCCAAAGTCACCGACTTCCCAACCTCTTAGCATGACCTTTCTCTCGAAAGCAGCCACGGGACAACTCTTTCCTGGTCCATCGTCACAACCAGGTATAGGGACAATGCCATCATTGACGACGACACGAACATAAGGTTCTGGATGAGGCGGATCGCAGTATACATGATTCGGATAGAGTGGAGCGTTTGAGTGACAGTAAACATAAGGACACACCATACGCTCAAACTCCATCCTTCCGCCCATAGGGACGACTGAAGAGGTTTTCCATAACCTGTCTTCTGGTGCCCGATCCGTGGGTAAATCTTCAGCCGATGGAATGAGATCCAGCGCAGACAGCAAAGGCAAGATATCTCCATCATGCACGAAACTGAAGAAGAGGGATCCAGCTGAATCACCAGCTGAAAGAAGGTTGGCAGTAGCGTTCAAGAAGGGGAAGCCACGGCCTGCAGAATACTTGTTTCCAGGACCGGTGCGATAGTAATGGAGTATGTCCCTAGCATACTCGAAATCTCGCCACTCGTCGTGTGTAAAGACATCACACCAGGGACTGCTTCCTCGGGCGAGCAATTCAAAACCACAAAGTTCTTGCATGGAGAAGACTTCATGGATACTCAGATTCAAGCCTGGATTCTGTTGCTCCAAACGTTGAACGATGGGCGGTATATAAACCCTTTGCCATTCTTTGAGCTTGTGCAAACCTTTATGCCGACCTTCAGGATTGTGTGGTTCGAGGTAGGCTTTGCAGGTGTTGCCTGTCGTCAAAGTGTCGGCACCTAGTCCCGAAGTCTCGGGTATAACATGCAGTTTTGCAATATCGCTGTTCCAGTCCACGCCCCAGAAGCCGCCAGCAAAGTGCTTTGCAGTCTCGACTACGCGATGAGAGTCTGCAGCCCAGGTATTGGTTTGGTTGCGAGCAATTGCCGTAGCGCGAAGATCTGGGTAACGTGTTCGGAGGGTGACGCCCGCTTGGAATGCACCGAGAGAACCAGCGTATGGTCCCGTAGGAATCAATTCGCCGATTTCCGACTTGTAATCCTCGGGCATGAAGAAAGTCCAGTTTTGAAAGAAAGACAAATCGCCCTTGAGGTCAAAGTCTAATGTCCGGAGGCGGTTGTGAAGAGCAATCATGTNCTGCAATCTTATCAGAGTCTGTGAAAGAAGGATGGTACGGTCTAAACACTCACGCGCAGTTGTCCTGTGGGTCGGATATCGTTCGTTGTGTCTCGNCCATCTAATATAGTATAAGCACATGGTATACAGATCTGAAAAAAAATACTAGATGGCTCCTACCATATGCACCTGTTCTATGTGACAACCCTCAGGTATGCTTAGCTCATCTCCATATACACCATCCACTTTGGGAACCCAAGGTCCATTCCCACCAAGGTGATATAAGATGTTCCAATTTTCGTGTGTTGTGTTCAGGACTGAGGCCTGAGGATGATGCCACTTGCTCAGGACCAAATAATATTGATCATGTATTAGGGTTAACCAAGAGAGCTCCTGTTGCAAGCCAAAATATAGTGCGGCCGCAACGACAGCTAAAGAGATTGGTAACAACATGGTCCTCGAGCCTTTGAAAAAGCTTCCAAGTTTCTGTTTTATATAGCTCACTCCTCCAGATCGCAGTGGTCGAACGGCTCGCTTCGCTACAAGGGTAGAAGGACACTCACGAACCACTCATGATGGCTTCGTTCTCCGAGAATGTAATGATAGGTCGTGGGAGGCAGACTGTCTGGGTCTTTACCGCCGCGCCTGACACGATTCGTTGACAGGATCCACATGGACAAGCGTGCACGGACCTCGACCTTGATGGCAGAACAAAAACATCAACGTACCTGCCTAGGTTCGAAGTCATACGCAAGAGTCTTTTCTCAAATACAAAATTGTGTGCATCACGACAAATGCCTCATACTCTACAGTCGATGTATTGGATCGTGACCTTCCGCTTGAACATCACAATATGATATTGTCGATTCAATCGACCGTCTGCTTGGAAAAGAAAAGAGAACAAAAATGGACACTGAAATGTCCTCATGCAAAGTCATGTCAACCCAATCACCATTCCAACTTCATCGTCCATTGCCCGGTCCCGATCGCCATTTCTACGCCCCAACCATCGCCCACGCCATATCCCTAAGATGTAAAAAGAAGAAAGAAAGAAGCAAGGCGTACACCTAGAAAATGGTGCCAAAGTCCTCATCCACTTGTGGCAGAGGCTTACGAGGGCTAGTGCGTTCGCCGTTCTCGTCGACAGCAGGCTTGCGGTNGTCTGATATATAGTCAGTATGAGGCCAGGAGTTTGTGTGAACATAGACTTACTTGAATGTGAAGCCAACAAACAGGTTGCGGCCCATCTTTTCGTCTCTCTCGGCCATCTCTTCGAGCGCCTTCTGCTTGTCCTTGACTTCCTTGTACTTGGCCATGTCCTTCTCGCTCTCAAAGTCGTCGAAGTAACCAGCATCAGTCTCGCTGTCGAGCTCGGGCACGAAAGGAGCACGCTCCTCGCGCAAACGATCCCAGCGAACCTCGGCAAAGTAGGCGTGTGCCTTGACTTGCGACATACCACGCAGTCTCTGATTCTTTCCGGAAATGAGACGAGTGATGAGATCCCAGGTACGACGAGAGAGGAAGTAGTTAGGATCTTCGTACTCAGGCTTGCGCAGGACAGATGACCAGCGCTTCAAATTTTGCCATGTCTCGTCGACTGTGGCACCAGCGAACGGCGGGTATCCAGCAAGAGCCTCGAAGAGCATACATCCAAGAGACCAATAGTCGACGGTGAAGTCGTACTCGTCGCCCTTCAATACCTCAGGAGCCATATAGTCGGGGCTTCCCACGATACTCTTTGCGTAGTTGACGTCGCGCTCACGTAGACTGCGGTAACCTTCTCTTCTCTCCTGTAGTGAACGCTCCTCAATGGGCCTGCCAAAGGGAATAGCATCGCGGGGCATGTTTCCAACTTCCTCAAGCTTGATGCGCATACTCTCAATCTTGGCTGGGGCCAGGAAACCAGCAGCCAGACCAAAGTCGGTGAGCTTGACATGACCAGTGCTATCGATCAAGAAGTTTTCAGGCTTAAGGTCGCGATGGATGTAGCCGAGCTGATGCAATGCGTCAACGCAGAGGAACATTTCGGAGATGTAGAAACGAGCATGGCGGTTGTGCAGAACACCAGTATTGTTGAGGAGAGTGCGGAAGTCACCACCAGGAACATACTCCATGGCGAGGTAGATGCTGGCGTCGTCTTGGAAAGCGTACAGAAGACGAACCAACCAGTCGCTCTTTGCGGTGGTGAGAATGTCGCGCTCGGTCAGGACGTGGCGCACTTCATCGAGCTTGAAGAGGAGCTTCTTGCTCATGACTTTGAGAGCGCAGACTTCGCGTGTGTCCTTCTNTTGCGCCAGGTAGACCTGACCATAGCCACCCTGGCCGACCTGAGTGAGAATGGCAAAGTCACCATGGTTGAGACGAGTGCGTCTGGCGCGGAGCTTTGCACGTTCGCGTCCGAGGTACTGTTGCATGTTGGATTGGTATTCATCGTTGGGAGTCTGCGGCGGCGGAGGGTTGTGAGCGTGGAAGAGCTCGGTACGCTTCTGGCGGGTTGAGACGTAGTTGAGAAGATCATAGTAGTGGTCGAGGAAGTCTATACTGTTAGCGTATTCCAGCAAGCTGAAGAAGAATGTACCTACNNAGAGTTGAGTGACGTTAGCCAGACGCTTGACAGTGGGCTTCTGCAGCTTCTCAATCTCTTCTTGTGTTAGGCCACCAGAAATAACACTGCGCTGTCTGCTCAGGGGCTGCTCGTCCTGGCCGCGATACTGGCTCTGCCTGCTCGCTGCAGCCTGGCTGACGTGGTCTTGTTGCTGAGCGCCTGGACGAGTAGGTGGAGTGTTCTCCTTGTTGGATTTTCGCGTAGGGCTGTGATCTTGGTTTCTGGGAGTCTTCGAAGGAGAGCCCAGAGTGGGCAGGAGTTTCATGGCATTGGAGAATACATCGGGCAGGTCGAAAGCGCCTGGGGGCATGCGGTTCTTGCTGGGGCTGCCCTGCGGTGTTTGGGCCGGAGAGATGAAAGCTTGCGCATTGTGGTTCTGGTTCTGGTGTCGTGGGGAGGTGGNGGTAAGAGGTCGCTCGCCCAGGTCGCTGCCGGCGCGCGAATGCATTGGTGGTGGCATCATGGGCATGTTCAAATGCAGACTCTTGTCTGGAGACGCCATTCTCTTTTGGTGTAAGAGTGTCTCGGGGCGCTGGTCTGATTTGTGTATGATTGATTGCTCGAGATGCTTGATTGATTGCTGAACGAGGGGAGAAGCAACCGTTGCCGCATCAACATCCTCCGCCTCCACGCATAAACAAACCCTCCGCCAAACACCACCCACCACGCCAACTTAATGACTTGACAGTTAAACTTTGCCAGGTTGCCTTATCTTTGTTGGAACACTCGTTTACACCACGTCATGATAGCATGGAAGCATGATGGGAAATGACAGGCCTCCCAGCAGCCAGAATTATCTCATTCTCTGTCGACAGCCATCTACATTACGAGTCCAGCAAGACTCCTCCTCCAGTCTTCAACTCAAGCCACGGGCTTTGTTTGGCCACCCTGGAAATCTTCAACAAGACCTTTCCACAACTGCTTCATAATGCTAGTTTGCTCCGCAACAGGTGCTTTGGCAGCTTTCTGAGTGGCTGCAGCAATTCGCTCCGCCATACCATGGAAGTCAATCGTCATGGCATTGTTATCAGAAACTTCAGAAAAGTTGCTTATGATCTTGTCAGCTGCCATAGTGTTGATCTGTGGTTTCATGACCATCTGNNCGGACTACATCAGTCGAATTCGTCAAATCACATATTTAGGTATACATACATCGTCGGCAGCCTCAAGACTGTGAGCACCAGTACGTGCAGGGCTGAAGTTGTTGTGAAGCAGGGGAACACGAATAGCAGGGGCCTCAGCATTGTCAGGGTCAAAGTCGGGGAAGTAAGCAAAGTCGATGGTAGAGCTGTCGTTGACGGCCTTGAGGGCACGGCTAGTGTTGAAGTGACGCACTGCCTTGACCTCGTCCTGCTGCTCAGCAGTGGGACGCTTGCTGCTGTTGACAGCAGTAGTGAAAGCACGAGAATGAGTGAGATCATCGGCAGACAGACGGCCCATGAGCTGTGATCTGATCAGTCTTGCGAAGCATGATACAAAAACCTGGTATAAGCTTACATCGTGCATGGAGCCAGAGTAGTCCAGCTTGCGTCTCTTGCACTCGGCTCTCAGGCCTGCAATGTCACGCGGAAGGTTCGAGACAGGACGCTCAGCAGTAAGCAATGGCGAAGGGAAAGTAGCAGGGCCAGTCATGTGGAGCTGGCGACGGCTGCCACCAGCTGCCAGACGTCTCAGGGCGATGAATTGATAAGCTCTAGGTGCGGACATGTTGACAGAGATGGAGAGGTGTGAGTGTCAGAAAGGTTGATTGTTCTGGCGCGAAAGCTGTATGAGAACAAAGGATTCAGGATTGATGGAGGAGAAAGAGAGATGGAGGGGAAGTCACACGAGAAATAGGCCACTGGGGGTACAACTATGGGCTCTTGCATCAAGGCAAGCACGAACGACCGAATCGTGCGACATTTACCTCCACACCGCTGGCCTCACCAGCAGCATGCTGTATCTGCGAATAGCATGGTAGAGAGCTTGTCAGCCCCAGATAAGCCTCAACACTCGGGATCTGCATGGCACAAATTAGGCTTCAGTAACACGACCCCTGTCTCTCCGAAATCCAGTCCGATATCGAATGTCGTTCGTCTCGATACAGGCACACAGTCCTGAGGAGGGAGCAGCAGCTGGAGACCAGCGCCTCTTTACAAAGGGATAGATATCTTTCTTCACGATTCCAAGACCTCTTCAAGCTGCCCATGATAACAGCTTCATACCTCCACCGAATTCATCTTTGACCACACGTGAGCTCCATGCCATATACAGACTTCCATACCACACGAACCCTTGCTCCGGCTTCCCACGGGTTAGCGTGCATATACCGTTCTCTCCGCATAATCCTTATCTGCTGATCTTCCCTCCTGAACATCAGACCATCTGGCCTGGTCAGTGGTACCAAATTACCCGACCAATTGCTCACCTTACGACTCATTTCTCTACTAAGATTTGAATCGTCTGACCAGCAACTGGTTCAATTGCTTTGCACTTTAGTATTTTCCTCTGTTTCCAATTCGCCCTTTGCAACTCCCCCGACCTTCCATTACTTTTCGGACTTGCTGGCTGGATCCCGATAACTCATCCCCCTGCGGCTCTCCGCGCCGGCCTCCTGCCATCAAGACAAAGCAACATTCCATCGAGTCTCAACAATCGGGCATCGGAAACAGTTGTCTGTTATCTCTGACGCAACCACACTCTGTCTTTTGTATCATAGGTGCAACCATGGTGCTTGTTCTTTCAATTGAAGCGTAACGTACGCAAGAAGACCCCCACACTGTGTCTCGTATTCGTATGAGCTGAGTGCAAGTGTCCTGTCCCCAACAATAAATTATTTGGTTTGGTGCATATCATTATGATCATCAAGGCGTCCCGTAGCCGCTATGCGTCAATCGTCGCCGTCAAAAGAACCCTAACCTCGTTATCTTAGAAAAAGCAGTTATTCAACCAATTTAGCGTTTTTGACTGACGACGATTGCTGGTGTACGCACATCTTTTATATAAGGATGCTGCTGTCACCGTCAGATCGACTACCTCTCCACGTCTCTTCTCCATGATCATGACGCAGTCGTGCTGATGAAGCTGCTCTGACCTAGTACTCAGAAGCTCTTCCAAGCCTGACGACCAAGCTATGCTTGTATTTCCATCGGCCAGGAGAATGTGTCACGAGCAATTTGCATGACTACATGTGTTGTTCGAGAGCCTTCAAGCTCGCCAGGAAGCGAGTAAAGATAAAAATTGTGTGAGCACTCCTTTGGGCTTCTTGCTCACCGGTTCTAAAAAGGAAGACACTAGGCAAAACACGAAAGACATGGTGAGTGCATGCAAAGTCAGAGGAATATATCATTGTTGATCTGTATGACTTTATGTACCTAAACTCTGATACAGGCAAGTCTCTGGGTTGCTGATAGTCATGATATCATGTGCTTCGTTATTGGACAAATGGACTAGAAAGAAGAACAAGATAATTGTTCTATGCGAGACAGACCCCAAGCGCCATCTGCAATGCTGAAATGAAAGACTAGGTGGGACTCTGGATTATTGTGTGATGAAAGGAAAGTAGAGAGCTGAGCTCAGTGGTAAAGCTCCTCGTCGTGTTCTACAGCAGGCGTAAGGGGGCCTCTGTTGTCTCGTGCTGGCAAGTCGAGTGTTGTTGACCTTGTGTGGAACGAGTTTCGGTCAGCTGGAGTTGGTGTGTTACTGCGACTTCCGCTAAAAGTCCCAGAACGTGGTCTGATAGTTGGCGTAGGTACGTCTGCAATCACATCTCGTGTACTGACATCTCCGCCAATCTGCAGCTCGTCTAGGTTTGGCATCGGAGGAAGTGTTGATGTCGGCATAGTAACCGACCTTCTCTTGGGCGTGCGTGATCCAGATCTCGTTGGCGTGGCCATCGCAGTATCATCCTCTGGCACGTTTCTACTCATGTCAATAGGCGTCCTCGATCGATCATCCCTTGTTTCAGAGAAATCACGAGAAGTCCAGCTGGGTCTGTGGAGACGGGCTCCGCGAGGCAGATTCGAATAGCTTCCACTCGTGCTTCGGTAGCTCAGTCCACTAGCCGCGCGACCGCGGCGGATAGGAGTTTGAGATGACTCCCCATCCATGCCTGGCGTTTGTGACCTCGTTGGTAGAGCGGAACAAGATGCGTTTGGCGTCGATTCGGGACCTAGTTCCTCTTCGTGGTGGAGCATTGCCATCTCAGCGACGAAATCCGGGTCTTCATCCTCAATCTTAGCCACTCGACGGACTTGCGAGACAGAAAAGTAAGGTCCTTTAGGCTCTTCGGGGATCACTTCAACAGGTTCTGGCTTTGGTGGACGAGGCACATCGGTAGCAGTGCGATCAAGATGTTTGAAGTATTTCTCGCGAACTCCTGCCATCCTCTTTGGTCGAAAACTCTCGTGGTTTCGAGTAACGGATATGTAAGAAGAGAAAGCTCCGACAGCAATGGCTATCAAAGTGACGATTACCAGGACTCCTTGAATGACTATGATGACGATACCAATCACAGTCGTGGTGATACGTTCCAAGTTGAAGGCGATGTTGAATGCGGAAGACAGAGCCACAGTCGCAACTTTGCTGAAGCCGAGCAGGTATACAACAAGCACATTGAGCCGTTGCCCCTCGAAAGGTCTGGCCCAGAGGATGAAAGCGAAGAAGAGAATCTCAACGACTAGTAGACCGAAGACTTGAGTCATAGGCTGACCCGAAGCACCGGCGTAGAAACATGCGCGAATGAACTCGTAGAGGGTCCACACAGCAAAGAACCACCATCTTGTACGGCGGAAACGAGCAGAGAGCCATCCGAACTTCTTGACATATTCCTCATCATCATGTATCGAGGTATGGTCCTCCTCAAGGTGTGATGGTTGTCGACGGAGCGAAATTGCCGGTATCTTCATCGTGATGGGTTTATTGATACCAAGCTTAGAAAGGAACCTGGGTGGCTGCCTTCCTTCGACTTGCTCGTTGGGAACCTCAGATTTGAGAACAGTACCCTGCGAGGCCAGACCGACATAAGTGGCATAGATGACACAAGCAGGAATGCCAACGAAGAACAAGATGAAGATGATAGCAGCAACGGCTTTGACACCACCAGAGCTTTGGTAAGAGAATTGGAACATGGTTAGGAACATCATCATGAAGAACGCAATGAACGAAGTTCGCAAAGCAACCAAGGCGGTGTATCGAATCCAGTGCTCTCTGAAGAAATTCAAGCGCTCATTCTTCATAAGTTTGATGGCAACGAAAGCCTCAAGAATCCATTTGAAGGCAATCACGCTGGCGACGAGAATTACTGAAAGAATCAGAAGCCACAAGAATCCGGTCATGAACGCATTGGAGGCGCGAATGTTCTCCTGGGCTAGGGTGCCAGCGAATCCAGAGTAGTTACCAGGTAGAGGCAGACCTGCTTCCACAGGCTGCCCATACCAAGAGAAGCCAGTGGTCTTGTTAGCAAGATCGCGTTTGAACAGATGTTCTTCAAAAGTGCGCGAAACGACGTCCCGTCCAAGTTGGATGGAATGATCGCGCTGATAAATATCCCAAGCAACGTCTCTTTTGAGCGACAATTCTCTTCTATAGATTGACGAGATGTCAAAACCACCTCCAACATTTTCTTGGTTGGTTCCAGAACCAGCAGCGCCAACTTGCGATGTATTTCCCAGGTTGTTACCAATGAGTTTGTCAATAGAACGCTGCATTGAGCTGGAGTAAATCATGCCTCCTGACCAAGCAAAGTTGCTCCACCAAGCAACAAGCACACTTGGCCAGTTCATAGAAAGAGCTCCGGTAAAGTAGACATGCTGAAAAACGGAGAACACGACCAAAACCGAGAGCGAGTGGGCATAGTGCTTTCTCATGACAGGCACGCTATCACCATAGACAGCGGTCGCAAACGAGGCGACCAAAGCAATGACGGTAAAGATTCCGAGGATTGATCCGACAGCTTTGGGCTGCGAGAAAGTAGCTCCGTTAGTCACGACAGCTGAATAACAGCCAATCTCGGCTTGGGTCGAGTTAGCGAAAATACGAAGAATAGCCTCGCCCTCGAAGTCTGGAATTGAGAGGGCGATCGGAGGGATAGCAGCAACATCAGATTGAGCGACGGGGATAATGCCGTTGGCTTCGATGGGTATACTCGCGTTTAGTGGGCACAAGCNTAATGTTCGTTAATGATAAAATGTCCAGGGAGCAGAAATTATAACTCACCTGGCAATATTTGCGCTGCACGGATCAAAGGTCAGGTCGAAGCGGCCTTCGCCATATGCGTAGACACCGATGTACACNNTGCTTGCGATGAGCTAAATCTGAATAAAGTATCAAGAAGGGCATTACTCACTCATCAAGCTTTCATTAGCGATGGCCGTGTTGCCTGCCAAATGAAAGAGCACGGTCATATTGTCTTTGTAATAAGCAGCATCGAAGCGAGTGACATTGACAGCACTAGAACCCTTGCAATCTCCGAATCGTCCGGTGTACAGAGACGGTCTTCTGTCGTCTGAGTATAGGTAAGTAGGCAGCTAATACAGAAATGTTTCTCATGACTGACCTGCCAAGTAAACGACTTGACCGGCAGAATTTGTGGTTGTCACATAGCGAGTATCACTAGCAGCTACTACTGGCTGTATCGCAGCGAGAAGTGTAGTGGCTAATGCCAAAAGTCGCCAGGCGACCATGATGAAAGGTGTGAAAGTCGAGGCAGTTGAGGATGTGGAGGATTGGCTTGAGATAAGGGTTTCTGGCAGCAACCAACGCGTCGTACGACCGGTGATAGCGAGAGTGAGGATAAAGGATGATGGATGAAGTTAGGCGTCAAGAAAGCAGCAGTGTTGCGTGGAACTGCGTGGCTACAGTCTTGGGAGCGAAAGTGGCTGGTGAGGATAAGGGCGTGTCTGAATACGGGAGGGCTGTAAGTAGCTCGGCAGCGGCTTAAAGCATTTCCTGTGTGCTTTCGAACACCAGAGCTACGACGGACGGAAGGAGAAGACGTGAGAGGTGGGCGGAAGAGTAGTTGTATTCCAAGGAAGCAACGAAGTGATGATGGAGCCAAGCAGCTTGGTGCAAAGACAAAGCAGGACGCAAAATAGTAGTATAATTCGAGGAATGTTCAGCCGCTAAAGCCGGGGCTTGTCAAGATGGTTACGGTTACCTCGTAGCGCCCGTCTTGGTCCCTGTCTGCATTTGAGTGCGATCACGGATCTCCAGATATCCCGTGCGAAACGATCTGCTGGCGAGATGCGGCGAAATGCACGCTTCCTTGACCTGACGCGTCCTTTCGAGGTTTTGCTTGCCGCTGAGCTCCTGTTTCGCTGGCATTGCTCTTACCATGAATATGACTTTGCACAGCATTAGGACCATCTCGAGGAACCCGCAAACCTAGTACCCGCCATATGCCCATCAATTGGTCTGGCAACTGCCACTTGTGAACCTTGGCGGAAAGTCAATGATTCGACATGATCTGCCTATCTGAGCCGACGGCACGGGGAACCCCTCAGCCACCCCGCCCGCTTGGAGAGGCTGACAGCTCTCACGACTGCGTCATGGACGTTGAGCTCGATACAGGTTTGTAGCTCAGGTTCGTAGCTCAACTCTTGCTTTCTGTTTCCTCTACATACTCTGAACACACGATCAAGTCCAAAAGTAAACAACTCTTACACCTAACCACCAACTCATACCTCAAACAACCACCACCATGCCTCACCACGACAAGGAAGAGAACACCACCGGCAGTACGTTTTCTAGCTCAAACGTTTCCACTTCCTCGTTGACTTTCTGTCTAGACATCACCGACATGGTTGCAAAGGAGTCTTCTGACTCGAACGCATCTTCCCACCCCATGCACCAGACCGAGACCGGTGCCACCAGTGGCGGCAAGGCTACTGCTCAAGACCACAGCGCCAACNNCCCGTAAGTCATCACTTCGCACACGTTACCACGAGCAACATTAACAAAGCTGAAATAGGGCCCCGTCATGGCTGAGGGTCTCGGCGAGCCTGCCAGCAAGGACGACCTCAAGAAGAGAGCTGCTGAGCTCAACAAGTAACGGACGCAATCACGACGATATGACTAGCCTGTACCATAGCATGATCAAGAGATGAACCAAAGACTATTCGTTAAGATATACTCTTCAAGATCGTCAAGGTGCATGTGAATGGTACATACTGAAGATACATGTCTTTAGGGCGGGACCTCGTCACCCTTCCAGTCCCAGCACTTGCCTCTGTCCTGTAAACTCCTGCCTACAACAACCTCATATAATTTCTCCGCTGAGAACTCGGGACTGAACAGCTTTCCTTCTTTGACACCGCCCCAGAATTCCTTGCTGAAGCTTGTCTTGACAGTACCCGGGTGCAAGCTAATGGCTATAGCTTTCTCACCAGAGGCTGTTCGTAGGTGATTGTCGAACGTCTTTGTGACCTGGTTGACAGCAGCTTTGGAGGCACGATATGAGTACCAGCCTCCGAGCTGATTGTCCGTGATACTGCCCACACGAGCAGACATCGTAGCCCAAACGGCGCTTTTGGGCAAAGAATCATCTTTAGCAAGTTGTGTCGACTTCCGCGGCAAGAAAGGACCAAAGTGTTTAAGCAAGAGCATGGGACCCAGCGTGTTGGTTCGGAAGGTCAAAAGGGCATCATCATGATCAATCTGCTGAGGAGACTTTTCAGGAAACAGGATGCCGGGAATAGCATAGGACAAATGCAAGTAATTGTCCTTCTTTGGAAACAGGTCACTGCAAGCGGACGCTGCATCTTGGATGGAAGTTTNCAACTGTCAAGTTGGCATTAGCGTGAAGGAGCACAACGGCGTGGCAGAAGAAAAGTGCATACCAAGGACATCCAACTCCAAGACATTCAGTCGGCTTTGGTCGACATGATGTAGACCATCGAGGATTGATTCCTTGGCTTGGTCCAAGTCCTTCCGTGCGGTGGTCACGATTGGCAGTTTCGTATTCTGTAGCAAATGGCGAGCGAGGTGAAGACCAATCCCGCGGGACGCGGGACTAACTAAGGCCCAAGGCTGCATGGCGAAGAGGTTGGAGAAAGGGAACAAGCCATGGCAGGCTCGGGAGCCGGCGGGAGATTCACATTTGAAGTGCTTGGGATCTTGGAAAGGCCGTTGAAGAGTTGTTAGGAGATCTGGGGTTGATTTGGAAATGTCAATCACCGGTGACGATGATCGATTGAGCTTTGCTGCCAAGACAGAGTCGCTCGGAATTTGTGCTGAAGAAACAGCAACCAGATCATCATTCCAGACACATCACACCACAAACAATGTCGACATCAACACTTCCTTCAGCACTCTCATTCCCTCCAGCGACCTTCGCAAAACTATCGCCCGCCCCATACCTCCTCGCTCACCTCGACCCGACTTCTTCTTCCGCCTCGCCCACACGACCCAGTGGTCGTTCTCCGCAACAATGCCGTTCGCCCTCTGTCAACACTGGCTCTCTCACCCATGCCAATGGTAGTGCCGTCGTGAGGCTAGGAGACAGCGCCGTTGTTTGCGGTGTGCGCGCCGAAGTTCTACGCACATCAGATATCCCCCATCCCTACCGCGGCCCAGAGGACAGCAGACGCGAGATTGAAGAGCTGGGCCTATTGGTACCCAACATCGAGCTCAGCACCGGCTGCTCACCAGGATTTCTTCCAGGAAACGCACCCGGCACATTGGCGCAATCCCTGACGCAAAGACTGCTTTCACTGCTACATCTGTCTAAGCTCATTGATGTCGAGGATCTGAAGGTCAAATACCAGCCGCCGGAGACTGAAGATGACTTGCCCGACGTACCGCCACAGTTGCAGACCAAGGCATATTGGGTTCTCTACATCGACCTGCTGGTCATCAGTCTAGATGGAAACCCCTTCGACGCTGCTTGGGGTGCTGTCCTGGCCGCTCTGTCTGATACGAAACTGCCAAAGGCATGGTGGGATGCCGATCGCGAAGGCGTCCTCTGCTCCGGTCAGCTCTCCGATGCCAAGTCTCTCAGTCTCGGTAGCATTCCTGCATCTTTGACGTTCGCCATATTCACGACCGCTGCGCCCCAGAAAAAGCTGGAAGACTCAAAGAACTGGGTTCTGGCTGATCCTGACGGTTTTGAGGAAGAGCTGTGCAATGAGAGCATCACGATTGTGGCTACAGAAAAGTCAATCCTCAGAATTGAGAAGAGAGGCGGAGGATTCGTGGGCAGAGAGGCCATGAAAGAGCTCGTTGCTCACACCCAAACTAGACTTGACGACTGGAAGCAGGCCTTGACTTCAGAGCATAGATGAGATCGCGAGTCATACGCGCAAGACACACAACACAGCATAGAACAGCTCGAGCTTTACGATTTGAGCTGGCATCCTCGCGCTGTCAGATCTCAGTGTGGCGTCTGCCGATCCTGCAGATCGTTGACAAGACCAGTCTCCAGCTCAGAACGATGTCGAGCAAAGGAGCGAGTCAACTCAGGGTGGAGCAAAGCGACAGTGTTTAATACCAATTCACAAAGGATGACAATATGACAATGATCAAGAAGAGATGGAAAGTCGTAAGGGTTCATTCTGGAATGTGTAGGTATCATAGTAACGCAGAAAGAGCAACATGCATCAAGAGCAAGCAGTATGCTCGACGCTCCACGTCCCCAGGAGAGACGACGCCAATTATATGCACTTTTTCAATCCACTTTTTACAAAGCGGCCATACCAGCCAAAACACCCATTGCACCGAGAGCAAAGCCAGCAAATGTGGCCTGAGCAGCGGCACCAGTAGAGGTCTTGGAGCCACTGGCAGCAGAAGAGGCACCAGAGGAGGCAGCAGAAACGGAAGCAGAGGAAGAGCCAGAAGCTGAAGCAACGTTCGTGGCATCAGTAGTCGATTGGTTTGCGTTGCCTGCGTTGGTCAGGGCCTCGGCGGTGACACCAGTGCTGTTCTGGCAATCGGCGCTGTACTGGGCAGCAGTCAATGGAGTCGAGGTGAAGGTGATGTCGGCGCACTGTAAGCATTGTCAGCAATGTAATCATACTATCCGGTCGATTGGAAGCTTCCTTACGTTGTAGAGACCACCGTTGGGGTCACCGTTAGTGACGACCTGGATGGTAGCGTTCATGCCATCGGTGATGTTCAAGCCAGGAGGGAATTGCAGAGCACCAGCACCCATACAGAAGTTCTGGGGACCCTTCTCCTGGAAAGTAGGCACGAGAGTGATGTCGAAGTTGATGCCAGGGTCGTTTCCGAGAGCCATCAGGACCTGAACCTTGGCGGCAGTGTGGCCCATGAGGAGCTGGATGGGTGCACCATCGATGGGGAACTGAGTGCGGTTCGAGCTGACAGTGTTCTGACCACCGCAGGGGAATTGGGGCAGGTTGTCCTCAACGAAACCACGTGCGGCAGGATAGATGAGCTTGAAGTGAGCAGAGGCAAGAGGCAGCAGGGCGCCGAGAAGCAATTGAACCTTCATCTTGAGGTGCGACGTATGTGGGAAGGAAAAGATGTGATGTGCTTTTGTGTAATTGCTGGCAATACGAGCCAAAGAAACGAAGGTGGATGAGAGAGTGAGTTTGCTTGGTTGGTGGGACGATGCAGTGAAAGAGGTTACACAAGCTTGGTTTATAACGATATCGCACCTTCCCTGGCGATTTGTCTTGTATACAATATTCCAGATGGATCTATGCCCCTTTGCCGTAATCCCGAAACGCATTCCACTCGCGATACCCTAGTGGGCGGGCGAGGCGTGGATTTGAGCAAGTTAAATCGGTCTAGCCCTTTGAGGCTTCGCTCGGTTGGCCAACAGCAATGCTTACAACTCTGATCTGACATGCATCCCGAATGCGAATGGTCAGATTGCCTGTTGACATGCAAGAAACAGACTCATGTCCGTAGTTCTTAGGAAGACTATTGACAAATGCATCTAGATATACGATTACGTGCTTTCATCCCAACGATATAATTATTGCCTCAAAAGTTACACGGAAGGTAGACTACGTGTGGATGTCTCCATTCTCAACGGGTCTCTACACATGCAAATGCTCAAAGTTTATTACAGAATGAAGATTAGGCAAGGCAATTGCAGAAGTTGGTCATGTACACATGTTTGAATTAAGTACGAACGAGTGTATAGAAATTTTGATCGATCCATCATCATCATGAGAAGAGGCTGCGTCGCTAGTGATGATCCTCCTCTAGCGAGGCGAATCTTCCAATGGCCAATTCGCCAACAAAGAGACCTGCAAGGACAGAGAGGAAGTATCCAACATTCAAGGTCATGACTGCCAACANTGCTGTAAAGAGTCAGTTGTTTGATCAGAGAGAAAGGTTCTGGCAAACTCACAGCAAGTAACCGAGTCCAGCCTGGACAGTGTAGACGCAAGCTCGAGGCAGTTCAGTGCTGATTCTCCAGGGAGTAGTTTCTTTGCTTCTTGAGGTCGCCGTGATGACGCGGACCTTCTCGTCGAGGCCCCGAGAAGTCAAGATGGCTTGCTTTTCCAAATTCTCCTTGGCCAGCTCTGACTCGTTGGAAGGTTGTTCGCCCTCCTGCTCGCCCGCAACGACAACATAGCGACGTTTCATGGCTCTGTCGTGGATTTTCTGTTCGAGAGTATGTCTCCAGGCTTGTAGAAGTCGCGAGAGTATAGCCAGAACAACGAGAAAGATGCAGGTGCCAGCATATGCGCCAGGCGAACTGGGAGTCCATGCCTTTGAGTAGAGAGGAGTGTTATGGGCGGTAGTAAAAACCATTGACATGGAGCCCATGCCCGACATGGAGGACATGTCAGACATTCCTGTTGCGGCAGCAGCTGCGGTTGTGCTTGACGTTGCCATGTGCATAGTAGACGAGGACATGTGTGACATTGACATAGTCATGATGGCAAATGGTAAAATTGCTCAGATGTAGGCAAGGAATTGGTCGCACAACGAGGGCGTCTCAGCGGATGTGTGAATTTAAGAGAGCAATTGTCGCTGATTAAAGAGAATTGAAGCTAGTGGGCAGTTTCCGGCACAGTCAAGGCAGGACACCAGCGATTAACAGGTGAGAAGAATTGGTGAGGACGATGACTGAGAGGTGGATTGTCATGGGAAGTCAGCGGAAACAGTCAATGTTCGCCAACATGTCGGGCTACGTGGGTAACTGCGTGTTCCACGTTGACGATGGTCTAGAGGGGCAGTGGGTTTATTCATGGCGAGCAACAATGAGCAAGTTTCATCCAAAAGCGGCAAGAGCTAAACCACGCGCGGGTAGCGCTTTCGGACTTCCAAACAGTCCACCCGCGGGCCGCCTTCTGCCACGCTGCCGAGACAGTCGACATAGTCGTAATCAACTCCACCACTTGAGGTCGTTTGCGCTGCCATTCTATCCGACATGCCTTGACTTCCGTTCTTACCATGTGCTGTGCTGGCTGAGCTCCCACGCGTTCCGTCGACCAAAACACGCCCATACCCAATCCTTCGTTCCTGGCTCTGTCCTGGATCCAACTACTTGGAACGCCGCATCTGTCCTGCAGGTTGCTGAAGACTTTCTCGATCGCCTCAATTCGACCACCAACTGAGTCAATCCCGTCACAATGGATATGTCTATGGGTGGCATGGATATGTCCATGGGCAACATGTCCATGGGCAATGGCATTCCCAGTCTCTTCACCTTTGAGAAAATGTATTGGGCTGTCGTCGGCGCTGCCATCGCTGCTTTTACCCTCGTCAATCTATACAGCTGGTTTCTGTGCCGTCAGAGGTAATTGCAACTGTTGCATGCTTTCTCTGTATATGCGTACTTATCTTTAACCAGGTTACGATCAACAAGCATGACTCCTGCCAAACCCAAAGCTTTTCCCTTCCTCGCCATGGCTACATGCACCGCCCTCATTCGTGAGCTTGCCAATGCTTCATTGCCAGTCTTTGCTGTCAAGTCCCTCCGGACGCCTTCGCCAACTCTTGGAAGGGTCTCCTTGGTAGCCGCCAACATAGTAGTCCTTCTCGTCATGTGTTTCTACAAGCTCGACGTCAGTGATCAATGGTCTTTCGAGGACATTGGTTACCGCACAGGCTTTGTCACCCTCTGCCAACTGCCTCTCCTGTTCCTTCTGGCTGGAAAGCGCAATATTATCGCTGCCCTAATAGGCTCTTCGTACGAGCGCATCAACTGGCTACACCGCTGGGCATCGCGCTGCTTCCTCNNCCTGACTGCCACGATTCACATGGGCTACTGGTTCGCAGACTGGGCTCCGTACGACTATATTGGAACCAAAATTCGCACCGATCCTATCACAAAACACGGTGTTATCGCTTGGGCTATCCTGATCTGGATCACTATCAGCTCAATGACCCCCATCCGCGGCTGGGGTTATGAGTTNTTTGTTATCCAGCATATCATTTCTTTCGCAGTCTTCATCGGCTTCGTCTATCTGCACATTCCCGCCGAGGTCAAACATTGGGTCTGGATCTGTGTTGGCCTGTTCTTTTTTGACCGTGTCGTGCGAGGTTTCTTCTACCTCTACAACAACTTGTCCATCTTGCATCCCACTCAGAGGAAAGACGGTACGATGGGTAAGCTGTGGGCTCTGAACGCTGAACTCACTGCTCTGCCGAACAACGCGACCCGTGTCACCATCAAAAATCCTCCCATCTCTTGGCGTCCTGGTCAACATGTCTTNTTGTCTGCCCACTCGCTAGCTCTTATGCAAGCCCATCCTTTCACAATCTCTTCTCTCCCCAGCGATGGCAAAATGGAGTTTTTGATCCAATCAAAGAAGGGCGGGACCCAAAAGATATACCGACATGCGGAGAAGGTTGGATTGACTTTGCCCCATACTAATAGAGATCTTACCAGAGGATCAACGACGAGTATTGCTATTGAGGGTCCTTATGGTCGCATTCGCCCTCTGCAACAATTTGATAGCGTGGTATTGCTCGCTGGTAGCTCTGGTGCGTCATACACTATGCCATTGCTGCGCGACCTTGTCCATGCATGGAAATCAATGGATGGTCAGAGCAAGAGTCAACGCGAGAAGCCGGTAACTAGACATGTGAGATATGTCTGGATCGTCAAGTCTGGATCTCAACTGAGCTGGTTCTCCACCCAACTTAGCCAAGTTGTGGAAGATGTGGCTCGTTTGCAGGCCCAAGGCCACGAAGTCAGCGTTGATATCAGCGCTTACATCACGTGTGATGAAACGTTTACGACTGAACAGAAGACTCTGCTCGACGCCTGGAAGGCATACTCAACATCAACGACCCCAAAGTACGGCTCGGTAACTGAGGTCTTGAACTCTGTTGATGACGAAGAATACAACGACTTCGGTATGGAGAAGAAGTTCTCTTCCAAGGACGAGAAGATTGAGGTCCAAGAGCTCGATCGTTACTCACTATCAGGCTCAGCTGAGCCTACATCAAAGCAATCATGCGGACCCAACGGCACATGCTGCTGCACTGTCACGATCGAAGACGAGGACGACGATGAAGCCATCAGACCTGCATGCACTTGCAATTGTGGAGCGGGTCCGTCGCGAACGGAGAGCTCAAGATCGAGCATTCTAAACGAGAAACCCAAGCCGAAACAACCGTTCCTGCATCCTACAATCTCGGTATTCTCAGGCCGACCAGCTTGCAGGAATGTCATCCGCAAAACACTTGAGCAGGCTTATGGTGAAAGCGCAGTCGTGGTCTGTGGACCACAGGGCTTAGTTCATGATGTACGAACGAGCGTCGTCTCGCTTAGTGATGAAAGAGCGGTCCACAAGGGCACGGGCGCTCAAGGCATCTGGCTCCATGCTGAAGCCTTTGGGTACTGATCCTTCGTATATTAAACAGCAATTAGTCCATGCCAATATAGCAACGCCGTCATGACCCTATTCTATGAGACAATTTCTTATTCCTCTCGTGGCCAATCAAGAAGAGAAGTCCTTGTATGGAAGGATGCGATCGCGTATAAGGTTCTGTGTTCTCAAACCACTGTCATCTCGTACAATAACGTGATGCCGCTCGGGAGTACCGAACTGTGTGCCAGCCGTCCCCCCAGTTTCCAGATTGCTGGAGCACGATCGACATTTTAGCCCGAGATCCGGGCGGTCAGAGCATGTGGGTTATGCATGGTTTTCAATGGGCGTGCATAACCGAAAATACCTTGATCCAACCACATTCAGCTTCCCTCTGCGCGCAACCACTTTCCTGAAACTTTCTTACATCCCCTGTTCCCTGACTCTTCCAGCGGGATGTCGACTCTTGCAATCTCTTCCAGATCCATCGTAGCTACCTGTCGCGATCTTGCTAGCAGAGCCGCTTCGGCAATTCTAGCAGATTCACTTCACCTGATCAGGAAAACGCCCCGCTTCGACGTTAACTTTTCGGCAAGACCATTAGCTGCCGTGAACTATCAGGTTTGTCATCTCAAATCCTTCGGTCAATATTCTGCGAGACGACGTATTCGCCGTACTTTGGCTGGCTGGGTGGCTGCAGATCAACAGATACATCTTGTGCGTACTTCGAGTGAATAGAGCTGAGCACACGAGTGTGTGCCTGACTCCTCATGGTGTTGTTGTACTGTAGCAGACCGGGTTGCCATTCTGCTATCAACGCAGCTGAGCCATCGGACTAGAGTCCACCGTAGACTCGCGGCTATGTAACGGCAAAGATTCGAGATTGCGCCGTCTCGAAAGCATGGCTCATCTTCTGTACAGTCCTGGGTGGCACGTCCAAGTTCCCGCCACAACAAAGGCACATTCTCACGCCGAATGTCGAGCTAACAATAGCGGCAACGTGGAATAGGCTTTGAATTTCACCGTGCTATTGCAGCTCTGCGGAATGGCGGAACCCTGCCATTTTCTGTGGCGTTCATCCTTCCAACCGCAAGTGCAAGCGGGACCCTAGCACCTACATGGATGCTCCCAGTACAAGAAAAGTCTGTCTTCCCTCCGACGGCGTGGCTGGTACCTTCTTACCTGCGAACCCTCTTCTATCTCAGTGTACCTTGCTGTTGAACGACGATCTATTCCACAAAGACTGCTTGATAGGACTATAAGGCCTGTCATCGCGATATTGACATCTGCGGGATCTATAAGAGGTCACCTGCACCTGCCTATCCTACCGCTTCCCCCGAGCGTACCTGATTTCTGGAGAGAAACTTCTCAAACGTCCAACGTCTGCTCGGTCATCACTACCAACCAAACATGGTCTACTCATTTGGTTATCGACGCCCGAGTCGGGTTTCTGACAGGTCCTCGTACACGTCCTCGAACGATAAGAGACTATCTGGCGAAGGATCATACCACTCCGGAACTTCTGGCTCGATCAAAGGCATTCCGGAAGCATTGTCTTTCGATCGGATCATAGCTGGTGGTACCTGCCCTGTACGTACAATCACATCCAATGATTGCTTAGATATCATCTCTGACCCCATCTGCGTANNGCCATGCACAACGCGTGACTTCATGAACTATCTGAAGTATGTCGAACACAGTGCCGAGAACTTGCAGTTCTATCTCTGGTATAGAGACTACGTCGAGCGATTCGACAAGTTGCCAAGCTCTGAGAAGGCATTGTCGCCAGAATGGAGTGCTTCACAGATGGACACCGAGATCACTCAACCAGCTCGACGCAAGAAGACTCCTGCGGTGATAGCTACTATACTCGAAGGGTCCGATTTCGCCGACACAGCGCCTCTTGCTGCCGAGAAACAAGATCCATTCACCGAAGCTCGTAGCGATTCGCCTGAGACAATGAGGGCCCCTGCATCACCTACCTTTTCTAATTTCGACTCTTCTTTGAGTATGGAGAGACCCTTGTCGAGCAGATCAGACTTCGATCGCAAGGCTGAAGAAGCATTGACCGATGCTGGTATGCAGTGGAAGCCTTGTAAGTACAGAGATTCTGTTTCTATGTACAAACTTGACTGACACTACAATGAAGTTACCGCACAACCATTCCGTGAGGAAATGACACGGATCATCACACTCTTCATCGCCGTGGATGGCTCTCGTCAACTCAATCTCTCTGATCGTGAACGCAGTGCTGTCCTCCACGCTCTGCAAAACACTACACATCCCTCTGCTCTGCGTGCTGCATTCATGAGCGCGGAATACTCACTCCGTCGTCAAGCTCATCCAAACTTCATCCGATGGACCATCTGCAATGGCAATCGTCCTCGTGTTATCTTTGCTCGCGGCTTGGGCATCTCACTAATCCTCCTCGGTATCCTCGCAGACCTGCTCATCACACTGAGTTCTGCCGGTCGTGCATGGCGTGTTTTGCCAATCATTGGCTTGATGCTGGGTGTCTCGACACTCATTGCTGCATGGAAGGGAATGTGTGTGGTTCTGCACGGAATGCACCATCGCCATCTCCGCCCTTGGGAACTCTTCGCCGATCCTGAGGAGAGATCTGAGAAAGCTGGCTCTGAGGAGTCTCTATTCAATGGCCCAATCTCTAACAGTTATGAAGACGAGCCTTGGATCGCCAAGTACGAGAAACGCAATGTCATTCGCAAGATCTTCGATCGTGAAGTTTGGATCCAAGAGCCGGCATTAAGACAGATACAGGATACCGTCTTCGTCCAGAGTCTGTTGGGTGCGTTTTTGGTTTCTTGTGTTGTGGTTGGCATCTTTTGTGCCGTGCCGCACGGTGATTTCTTCTAGATTATAGATGAACTGGCGAGGTATATAAGGTCTAATGTGTCTATGGTTATGATGTCCTGATGGTAACGAGGTTTGGGTTGGGTGTATATGTACAAAGTGTAAATAGATCGAAATTCAAAATGTTCTGATACTTACTCTCTCAAGCTTTACTATACATGGTGCCTCTCCTTGTCTGTGTATGCCACGGTACGCATTCGAAAGGAACATTAGGTAAACCACACAGGCTCTCAATGATACAGAATAACGTTTTGAGTGGCCGTTGCTTTCTCGCTCTGGGAATTGTCTGAGGAATTGGACCTCAAAGCACAATACTCGGCATGCTCCCTTAAGTCCCCTTACTACAATTATAAGCCTTTACATTGTCACTAATGTCCACACTTGCTCTCACTAGGTCATTGAAGAGTCACACAAGAGTAGAAACAGTTGAGGCTCAGGAGCACTAGTCAATAGTATGCAATAGGCAGCAATGCCAAAGTTGTATTGGAGATGTACAAATCGCTACAAAAATCCGAAAACGTGGGTATCTTTTCATGTCGCGACAAATAGCAAATATGCGAGCGTCAGCAATACTATTGCTGTGGACAGCCGTCGGCTTCACTGAGCATGTCTTGAGCTGCATTCATGTCACCGACTAGGCCAGGTGGGGGTGCCCCAGCTGCTTGCATCTGTGTTTATTGTTAGCAAATACAGTTAAGAGAGACGGTGGACATATATACCTGTTGCATCTTATCCACAATATACTCTCTATCTTCCTTGTTGTCGTCGCTAAAGTTCTTCTTTTCGAACCTTTCTACAATGTCTTTGACAACGGATTGCTGTGTCTTGTAACGATCCATATCTTGTTTTGAGGTCGAGTCCTTGTTCTTCTCCAACCATTCGGGGAAGTTGTCGTGCAGTTCCTTCATGGGTTCGTACAAGATATCTTTGTTGACTAGCTGTTCCATCATGCCCATGAGCATTGAGTTAAAATCTCCTTGTTCGCCGTCCATAGCAGGGAAGTTGCCGTTCTCTAGATCCTTGAGCATTTGTGCAAGCATATCGTCTTGTGAGGAGCTTGCAGCAGCAGCAGAGGCAGATTGGCCAGAAGCTTGCATGCGTTCCATGGTCTTCTCTATGGTTGAAGCAAAGGCAGGCTTGGCGGCAGATGAAGATGTGGGAGGGGCGGGGGCAGTACTCGGCTTGGAGGCATTCGCTGATGAGGCGGGTGTATCGGCGGCTTCTTGTTCGGCGGCAGCACTGAGCTCTTTCATCATCTGCTCGAATTGTTTTTGCATTTCCGGGTCCTCTCCGAGACCTCCCAGCAGCTCGGCCATGCCGGCCTGTAATTGACGGGCAAAGTCATCACCCTCGGCGGATGGTTGTGAGGGTATTGAAGAAGAAGAGGGTTTTGATTGAGCGGTTGTCGAAGGATGTGCGGTAGACGTGGAAGGAGCAGCGGGTTTCTGGTCTTTGATCGAGGTGGCCGAGAAATCGTCCAGCATGTCATCAAGGTCGGAAAGATCGTCCTCGTCTGGATCGGGAGCCATTTCGACGGGATCCTGCGGTTGCTTGTCTGCCATAGTGTCTACTTTGGAGTGAAATGAAAAGAAACTCAGAACAGTGAAGGAAAAGTGGAAGGAACAAGGTTGAAATGTTTACTGTCGAGTCACTCGGTGGAAGCTGAGGGCCGAGGCTCACTCGGACCTGCCAACTTCACAAGGAAACCCGCTCCGTCACCGACCAGCCGACTGCCCGATTGTGGGGTGGACTCAGTTGTTTGCTTGGTTTGCCTGATTCGACAACAATCAGATTAGACAAGGGCGGCGCGACTCTTGTTCAGCAGAAACACTTCTTTCACAACAACAACACCTTGATTGCTTTGTCGCGACCTTGCCTGGCACCTCACTCTGCCCCCGTCACTGCTGACGCATCAATCTTCCTGCCTATCTCAGCACACACGACCACCTCCCCAGTCTGACTCAACACCTCTACCATGTCTCTCTGTTCCAACCGTCTCTCTGAGGAGAGAAAGCAGTGGCGCAAGGATCATCCTTTCGGCTTCGTCGCAAAGCCTGCAAAGAATTCCCAAGGCGGTCTTGATCTTCAGAAGTGGGAGTGCTCCATTCCTGGCAAGGAAAAGACTCTTTGGGAGGGCGGTCTCTTCAAGCTCGAGGTCCAGTTCCCTGATGAGTACCCTACCAAGCCCCCCAAGTGTATGTGCTTTCTCATCCCACCCTCCATCCTCTATAGTATCATCTGACACTCCTCAGGCAAGTTTGTTCCTCCTCTCTTCCACCCCAACGTCTACCCCTCGGGCACTGTCTGCTTGTCCATTCTCAACGAAGAAGAAGGCTGGAAGCCCGCCATCACTATCAAGGAGATTCTCCTCGGTATTCAGTCTCTGCTGAATGAGCCCAACCCCGAGTCTCCTGCCCAAGCCGAGGCCTACAACCTGTTCCGCAAGGATCGCGCCGCCTACGAGAAGAAGATCAAGCAGGTCGTCAGAGACAACCCAGCTCCTTGAACGCTTGGCTGATCTTGCGACCTATCCACACGACGACCACGAATTACGGAATGCATTTCTGATTTCGACACACAAAAGGCATGCTACAAGCGACGAGTTGGGAGGAATTCATTACTGGGCCAACGTTGGGAAGAGGGCTAGGGTTTTGTTGATAATTTACTTTATTCACACACCGCGGAAGGGTTGACCTGGCAGATTCACTTCTACGACGACGAAGACACCAGTTTGCCCAGCACCTCTGCCACTTGGTCTGGCTTTTCCACCATGGGCAGATGACCCGCTCCCTCAATCTCGACGCACTCAGCGCCATCGCTGCCATATCTGGCAGCCATCTCTTTCATAGTCTTTGGCAGTACTCCATCTCCGCTGCCAACCACGAATACACCCTTAACTTTTCCACTCTTCATGTGCGGCTGGAAGTTGTAGTCGCACAGTGCCTCCACGCTTTTTCTGAATCCTTCCAGACTGTTGTTGATGACCATCTTCTTGACTCTCTCGCACTCCTTCTCCATGTCGCCTCCATCGTAGCTCTCCTTGACAAACCATCTTCTGACTGTAACTTCGGCAAGCTCCTCTCCGACAATCTTCTCGCCCTCTTCGCCTGATGCATTTTCCTTCTCGCACATGGCTACTCTCTCACCCCATGCCTTTCTGTTGACCTCTGGGTTCTTGTCGTTGGTGTCGCATGCCATGAACGAGCCAATTCTGTCTGAATATGTCAAGGCGGTGTTGAGCACAGATGCTCCGCCCATACTGACACCCACGATTGCTGCTGCCTTAGGCACCTTGAGTGCATCGAGCAGAGTAATGATGTCTGAAGCTAGAACGTCCATCGTGACGAGCTTCTCGCCAGCCTTGCTTGTGCGACCTCTGGTGTTATACCTCAGAATGCGATATTGCTTGTTCTTGGCAAGGAACGAGTCCACCATGCGGTCCCAGATACCGTAGGATGTGAGAATGGAGTTGCTCAGCACAATCAGGGGTGCATTAGGATGTGTCGAGCCTTCCAGTCTGTATTGAAGCTCTGCTCCATCGCTGGTGGTGATGTAAGATTCAACCGCACCGCCATCGTTGCCGGTAGAGAAAGTTCTGGTTTGTGTAGCAGGGCTATCCCATTTCTTGAATCCTGCAATGGCGAAGTTTTGGAGGTCACGAGGAGCAGCGCCGAAGGTGTAGAAGAGCTCGTACTCGCGTCTGATCTTCTCAGCAACCACATTGGTCATGATTTCTTTGGCCCATGGCGTGTCGACCGCAGCCTGGAACTCCTTGCCACCGAGTCCATTGTTTGGTGCGTACTCGTGCAAAGCCATGTACTCAACCTCGTCTTTCTTGTCGATGGCAGCAGTAACATAGCGTCTTGTACGCAACCAACCCGGCACCTTGGAGAGCATATCAATGTGCTCTTCATTGTACCATTCATCCAACTCTTCTCCCTTGTGCCCAGGCTTCAATCTGAGAAGAACAGAAATCATCACATTGCCCTCTCCATAATTCTCAATCTTCTCTAGCTTCTTGAAGTCCTTTGCTTCTCTGCTGCTCACCAAGTCATAGCTTCTTCTGTCGATCTCCACTTTGGGTCTGATGTCTCTTTCTCGCTGGGTTTGGATGGGGGCACCGCGGAGAGCTAGGTACTCGTCTGAGTTGAATGCATCCATGTCGTCGGTGTCGTAGATGGCCATCCATTCGTGCTTGCCCTTTCCCGGACCAGCAAGGTCGCGGGCACGGTAGCGGAAACCATTGTGGATGAAGGGAAGGCGAAGACGATTGGGTCCGTGTTCGTTATTATACCAGTCATGGAATTCGGCTGCTGGGAGGTCGGCCGAGGGTTGCATGGTTACATACAGGATTCCCGGTGTCTTTGCCATTGTGTGCGTCTTCTCTTTCGTGGATCGTATCAATGTGAATATTGCAGCAAAGTTGGAGTCTGGGAAGAAGAAATGCTTTGGAGAGTTTCTATCTGATTACAGTAGCACAAAATGTGAAATTTGGTTGATTGTCACACTCCCGAGCTGAGCAGCCGACGACGGCGAAAGCTCTCGCATCCCGAATGACGATGCCGTTGCTCACAAAACATCGAGTCCGTGAGATGAGGGGTAGTGGGGTCGCCCTCGTTGCACGGCAGAAGCTGCGGCAGAGAGAGACATGTTCCAAACACGTTCCTTTCGTGGTCGTACGGGTGACCCTGATCTCTCAGTCAGACGAGCAGAGTATTGTCCTACAAACACTTGTGTCTCTTTTGACGTGATTTGACGTGTACTTCTTGGAAAGAATGATAATGCCTTGGTAATTTCGTATGATTTTGGACGTTGTTTCGTAGATGCGTCTCTTTAGTCATACCAGATAGCATTCATGCCAAAGCCGGGCTCTTTGACATCGCAATGAGCGACACGGCCAAGGAACTCTTCGTTCCATCTGTAGATCTCAATGAAGCCCTTCTCATCATCGGTCAAGGCTAGCCATTCGTCACTCCAAGGACAAGGGCTGACGGCATTGGAGTGGCCACCACTTGTAGGTGTAGGATTGAGACAAATCTGGCGCTCGATATCACCAGACTCTGCCAGCTTGAATGCTGCAATGTATCCAGTCAAATCTGGGGAGTTTGATCGAGCTGTCGCGAACAGATATTTGCCACTGGACGAGAGGAAAACAACGTCTGAGCGGTACATCTTGGGGTAGATCTCTTGATGGCCNNTGTTATCTATGTCAGTGACTTCTTTTCTTGATCAATTCGACACGTTTTTCTTACCTGGAGGAACAAGAGGGTAGATCTTGTTGGTATAGACAGGCATATGTGTCTCCTCATCGATCGAGTAGACTCCAAGTCTGTTACCACCTTCCATCAAGGCATAGAGGTACTTCCCGCTTGGTGCAATCTCAACCCATCGTGGGTGATCTCCTGCCGCGGGAGCATCGACACTGCCGACTGTAGTCATGTGTCCTGATTCTGGGTCCTTCTTATGGCACCAGACTCTGTTTGCCCACATATCGGCAGAGTAAAGGTAAGTTTCCGTAGAGTCGAAGACCATGCCATGAATTGCTGTTTGCGGGCAATAGTCATAGTTCTGGATGTTCTCTTTCAGACTTCCTTGATCATCCACAGAGAAGACATTTCCTGAGCCAGCGTGGTCGTAAAAGGGGTTACCATACACATTATACGGAGGTCTCTTGCCTGCCAGAACGAAGATTGCACGAGTCTTTGTGTCTGCCTGAGAAGCCTTAGGGTCGTGTTCCATCGGGAACGAGGCAGTGTGCTCGATCTCTGTCGGACTCTTGACTGAGAAACTGTTCCACTTCTTCATAGCGGCTCCGTAAATAGTCTTTCTGGCATGNNCTGTTGTCGATATTAGCATCTTGATGGTGAGCTATTCTGGTTAAGAATTGAAACGCACGTCGAAGGTCATCCATGAGATGGGTTCATCTTTGGGAATCTCAGTTCTTTTGATTAACTTCAAGGTCAAGGCCTCGTCGTCGAATTNGAAGGTAAAAATGGCACCTGGAGGTGTCCAGGTGCCTACCATCAAATGGTGGAGCATTTTATGCTGATCAGATGTCGAGAAGCCGCGCTTTGCAGAGCTTGGTACCTGGATCAATGGACTCACGATCTTGCCTTGCAGTCTCCGGAACATGAGACACAGAAGCTTTCTACAAGATTGACCACAAGATTGGAATTGTTGCTTTGGCGAGAACGGACTCTCGGGAGAAGACCACGGCAAACGACCGGGGAGTGTGGGGTCCACCTACGGCTCCGAACACGGCAGAGCTGATTGATCGAGAATTGTATGCTGATGGAGCATCTGAACCACGTTTATAAGGCAGAGTTGCTTGACAATGATTCAGGATGAGATGACCCTGCCTAAATAGTTGCGGCTTGGTCCGAATCCAGAAGCTGGTGTGGATAATCGTGTCCGCGTGAGTCGCTTTCTGGCACTGAATCCTCGGTCTACCTCCGTGAAGATGACCCCACTTGTCCAGCAGCTCAATTGTATAAAGCTCAAGTGCTCTCCTCTAACAAGGAGCTCCTGCACTCGCTATTCCTCACCCAAATCAATACCACCTTTTACAAGAAGCTACACGTCAACCCATCGATCCAACATGCGCATCCCATACGCACCCACCGAGCCTGCAGCCGATGCATCAGAGACGACGAAAGCAGTTTATGAGCGCATCACCGAACGCAGAAAGCCACGTCCCCTTCTGCCACTAGATCTGGCACTATTGCACAACACCGGCATCGCCGATGGCTGGAACACTCTGCTCGGAGCAGTACGAACAAAGACTTCACTCAACCCTGGCTTGATGGAGATGGCTGTGTGTCGTATTGCGGTACTCAACAGAGCAACATTCGAGTGGAATGCCCACGCCCCACTGGCGCTGAAAGGAGGTCTGCCACGAGCCTCGCTGGATCTTGTCCGTACTGCAGCGGTCTTCCCCGTAGGTGGTAGGGAAAAGACCAAGGAAGAGCAAGAGACATTCAGCGACGAGGAATGGGCAGTGCTGTGCTACACCGACCAAGTCACCAAGAACGTCGAGGTGGAAGATCAAGTGTTTGATGGGCTCAGGAAGTTCTTGGACGACACAGGAATCATGGAGATGACGGCGACGGCGGCAACATACAACATGGTCAGCAGGTTCCTCGTGGCTATGAACGTGGGAGAGAAGAATGGGACCGAGATTGTGATGCCTGAGCAATAGATTATGAATGTTGTAAACAGAGCACAAAATATTATGTCAAGAGTGCACAATTCCCAAGATAGACTTGTAGAGTCGGAAGAGGTCGGAGATCGGTCGCGCAGGCTGTCTCGGTCGTTAGCGTCATGCAAGTCCAGGGTCCCTCCATTTTTCGACGAGGCGGCAGGACATGATCCAAGACATAATGCGATGAACGGGACGTCTGCATGGCCACGATTGTTCAGGACTGCGGCGAGTCGAACGCCGTGGCTCTCGCGACCAGCCTCACACCGACCCTGGACTCTCCCTATCCGCCCTACTGATGCCCTCAAGCAGCGCGCATATGCCACAGAAGCCGCTCCCTTGAGGACCACCAAGTCTCGCAGACGTCTGTATATCGTTAGCGGCCTTGTTGTAGCAGCTGCTGGTGCTGTTGCTATCAGTGACGACGCTCGCTACATCTGGATCGCTGCACGTCGTACTGGAAGAGTTGTTAGCGCTCTCGCCCTCAACATCAACGACTACCGCCGTACTCTCAACCAATACGATGTCTTGCCTGAGCTTGAATACCAGGCTCTCCTCAAGGACTGCCACCAGCGCTGCGCAGAGCGTACCCTGGTCGTATTGCAAAAGAATGGCTCCATATTCGTCAAGCTGGGACAGCATCTTAGCAGCATGAACTACCTCCTGCCTTCCGAATGGTGTGATACTTTCATTCCATTGCAAGATCAATGCCCTGTGTCTTCGATGGAAAGCGTCGAGGCCATGGTGCTCAAGGATACTGGTAACACTCTGTCACACTACTTCTCCGAGTTCGAGACAAATCCAATTGGTGCAGCCTCGCTGGCTCAAGTCCACCGTGCTACTCTGCGCGAAACCGGCGAACGTGTTGCTGTCAAGGTTCAGCATCCGGCTTTGGACGAGTGGGCTACTCTCGACCTGGCTCTCACCAGATTCACCTTTCGTACCCTCAAGCGATTCTTCCCGGAATACGATCTGACTTGGTTGAGCGACGAGATGGACCAGAGTTTGCCGAAAGAGTTGGACTTCGCTCTCGAGGGCTCCAATGCTACACTTGCTCGCAAGTACTTCGCTGAAGTCTCATATCTACCTGTTATTATCCCTAGAGTTCATTGGGCTCAGCGTCGCATTCTTGTCATGGACTATGTCACTGGTCATAGGCCTGACGACCTTGCCTATCTCGACGCCAACAACATCGACCGTGATGAAGTCTCTGCCGCCCTTGCCCGCATTTTCAATGAGATGATCTTCGGCAAGGATGCTCCATTGCATTGCGATCCGCATGGCGGCAATATCGCTATTCGCCTAAACACTTCCAAACGTGCTCCTAACAACTTCGATGTCATTCTGTACGATCACGGTCTCTATCGCGTGCCCGATAATACTCTTCGTCGCAGCTACGCAAAGCTATGGCTGGCTGTTTTGGATGCCGATGAGCCCCGTATGCGCCAGTACGCAAAGGAGGTGGCCGGAATCAATGATGAACAATTCCCTCTGTTCGCTTCTGCAATCACTGGCCGCGATTACCGCGTCGTCACAAAAAGTGTCGCAACCTCCAGGACGGATGAGGAGAAAGAGGCCATTTCAGACGCGCTAGGCGATGGCATGCTTGAACAGCTCGTGCAGCTCCTTGGACAGGTGCCTCGCGTGATCCTCCTGATCCTTAAGACCAACGATCTTACACGCAGTCTTGATGAGAATCTGCACACTCGCCAGGGTCCCGTCCGCACATTTATGATTCTCGCACGCTACGCCGCTCGTGCAGTTTATGAAGAAAAGATGGAGCTACTGGCTGCTGCTGGGTTTGGTCCCAGAAGGCTCTGGCGCAGATTCACTGCCTGGGCCGATTTCGCTCGCATCGAATTCAAGCTTTCTGCATTCGAGATGTGGCTCAACATCAAGAGGTTGCTGGGTATGCAGCCCACAATCATCTAGTAGTAAAGATTGTATGGCGTTTGTGATATTTGAGCGATGGCGTTTTGTTTTCTCTACCTGTGCGTGCTATTTGGATTGGGATTTCTCATCGCGTGGTGTTTTATAGACATTGGTCTTGGTCTTGTAGATAGTCAACAGACCACTTCATTCTTGTTTCTACCCATCCGCCTCTGAGAGCGTTCGAAAGTAAATCAATTAATCTAGAGTGCCAACGCTGAGGCAAGCTTACTACTTCCAAGCCTTTGTATCCACAGCTCTGTTTCACATCATGATGAAGCAAGAGTTTGCGAAAGGAGAAAGAGACACCACAATGTCATGGCCTGACCTACGAATTTGCTTTAATCAGATCGACTAGAACACTGCTCTGGGTCGAGAACATACAACAACAGATACATTCTGATGCACATACCACCTTTTTATACTTGACCTCGCACAGGGCATGAAGAATTCGGCGGTACCAGTCCGGGGTAATCTGTTTCAGCACGAACCGTCAGAAACAGATGGAGATTCATGCAAGGTTCAACCCCTGATTGTTTGTTCTTGGCCCCTTCGTACCTCAAGTTGCGACCCACAATGCGTTTCAGAACTGCAGCGGCTAGCAGACACAAGATACATGTTCCAGATTTTCGTGGACTGCAGATGAGTGAGCGCCTCGCGAAAGTAAAGCGTAAAAGTTCCGGTGATGAAAGGACTGCCGCGCTTGGCTCTAAACAATGAATCGAGGTTGACTATTGACATCGTAACATTGATACAGCATCTGACCTCGCGAGAGTTTTCGTCTCGGCGAGACAAGACAATCGAAACACTTGGCTATGGGGCCAAGGCGGCAAGGTGCGAGATTAAAAGAGATTGATCATTGTGCGACCTCAATATCGCCTGGCTTAACGAGCGTGAGCATGCGAGATGATTGTGTGCCATGTGCCTGGAACCACGTTTGGTTCGACAAGTCTCGAGGCCTCGAAACATGCCAGGTCCATACAGGCAGCGTGTTCGGTGACGACCGTGCCAATAGGGATCGCTGACGTGCCGAGCCGTCGCAGATGTCAGTCAGTCTTTGAATAGCGGCAATGCAAACAGTAAGGACCCGATGGTTTACGGTACTTTGATGCATTCAATCGCGCTGTTGAGTGAGAACGCTCCGTGCGTACCTACCTCACCAAGATCTGTCTTGCCCTTCGTTTTGGTTCTCTGTTCTAAACGATAGACAGAGACCCATTGGCGGGTAAGCGAAGCGGGTGTTTAAAGTGTTTAGGACCAGGGATGTAGAGTGACTAGAAACAGAGTCGCTCGTCTGTGTGTACATACAAATGTACTGTTTCGCCCTCATCTAAGGGGATCGACTTCCTCTCCTTTCACAATCCACTGTCGTCGCTTCCTTTTTTTTTGTTTTGTGCTCTTTCCATTCTCACTCTTCGCACATTGAAGGACAACTTCATTGTTGCGTAGACGTTGACTGCTTTGATTCAGTCACTTACACTCTTTTCTTCCACTCTTTTCTGATAATTCGTCCCGAATTTCGACAGCGTCTGCAATTGACCATCCGCTCATTACCATTCTGCTTCTAACCAAGATGCACCGTCTCATCGCTCTTATTCTAGTGGCAATCCTGGCCACGGCTGCGCTGGCCGCACCAACTGCCAAACAGGCCCCTTCAAACACACTCTCGAAACGTTCTTTCATCGTTCCCCGAATCCGCAAAGTTGGCTATGTTCGCAAGCCTGCTGAGGCCATGGCTCGCGCCTACCGCAAGTATGGATGGTCAATGAGCACTCCAGACGGATCTCCCTGGGCCGCTGACTTCAAGGCTCCATCTACGGTGAGCCTAAGCGCAGACGCTTCTTCTCTCTCCAGCGTTGCTGGCAATGACCGTCACACCGCCTCGGAAACCCGACCCTTTACCGACTTCAAGACCTGGCTTTATGCGACTTTCTCATGGGGATTCCCAGCTCCAGATGCTTCGTCCTCTCCTGCTCCATCCGCTGCTGCTCCATCTGCTGCTGCTTCGTCAGCTGCTGCCTCTTACGCTGCTTCTTACGCCACTGCTGCAACGTCGAGCGCTGCTTCTTACACTGCCGCTGCTTCGCAGGCTGCTTCTTCTGCACCTGCCGCTTCTGCCGCAGCGCCTGCTGCTACCGACGCTCCCTCATCCTCTTATGCCGCTCCAGCTCCCGCTGCAAACAAGGACGATGAGACTGGAGAGGTGGCTGCTACGCCTGCTGACAACGGCGCCGAGTATCTTTCTCCTGTTACCATCGGTGGCCAGAAACTCAATCTGAACTTTGATACCGGATCTTCAGACCTGTATGTATCAAGCCAAGGTTACATAACATATGACACGATGCTGACTATCTGTTAGNNGTGGGTTTTCAGTACCGCTCTAACCAGCGCTGAGATCGGAGAACATAGCGCCTTCGACCCTTCCAAGAGCTCGTCTTACCAAGAGCTTTCTGGTCAAAGCTTCAGCCTTTCATACGGTGATGGCAGCGGTGCTGCAGGTGTTGTGGGTACTGATACTGTCGACATTGGTGGTGCAACTGTGACTCGTCAAGCCATCGAACTGGCCACTTCCGTGTCGAGCGCTTTCGTCTCAGACGCCGACTCGGATGGCCTCGTCGGGCTTGCATTCTCAACCCTCAACTCGGTTTCTCCTACACCTCAAAAGACTTTCTTCGACAATATCATGTCTGAGTTAGCACAGCCTGTCTTTACAGCATGTCTGGACCTTGATGGAAGCGGAACGTACGAGTTCGGCACCATTGACTCTTCCAAATTCACGGGCGACTTGCATTTCACGCCTGTAAATGCAGCCTCTGGGTTCTGGCAGTTCGACAGCAACTGCTACAGCATTGGCGGCAAGACTTTCAACAGAACCAACGCTACACCTGCCATTGCCGACACTGGTACCAGTCTGCTGCTGCTCGATCCCGAGGTTGTTCAGGCATACTATAACCAGGTGCCAAGCGCCAACTACGATAGCACTGTTGGTGGCTACACATACGATTGTTCGGAAAACTTGCCTGATTTCGCAGTGGCTGTCGGAGACAACTACATGGCTAACATCCCTGGTTCGGGTATCACATTCTCTCCAGTTGACTCGAAGACTTGCTTTGGTGGTATTCAGAGCAACTCGGGCAGTGACGTCCAAATCTTTGGCGACGTGCTGCTCAAGCATCACTTCGTTGTGTTCCATGGAGAGTCGAACCTTTTGGGCATGGCTGCCAAGGCCGAGTAGATGTAGAGTAATCAAGGACGACGGAAGACACAAGTAAACCAAGAGATAGCTAGTGACGATAATGCAAGAGCGTCTTGGTAGCCAACGATGTTGATGATAAGTGAAGAACGGAGAGGTGTATGGCTGGTTGAGCGATTGGCGGCTCGGCTTATCATTGGGCTGGGGCGTGATTGGTTGAGCGGCTACGAGGCAACTGTGCCGATAACGCAAAGCATGTGGGAGGTTCAGAAACACCACTGTTTGTCAGCATGTCATCGAGGCACAGGATGCTGTGGGCTACGAGCAGGTCACTAGTTAGATTCAACTGCTTTGTCGCTTGCTGACATTCACGACTCGCAAATTTGTTAGGTACCTTGCTATCAGACAAATCCTCGGAGACGGACACCATCACCGCGGGGTATCTGGATGATCGATCAGCGCCAATAACCCATATGTCAGCTTTGTGAGGTCGATGGAATCGCAGCAGCAGCCGCCGCTGCCGCAACCTGGCCCAGGAGTGGCAGCAACAGCGGCCTCGGACAAGAGCAATGTCACAACAAAGACATCGGCAGCCAAATCGCGTGCCCGCCATCGACGGAAGGAGAAGGACGATACTGCGACCGACGCTGCTGGCGACGACTCGAACAAACGAAGATGTGTGAGCTCGGCCTGTGTGGCCTGTCGCAAGAGAAAGTCCAAATGCGATGGGCAGTTGCCGTCATGCGCAGCCTGCAACAGTGTGTACGTAAACCAAAGGTACAAACATCACGACTAGTACTGGCGTTTGTCTCGGCCTGCACGAGAAGTCTCTGGAAAGTGTGTCAATGAAACGCTGTCCGAGACGGCATCTCTTAGAGTTGAGTGCATTCGTTCTAGCTAGCTAAGTCGTGGTGTTCTCGCAACCAACGTCTGATATCTTGCTAATTGTACCTTCGCTTTATAGNNATATAACACCCCCTGCACGTATGATCCCGGTTCTGATCATCGTCGTAAGNNGGGAGTTTATAGAAGTGATGCCGACTCGATCAAGACGCGCAACTCGACTCTGCAAACCCTCATTCACGCCATACTCAACTACCCCGAAGAAGACGTGCCCGCTCTGGTTCGTGAGATGCGCACTTGTGAGAGTCTGGACAAGGTCGCTGAGCGAGTGGCTGCCCGTGAGCAAGGTCTGGATGTGGATGAGTCGGACGATCAAGAGGACGAACACTATCAAAATTCTACACACCCTTCTTCGACAGCAACGCCGCTTTTCGAGAAGCAATTGTCCACTCGAGCGGGTGAGCTGAGACTTGACGATGGCTCAGTCCGCTACATTGGTGGCACTTCAAACCTGCTCTTTCTGCAAGCCGACAAAGATTCGCAGTCCTCATCTGTGTCAGATGCATATCCTCAGCAGGAAAATCCCGTCACATCATGGACAAACCAAACATCTGATCCTGAGCTGGTCATGCATCTTGTCAACATGTACTTCACATGGCATTACACCTATTTCACATGCTTGCCCAAGCATCTTTTCTTCCGCGATTTCATGCGAGGAAGGCCTCCGCCTGACACTCGTCGAAAAGTTGAATATTGTACGCCGCTGCTAGTGAATGCTATTCTCGCCCTTGGCTGCCACTTTACCTCATCGCCTGGCGCGCGTGAGAACCCGGATGACTCTGCTACTGCTGGTGATCACTTCTTCCGTGAGGCGAAACGCCTCATCATGGACAACGATGAATACGAGAAGCCAAAGATGACTACGGTCCAGGCTCTGGCGCTTATGAGTGTACGTGAGGCGGGTTGCGGCCGCGAAGCCAAGGGATGGGTGTACTCGGGTATGAGTTTCCGTATGGCTTCTGATATGGGGTTGAATATCGATTCATCTGGTTTAGGTCACGGCGCTGACCATACTATCGACCCTGAGGAAGAGGATGCTCGTCGAATCACATTCTGGGGCTGTTTTCTGTTCGACAAATGCTGGTCAAACTATCTGGGTCGTCTACCTCAACTACCCAGCTCGGCCATCACAGTGCCCAAGTTCGATGTCTTTCCGGACGAAGATAGTGCCTCTTGGGCACCCTATACAGATTCAGGTTTTATGGGTGCACGATCTCAGCCTGCTCGCACACGTGCAGTTGCTTTGCAGATATCAGTACTCTGTGAGATCAGCAACGACCTCATGCGACACTTCTACAACCCTAGCGATATGGACAANAGCCGCGGTCGGCAAGCCGAACTCAAGATGTTGAGTGATATTCATACCCGCCTTGAAAGCTGGCGTCGCAGTTTACCTGCAGAAATGGAGCCCAAAGAAGGAGGGCTCAGCAGTGTTCTGACCATGCACATGTTTTTCCAGCTTCTATTCATCCACCTGTTCAGACCTTTCCTCAAGTACAATCAGAGCACATCACCCTTGCCTGCAAATGTCAGTCCGCGAAGGTTATGTACGCAAGCTGCAGGTATGATTTCAAAACTCATGCGTCTGTACAAGCGATCGCACGGTCTGAGACAGATCTGCAACGTAACGGTGTACATCATGCACACAGCATGTACTATTCATTTATTGAACCTACCGGACAAGAACGCTCGCCGCGATATCATACACGGCATCAAACATTTGGAAGAAGTTGGAGAAGGATGGCTTGGTGCGCGCCGCACGTTGAGTATCCTTGCCGTGATGGCACGAAAATGGAAGGTCGAGCTACCTGAGGAAGCAGCGACTGTACTCGCTCGTGCCGAGACTAAATTCAGCGCCCATAGCACAGACACGCCCAGTCCGATGACGCAACGACCATCCATGATGGCGATGATGGGGACATCAGAAGCTCAGCCAGCACAAAGAGTACAACAGCCTCTCACGCAGCAGCGAACTGCGTGGTCACAAGCACAGCAAGCCATACTCGCCAACGCCTCGGCACCGATGTATGGACAGATTCCATTCAATGCTACTCAATCGACCGCAAGTCCCTTCGCCCTACCTCCCCAATCAGCCTCCGATATCCGCGCAACGAATTATCCTTCCGCACAATCCACACCCTTTACGAACGGCCTCCAAACGATGAACTCAGCAGAGTCGCCGACCAATACCTACACTGCGGCCGCAAGCCCATCAGACATGTTCGGTGGCGTCGAACAACTACTACGCGACAGCCAAGACTGGGTGTTCCGCGATCAAGCACAACTAGCATCCGGCTTTGGAAACTGGGGTGGCGGGCTTGATTTGAGTGTTCCGTCTTTGGGACAAAGCCCTGTTACGACAGGACCTGCATTGGGTGCTTTCTCATCTGCTGCAGCATTTCCTTCTGTTATTGGCAGTGTTGGCGTCGGAGCTCAGCAACAACAACCCCGGCAACAGCAAGATGGGTTTGATCCTATGACGACTTATGATGAGAGAGAGTGGTATCAATGAGCTTTGTACAGAAGCCAATATAATCCGACATATATCCATCCAGATTCCATTCATCCCTGATATGATCAAGATTTGCCTAAATCGCTACCAATGAAGACCACTTCTACTGCAGCAAAAGCGGCTGTCGACGCTGCTATCTCCAATCTTCTAGCATTCGTGCACGTAGCAAGGACGAACGCAAATAGGATCGTGAAAGCAGCCATCGCACCGATACGGCCTTCCTCTGTCTTGATGAAATACAAGGCGACGATTGAAACAATGGGCATCGCTGCGCCGATAACGCTGATCATTATATTGTTGAATTTCAGCAGTCCCTCTTGGCTATAGTGCATGATCCCATCATCGGATTCGATGCTCTTTTGGAATCTGGCGTCTCTTGCCGATTTCGAACTCGGGTGGAATGTACGCAGGAAATTCCAGATATCCAAAAGAGAGTTTGACAGTTTTTTGGATAAGGCATCTTGCTCGTCTGATGACGGTTGAAGTGTCATCAAATCCTGGTCAAAGAATCTGTTCTCATTCGGTCGTGGTCGCGGTTGCCACGTTCACAGCTCGCTGCCACGAAGGAAGTCGCGTAGATCGAGCCACTGGCGAAGGAATTTGATATCTCCCGGCTCTGGTGAGGGCATCTGAGAAATTTGCCTCGCTTGCAGTATTGCTTCGTCNNTAGATCAAGTTAGCTGTGTCTCCTGCCATACACATACTCATGCTTGAGCCGTACTGTACTCTCGAAGCTTTTTGCGTAGTTTGAGTAACAATTTATACTGCGAGCTGTCTTTCAAGAATGTCGAAAGTTTCTCCTCATCTATATTGTCCAAACCACCATCCTTGGCCCAGACATCTTCACAATTCTCTCGAAGCTCGATCAACTCTGCTTGGAGTGACAGCAAATTGATCATGTTCAAAGAGCTGAACCGTCTGAAGATTGCGGTCTCCGGATAGCGGCCCATGAGATCTGCGAGGCGGTGATAGCCTTGCGGCTTCTGAGTAAACATTGACGCTGGTTCGTTATTAGAAGACATGACACGACAAGAACAAAAGCGACTGTGAGTTGAGAATGAAATTAGTCGAGGACTTGTAAGAATTAGATACCAGCCATGCTTCTAAATTCCATCCCGTGTTCAGCTGAGCTGAATACCCGAGGCTAGTGATTTGCTGCATGCATCTTGCATGAAGCTGAGAACGCGGGATGGTATATATCGGCTCAGGAGTCCGCACTTTACTCGACATCAACAATTCAACAACAGCTTCGAGAATTTATCGGCCATGGCAGAATCGGCTGGCTTGACCATGGCTGTGCTCGCCTTCACTCGCCCGTTTTTCAATGCTAGTGCGAACGCTGGTGACGTCCCAGCGGATCAGGCAGACCTTCTTCGAGAATACTCAGTGTACATGAAACTCGTCGAAAACTGCACTAGTACTGTATCCCGAGCAAACAACCTACCATCTTCTGTGGTCTCGGATGCCCTCACTCGCTGCACTGCTCTTGGTGAAGAACTAGTATGCCGACAGGTTGACACCAGCTTGCCCGTGCTAGTGACTTGGGGCGAATTGGAAGCAAAGTTCGACAGATTCAGGAGAAGCGTGCTGCTTCTGCATGGACTGACTCAAGAGTGCGACTGGTATCCTATCCTATATCTCGAGCTTAGTTGACGTTGCCAAATCTAGTCTGCTCCTAAATGAGCTTCTTGAAGGCCAACGAGAGCTCGTGGCAGCCTCGCCAAAGCAAGCAATCGTTCAGAACCATGTCAACCACGTTCAAGAATCAGATTGGCTAACTAGTATGACTGGTACCTTCGTACGTACCATGAGCCGGGTGTCTATGGCCGATGTGAAAGATGTTGTTGCCATCGCAGACAATATTATAGCTTTGAAGGATCGACGCGGTATGCAGTTCGACAGTGATCCGAGCATGATTATGGGTACAATCGCAGTAACTCACGAGGACAAACCGAGGTTTGTACCGGTTCAGGCCAAGTACGATACAGGCAGCGAAGCCAACTTCATAGCCGCTGGATTTTTGGAGAAACACAACTTGTCCGCCCTCTTGCAGAAGCTTCCCAAGGACGATTGCTTTCGCGGCCTGAACAAATGCGACTATCCTGTCAGTCACACGATCACTCTGGACTGGTGCGCCATGACGATGAACAAAGTACGCAAGACGCAGTTTCATGTCGTCGAGGAAGTGCCTTTCGATATCATAATAGGCAATCCGTTCATTATGGACAATCGTGTGTTCCAGTCAACGCGGGTTGCCCTACCATGCAGATTCCCAAGTTATTTTGATGGTAAGTAGTCATAAGCCGTGTTATGCACGCCTTGCTGACAACCCTATCAGACGAGCTTGGCAAAGCAGAACAGCAAAGACAGAAACGCGAAGCCATTGAACTGGGAAACGAGCCAATCAGCAAGGTAGTCGATGCTGCTGCAAGACCTACCCTCAAGACATCGACAAACGTCAGGATCTCTACAATACCGGTAGCTTCGACATCAACAGCTTCCCTCGATCATCTGGGTCCAGGCACACAGACTCCAGTCACCGTCAACAGTTCAGTGAGTATATGTGCCGGTGCCTTCGACAACCGCATCTCGACAGGGGGAAAATACGAACTTGATGCACCAGCAATCGTGGCGTTCTCGCAGACGTTTCCACGGGTTACTAACCTCTTGCTTTACAAAGAAAACTCGTACAGACTAATTCTGTCACGACTGCTTGCAATATCCACAGTTCTCACTATACTGCTTTCCATCTGGATAGGCGTCGTTGAGTTGTGAACTATCGTTCCCCTTGATCTGTCGATGGCTTATTATATCGTGTTCTTCTTCTTCTTACCAAGAACTTTCGTCAAGTTCGCCATATGTACATAAGCAGGGCGGGATGTCAAAGTCGTGGGTTTTACAATATTCAATTTCAGATGTAGAGAAGACCAACAAATTATATACAGGAGGTCGAAGTGGAGATACAAAAGTCAACTGCCAAACAGGTCATCATCATCCAAGACTAGCCAATGTCCAAACATGGCTTTCCGGTCGTGTTCCAAAACATGTTTCAATAACTCTTAAGAGCTTACTTGGAGGTGTCGAGGACGTAGCGACCAGCGATCTGTCCCTTCTCCATCATCTCAAAGACCTTGGGGAGTTCCGAGAGACCGACGACCTTGAATGGTGCCTTGATCAGACCCTTGGCGTAGAAGTCGAGGGCCTCGGCGGTGTCTCTGCGGTTACCGACGTATGAACCCTTGATGGTGATCATTCTGATGACTGACTCGAAGACAGGGGCCTTGAGGGAGGCACCAGCGGGCAGACCGATGCAAATGACGGTACCACGAGGACGGACGTNACTGATTTGGTGTTATTACACATGATCAACAGCAATGACGGATGTTCAAGATTGACTTACCTCAGCAGCTTGTTGGAAGGGCTTCTCGGAGACGGCGAGGAGNNGGATGACAGCGTGGGGACCAAGACCATCTTCGGTGGCAGCCTGGACATCCTTGACAACGTTCTGGCTCTTGCTGAAGTCGACGAATGCGTAAGAGCCGAGCTCCTTGCACATCTTCTCCTTGTCGTCACCAGCATCAATGGCGATGGTGCGGATACCCATGGCCTTGCAGTACTGTTGAGCAAGGGAACCGAGACCACCACCAGCACCAACAATGGCTACTGTCTGGCCAGGGCGAGCACCAGATTCCTTGATACCCTTGTAGACGGTGATACCGGCACACAACACGGGTGAAACACCATCGAGAGGAACGTCCTTGGCAAGTCTGGCAACGTGTGCGGCCTTTGCAATGGCGTACTGTTGGAAGGAGCCATCGACAGTGTATCCGGACAATTGAGCCTTGGCGCATAGGGGCTCGTCTGACTGCATGCAGAAGTCGCAAGAAAGGCAAGTACCGTTGATCCANNCTGGTTGTTTGGGTCAGTCAAGCCAATTGAAGGACAAGCAGTGTATACATACCTTGATACCAACGTGGTCACCAACATTGACCTCCTCGACGAGTTGACCGCGTGCAACAACGACACCAGCACCTTCGTGGCCGCCAACAAGGGGAAGCTTGGTTGGGAGGGGCCAGTCGCCGTTCAAGGCGTGAAGATCAGTGTGACAGACACCGGTGTACTTGACATTGACGAGGACCTCATCAGGACCAGGCTTCTGAACGGGAATTTGCTTGTACTCGAGGGGGCCACCAGTCTTCTCGATGACCTGAGCCCATTGCTTCTCGGGGATCTGAGGAGACGACATTGTCAATTGGTCTTTGGTTGAGATTGAAGAGAGGTGGAAGTGGGTAGGTGATTGTGTTCTGTGAAGAAGAGTTGATTGACTGAAGGATGAGAGAGTGAATAGCCGGCAGGAGCGAACTACTTATGTGCTTTCTCTGCTTGAAGCAGGCCCGAAGAGAGCTCACCCCACTTGCATGGAGGGGTCAACGTGCATCGGCTGGAAGGGAGCAACTCGGTGCTCTGTTCTGCAGCTCCTTCAGAGCTCGCGCGGTAGTCCGAAGCTAAGTCAAGCCTGCGGCGAGTGGCAGGAGATCTCGCTCCATCGGGCGTAACCAAGTCACCAAACAGTCGCCAGGCGCCATGGCGTGGTGGTGTAGTCTCGTGCTATACCCACAAGGGCCGAAACGGCCAAATTTCTTACCGTACAAGGTCCGAATCTGAGGCCAATCCCACGAAAACTACTCGTAAAACAACAATTTGGTTGGGAAGGAGTCGAAAGGTTTTGGGGCTGACGTCTCGCGTTACGGCTGTGCGGCGTCTGCTGTCATGGCGTGACCACAACGTCGACATTTTGAAGGCTTCAACTTCGAACATAGCTGGTCAAGACAAAGCAGCGCATATTGTAGCACTGATACGAAGTGTACGATAACCATTTGGTGGTGTAGAGTGTCGAAGGAGCTCGAGAGGGATCATCGTAAACAAATTGATGACAAGAGTTCGATACAGGGTCATACCTTGATTTGGTATGGTCTGCCGGTTTCCGACCCCAGTCTCGGGTCCTTAGCTCCCGCACGCGGGGCAGTGAACTGCATGGCTACGGCGGGGTAGCTCCCAAACCTTGTCCTAGGTCTTCATCCAGCTTGAATACGCAGGTCCAAACGATGGCCGGGTGTGGATCCGCCCAATCTCATAGGCTCGTTCGAACGGAAACTCACCCGGGTCCATCTCGCCAAGTCATTAGGTCGCAATCCTTCGACAGATCATAGCACACCTGGGTAAGCTGGCTTGCGCGTTAGCAGCATCCAACTCGAGGGGGCTGGCCTCGAATTGGCCAAAGTTGAACTGAGAGGAGACGGTGGCTTACAGGCTCGGTGGTCCGGACGAACGCAGCTCCAATGGTGTTTCCCCTCGACTCTAATGCCCCCTTGTTGTTTCTACCATACTCATTGCCTTACACTGCTGCTAGTCCCGGCTTTTGTAGACGAGAACTCTCTTGTCTGTTCGATAGATGGGTATAATGGTGCGAGGCTCAGCACTCCGCCTTCTTCGGATGCGAGTCAGTCATCAGTGCGGAGTAGAACTCAAACCATAACAAGCCATTCAATGAACATGTAAGTCTGAACTTTGTCTATGTGGACACCGCAGCGCGGAACAACAAGACTCTTCGAGCGGCATCTCCGAAAAGGTGCATCTCATCTCAGTCAGGACTGGTAACTTGGTACAATCTCAGACCACATTCAAATCATCCGCTTGGCATGCTCATGCAAGGTCTTCAAGTACCGATATTCGAGTCGCACGAAGGTGTCCTACCCTTGTTCAGTATTCCTACAGTGGAAGAGGAACAACTCTACAGAAACCATGGAAATAGACCCTCTCACTGGTATCGAGATGTCTTGTTTCGATCAATACTGGAAGCGTACTATCGTTGAATGGTAGGTCATTGTAATACCTTCTCTATTATGTCTAATCATTGTTTCGTGAACGACTAATATCCATGCCTTAACCGTGGCCGAGACTGGAAGGAACAAAGAGAGATACAAGCGTCAAGGGCCAAGCTGCTAACCGTTTCGCTTCGACGACTCCTCAAGCATTCCGAGTTTCTGATTATCAAGCTTTTAGTAATAAACTGGGCGCTCCCAAATAGGTGGACGACCATCCTCAGCATCCCACACAATCTTGTTCTTTTCATCAAGAGTGGCACCTTCATCCGTGATTGGTATCACCTTGCTTGTATCTCTGACTTCCTGCCTACTGACACCCATTGGATCGCGCGGAATCCACAAAAGCTGCGGTCCTGCAGTAACCGCCGGGTTGAAGTAGGCATCCTGTTCTTCNNCCTCAGGTTCGTATCTGATATTGATCATCTTGGGGACCAAGCGACGCATAGTTGCGTAGTCTGTGTAAATGTCCGGACGGAGGAACTTCTTCAAGAAGCTAGGTTTGCCATGAGGCGATGGGCCGAGCTCCGTGTTCGTGTCAGCAACCATGCCTTTCTCGCCCCTCTCAGCATTTGCATCCTCATCCAATAGGCGACGCTCTTCAGCTTCTAGACTCTTGGGCAGATAGTTGATCAAAGGCTCAAGAGCAGCGTTGAGAGACAGATGATATAAAGCTGTGAACACCAAGAAGATGATCATCAAGATCAAAGGACCCAATGCTCCTACGGATGATCCGGTAGCGATAGCGAACAGACCAATCAGACAGAATTCGGCGATGTAAAGACCCACGAAAACCTGCTGGAGAGCACGAGGGTAGACACGGCCTTTAGTGTCGATGTTGGCGTTCGAGACGTAGAGGAGGTTGTAACGATAAGCCAGGTAGAACAGGTAAAGGCCGATGGCAGCGAAAATGAGGACCAGAGGAGCAATGATCGCGTAACAGATTGCAATCACGAAGAGGTTAGTGTATGGTGGGAAAACAGTGCCCCAGCTCATGCTGGCCAACGACGTCCATCGCTTGTACATCTTGCGAGGTGTGTTGTCCAAGAGTTTTCCAAGGATGATGAAGACGACAAGGCCAGTAAGGTTAAGCAATGTTCCAGACACTACACCCAAGCCTTGAAGTACGAAGTACGACAAGTAGAAATTTGAAGCCTTGGGTATGCTNNTGGAAGCCAATAGGGTAGGAATTTGATTGATGTGATTCGGAAGAATTGAACCAAGAGCTGAAGATGCAGCAGAACCGAGAGTGGCGACCAAGAAGACCTGTACGACTTGGAAGCCGAAATACGTGTTCTGAACTGTAAGTTCTACAGCAGAAAGAGAGGGATCACCACCAAGTCTGGCCATCAAGCGCAAAATGATGGGAAGTACAGACATCAAGATAGCCAGGGCGACGGTTGGCAAGAGACCTGACACAACTCCAAAAATGACTTGTGGAAGAGCGAGGAGCCAGTTCAACCAGGTGAACCCTTCTTTGAAAGTAGTCGGAGGGCTGCCACTGGACCAGTCCTTGAGATTGTCCAGGTTAGAGATGAAACCGACAGCAGCGACTGGGAACGACCAGAAAACGATCAAGGCAACAACGAAGGAGACGGTCGCTGTTGTTCTTAGAACTCGCTCCCACCATTTGATGCGCAAGTTGCTCCAGATGATTTCTCCTGGAGTCATTCCAGTATAACGAGGAGCCATGTGAAGCACCTGGTGATGTGTCAAGCTCTGGTAAGCAGATTGTGCTTCCTGCAGAGTGGTGAATTGTACAANAACTGCATTGATCTTCTTGACGCCGTCAAGAGCTTTGTGCTTGTTCTGCATCTCCTCGACCTTGGGAATGCGCTTCTCCAGCTCCGCACGGCACCAATCGATAGTGTCCACCTTCTTTCCGATCAAGGGCTTGAGGCGATGTGTAGGTCTGTCCTTCGCAGAGACGTAGCGAGAAGCTGCAGAACCACCTTCAACGTCGGGTGTTAGTTCTTCCAGAGCGATATCTTCATTGTCCTTCTTGGCCTTCTTCTTGTTGACCTTCAATCGGGCAGCGTTTGCAGCCTTGACCAGCTTAGTTTCGGCGGCTTCGAGCTTGAGTGCTGTCTTGTCTCTTTCCTTGACTTCGTCCTCAAGATCTCCAGTGTCGGTAGGGATCCAAACTCTTTCAACGGATTCTCCAAGCATGCGGCGTAGGTTTGCTTCGTTCAGATACTCATCCGGCACGGATGTGAAAAGAACAGTACGGGACGAGAGGCGACTAGCATAGTATGGCGAGAGCAGATAGGCCTGGCGCAAGTTGATGTAGTAGATACTCTCTCGGGTGACCATGTAGATGACAAAACCTAGGACTCATCATCAGCTGTGTACTGGAAGACGGGATAGTTTGTTGTACCAAAANNAGAGGTAGGCACAACCAGCGTGTGCAAACATCTTGTAGTAGTTGTTGGTCACGTTACCCATAGTAAGGATATCGAGTTGCGATTTGCCTCCACCTCCTGTGATGTTGATCGGGAACAGAACCGGGAAAGTGATACAGCAGCCAACTAGACAGGTGATGACGGCCATCTTCAACAAGCGCAGGAACAAGTAACCGTCCAGAGAGTGATGGTTGAGGACGTAACTGTCAGGGACATTGAAGAAGTTGCCGAACCATCCAAAGAGGCCATCTGGGAGCGCAGGCGATCGTTCGCGCTCCTGTATACTGCCCAGGAATGTTCTTGGGCGATAGTTTCGCGGGAACCATTTTCTGAAGATTAAAAACAGTGTAAACCACACCAATGCTATCAGAGCGACTGGGGCCAGAGTAGAAAGGAGACCAGTAGCAGAAGATGAGGCATGCTGTGCGCTACCAACGTTAGGGTCGTCGTTTGCGTTCTGGCGAATCGATAGGGTCAGATTGGTCGCTATCACAATGTTGTCTTGTGGTCGAAGTACCGTAGCTGAAGTCGCCGCCATATTGACGGGAGTGTGATGCTCGAGAGCGATGAATGCGTCTGAGTGGCGAGCTCAGGTCTGTGGAAGAACAGAAAGAAAGGAAACCTACGCAAGGGGTAGACCGCCTCTGATATCAAGGGTCCTCTTTCGAAGAGGCGCTTTGAGTGTCGAGACAGGAAACGGCGCTAAAAACCTGTCCAGCCTGTCGTGCGCTTCATCTTGGAAACAACCTTGCATAAAGATCGCTGCGGGATGACGTTGGCGGTATTGAAACCAGGAGCAAACAAAACATTAAAGACTACCTTAGCTACAGTAGCATCAAGATCTAGCCTGATTTTTGCCATGTTCGCTGCGCCTTGATTACGCGAGCAAATTGACTGTTGGACGTGTCATACGGCATGTACAATCGTGCAACGAGCATCTGTGTCTGTCGCTGTCGCTTGAGCGCATCGTTCTAGCCACGCGTGGAGTCTTTAGGAGAGTCGGCGGAAATTGCAGTCACGGTGGCTTGGGAGTCGACGATAGACGATTCCCAGCCACCATTTACGGTAACTAAACTCTAAATACCCTGATTCGTTTCATATGACAACGGGCGCTCTGGTGGTGACTGATGAGCATGGGCGAGTCTGGCCATCTACGTGTAGCGACGAGAAAGCCTTCCCTCATGCTGGTCGTATATTTGACATACGCCAGAATTCTTTTGATCATGACAAAATGCATTCATCTCGTGCTGAAACACTATCAGTAAACAGATCGGCACACATCAAGGTTCACGGTCGAATCCCAGGGTCTTGAGAAGTGGATCTTGCGATTCGACGCTCGGGAGCGAGCAGACTTTAACAAAATGACACTTCGAACTTTCTCGGCGAAATCACGACAATGTCCTGTATGAAAGGAGAGCTTTCCTGTCACATCACAAGAGGCGCTGTATACTGCCCTTTTAGGTTGTGCCAATCGAATGTCTGACAATGCCGTCCCATCAGACAATGGTATTCTGCACGACATCGAGCCTGCTACCCCATGGTGTTTCTCTCCACACATCGGTAGAGACCTGGAAGAGACAGAGACACAAGTAGTGTACGCGAATGGCCTCGTGGACACAAACGGTTCGACTATGAGCCCACTGCATCGTTTAATCTTAAATCACATGCCAGCCTATGAAGCAGGAATCAGTCCGAACACAGATATCGCAGCTCCCGTGGAGGCACAGAAGCTGAGCAACAATGATGCATTGCCAGAGCCACGCCTAAAGCGCAAGTGCATGTCGCGTACTGCGAAGCTCACTGGGATGATGCCCAGCCACTTTCCGAGTCTTAATTCACACCGCTATCGCCTTCATCTCCTGTTGCCTCTGACCGCTCAACAGATTCCTCTGCACAGCCACGACCTAAAGTAACACGAAAGTCGTCGGTCGGAAAGAGGAAGTCCAGGGATACTGCAGAGAAAGACGTCGCCAAAGACCTTTCCAAAAGGCGTTCCGAAAACTGATTCGCGTCCTGCTGCAAGAATAACGGACAGAGCCCAAACCAAGGGAGACGATGACAGATTCAAGTATACCAAGAAAAGAAAAAAACGGAAAGGGTTCTCTGCGATACTTGAGATCACGGCCAAATCTGCTCAAGAACTATCGAAGAGTCCGGGTACAACTGCGCGTTTCGTCTATCCTATGCGAGACTGCTCGCAAACTCTTGCAGAGAACGCAAAGCTGTCAGACCTATGGGATCACTGTGCGAACGAACAGCACGTGGCTGCTCTGTTCCATCAAGGCCACTTCCCTTGTGAGATCGGCCGTCACAAGGGCTTCACAGACGAAATGAGCAGGCTTTTGCATTATGGAGGCGTTCCATCCTACTCTGAAGAGCAGGATGGATCATCCAGAGCAATAGCAGTTGCTTGTTCACTTCGTGCCCAATGCGCTCTTGGTGGGACAGGCATCAAAAATCTATCTTGAGGCAACTGCTGCAATGTCAGAAGAACACCGTATCTCACCAATAGTCTCACTTGAAGAGAAACAACGGCACCAGAAGTATAAAGAGTCTTGGATTGCGAAGACAAAGAGCATGCAACACAACGGCGAGCGCTCCATCCGGTTCGGTCTTCTGTGTCACAGCCTCCAGACTCAGAACACGACAGTATGTTTCCGATGTCCAGCGCCTTGGTGTCTGGAGGTGATGAGTCTTCAAGTAACGACGTTCGATTTCTACAGTCACATGGAGGATCCTACGCATACAGAATGGCTGTTTGGACAAAACTCGTTTCCGTGCCGATATGGATGCGAAAAGGATTCTTCAACGAACACTCTCGCTATCGACACGGGGTGTCCGACTCGTGCGTCAAAGCACGTCTGCACAAGGGCAATTCTGGTTCCAACAGAGGCTACCCTGGCGGCGACCCTGTAGGGTACGAGGATGTGGGCAGAGTGAAGGCCGTGAACAAGTCCAGGTTTGGTTTCTCGCCTGTCAATTGCCCTACGTGCTACACAGGCTGGCAAAGCATGAAAAAGAGCTTTTGGCCACACCACAAAAGGGGTCGCATATGATACTGGTTCAGCTACGTCCGACCACACCAGACTGCTGAAGAAGAACAAGCCGTTCTGGGGTTGTGCCCATTGAGTGTCTTTATCTCAAAGGCCAAGAGCGGCCATGGTCAGCCAACTGACGCTACAACTTGCGCCATCCACTATTCTCTGTTCGAAAATCGATTTTCCTCCGCCGAACTACTGCAGAGAAGTTATAGCTCAGGTGAAGACGGTCAACATTACATCTTCATCTTCCGCGATAGTGGCAACAGTCTCGAAGGGATATGCAAGACTTGCTTACCTAATTACCGCCAAATCATGCGCAAATTTTCGGGAAACAACTCCTACTCGGAGTGTCGCCGCCGACGGCGTGAGCGTCGAGTTAGTAAGCGATACCCAGTTAGTAAGCAAGAGCTTCTATAAAACCTCGCGCTCCTTCTGGGTTTCTCTTTTCTCTTCATACTCTCTTTCACTCACTCGACGACTTCCCCTTATACCGGTGTCTAACCTTGTCTTCGGGGCGCCTAATAAGACACACTCTTGTTGTCCTTCGTGCCTTGCTCTAGCTTGTCCTGGTTCTTTTCAAAAGGCTTGCTACGAGCTTTGCATCGGGAGAGGGACTGAATGCACTGCAGGACCAGGGATACCATTCAACATCCCCCAGGGTGGCGTTCAACACACGGAACCTACCTGCAGATGGCTGGACTTCAAAAATTCAGACCGCATAGAGAGGATTGCGCACACGTGCTAATAATATATCTCTCGTTTGACGCTCGTCATGTTCAGAGAGGCGCGTTGGTAGCTTCGCCGCGTTAGGGAAGACTGGGTTGAGTTTCTTCTGTGCCACTGCAGACACATTTCTGGGTTGTGCACAAAAAATATCTTGGGTTTGTTCGCGTAACATCTCCATATGGTTTTGCCGTAAAGCTTGCCATAGAAACTAAGTTTTTCTCAATGGGTTTTCTGGCCAACATGGGCTGGGACTTGTAGAGGAGATTGCGACAGATTCAACTCTTTGTCGGTCGACTGAGAGAAGGATATGGTGCTCGCAACAAGGGAACACAGTGCAACCCCTATTTTGATACGACACTATACAGAGTAAGATAGCGGAACGTCATATGGATTCTACACGTCGACAGAGGTTGCAGATGGTCGCAACCGTGGCGTAGTTGCATCCTCCATATGTGCCAAAGTACATAACGCAAACAGCTATAAAAGATTCACGACACTACTTGAAAACAGGATAGTGCCTACTGAGAAGCGACGACTCAATAGCTCTCTGTGGACACATCTCTCATTCGAAGACAGCTGTGTCTTTTTACAATATACATTTTGCTCATAGCTATAGTCAGAGTACGATGTAAGTCACAGACTCTAGAATATGGGGAGGATGGAAGCACATTCTGAGAGGAACTTCTAAACGAAGGCTATGTAGAAAAGCCGTAGTGGTGTAGGAGAGGGAGGACGTATCTCGACATGAATGAAAGGAGACTTGTGCGTTGTCTCTATTGAACTACTGATTATACAGAAGTGTATATTGAATGCGTAAAGTGTGCCTGAATCCCGAGCTTTCCTGAACTCCTGCATGTCCCAATGACTATACATGCCCAATAACATACAATCCAAATGCCTCGTAAACCTCTTTCGATGATTATCCAGATCAAGACTCCTGCTTCTTGACGATCGGCGGGGGTCCAGTTCCACTTCTAGCTCTTCTTTCGCGCTCGCCGACACCAGGTTCGGGAACCTTGATATTGAGACGCTTCTTGTTGGTGAAGCGCTCGCCAGTACCACGTACCCACTCATCCTCATCATCCTTGCCAAGCCAGTATCTCTTTCCAACTGAAGTCATGATGCGGCCCAGACGACCCTTCCAACCTTCACCCTCTTCGCGGCCTTCGCGGAAAGGATTTTCTGCCAGATCGGTGCGCTCAGAGCCACCTTGCAGGCCGAAGTTGTTCGACGAGGTCATAAGAATGTATTGTCGCAGTACGCCACGGGCGTAGGCCATAACAACCAGGCAGAAGTAGATGCGAGTGGCCCAAAGCGCGCTGATGACAGTAATGCTAGCAATGCTACCAGATTGGAAGACTGCGTGTCCGAGGGCGGAGCCGTCATTGATGCCGGCGGCGACGGCCTTTTGTCCGGGCATAGCAGGGGTTGCGACAACCTCGACGCGAGAAGCGTTGACTTCGGGGCTGGTGAATCCTGCGGTGTCGTTCATCATTGCTCCGCCGGGGAGCTTGCTGTCGTCGCTGGGCGCGGGGTCGTTGATGTGACGAGCGAGCATTAGGAACCAAGTGGTACCAAAGAGAGCAGTATAGGAGGCGTTGATCAGAGAGTCGATGACATATAGCCAGGCGAGGGCGAGACATTGTAACGGGCTTTGACGCTTGATGTGTGGTGAGAGATAACAGAGGGCACCGAGTACACCAATCGAGTAGATGTACATGGTGAGTTGCAGCCAGGAGAGGTGGTAGCCGGTGAGAATGGCAAGGAGACCGTAGATGCCTGAGACCTTGTTGATGAGCAGCGTCAGGGCGATCATCTCGGTACCGGTGCGCAGCGAGATCAGGTAAAGGAATGNTCTGCTCGTCGTCAGTATGCGCGCCGTCGCAACATGGTTCTCACTACGTACTTTAGGCCGCAGCATACGGAAGATGGCGGGAAGCGCCATGGTCGCTGTTCCAAGGAGATATGCTGGAGATGGTAGGTATTACAGAGGTTGTCCGAGGCGCTGCTCAATCCAGTGTCCTCGCGAGGTTGAGGTTGTTGGTGGTTATGAGCAGAAGAGCGAATTCGAGAGTCGGCGCTGAACCCTGAGGCTTGGACGCCGGGTCTGCCGGTCAGAGAAATTAAACAGAGAAAACGGAACCTGGGCGCGAAATTGCCGTACCTGTCTTGCAAATGTGCAGGCACTTCATCTAGGTGACCTTAGTTCCGCTGTGAACGACATTTGAATCTGCATATACTACGAGACTGAGACTGTTTTCGGGCGTTCTGCATGTGTTGTTGTCGTTCTTGTTATTGGTGCTAAGCCGTCCACCATGACGATCACGTCCGACGCCATATGACTGTATCTTGGTCTTGTGAAACAAGATCATCGCTGCTGGGAGCACCCTGTCCTCGAGTGTCGACGACCATATCGCCGCAACAAAACATGTCAGAGATACAGCCACCAAGACTTCGTGAGCAGGATCTTGCTGGCAAGGTTGCTGTCGTAACGTATGTCTGTTTGAGTGTTTCCTACATTCGATCGTCTCTTTGGTCTCTTTCTGCCCATAACTGCTTATTCACAGGCTGATAAACTCGATTACCTCTATCTCAAATAAATAGCAACCACGAAGATTACAAAAACATACTGATCGAACATCAGNNAGGCGCCACAAGAGGCATTGGACGAGCCATCGCTCTTCAACTCGCAACTCGAGGTTGTTCGGTGCTGGGAACCTGCTCAGGACCGGATTCGTTGATCCTGATTGACTCGCTTGCTCACACGGTATCCAATCTGTACTCAGGACATCCATCACCCCCGAAGGTCACTGGAGTAGCTGCAAACATCAAAGATCCAGACTGCGCACAGGAGATTGCTCAGACTCTTGAACAAAAGTTCGATGGCCATGTTGACATATTAGTAAGTTCCACTGTCATCTTTCTCCTGAGCATTGAATGATATTGACCAGAGATGTAAAAGGTCAACAATGCGGCACATCCCATTCGTGCCAAAGTTGGCGATATTGAGCCACATATGGTCTCTGAAGTGATGACTGCAAATATCCAGACACCCATAATGATTGTCAACGAATTCGTCAAGAGAAAGATGTTCCGCAGCGGTTCCAGAATCGTCAATATTGGTTCTGATTCGGCTCGAGCATCGATCCCTGGGTTGCCAGGAAGGTGAGTTCTTAGGTGGTTGTCGCAATTCTGCCACAGGGAAAGCTGAAAAGTGTTCNNAAGGTCCCTCTACATGACGTTCAAAGCAGCACTCGAGGGCCTTTCGCGAGCATGGGCAGACGAACTCGGTGCCAACCCAGAGTTGGAGTTCATGAAGGGTACCACGGCCAACACAGTCGCGGTTGGATTTACAGAGACAGACATGGTTAGCAAGATGCCTCCTCCAATGAGGGAGGCAGTGAACCAGAACGTTCTTGCGAAACAAAGCCTGGGCCCTCGAGTAGCTCTTCCTGAGGATATCGCCGATGTCGTAGGTTTCCTCTGTGGTCCGGATAGTCGATGGGTTACTGGGTCGACTGTCAGCGCCGATGGAGGCTTCGTCAAGATTGTGTGAGATTCTCAGTACCCAAGAGTCGTAGGCGGGGAAGACAGAGAAGCAGAACATGCAGATATGTTTATGTACATTGGGGTTATCTTTGAATCCAAAACCCGGTAGACCGCTCCAATTAACGCCGTGCTGCATGCTGGAATACTGTACAAGAAAGAAGATTTGGGGTAAACTAAAGGTATCTTGAGAAGAGGAAACGGCGTCAAACAAGAACAAAGACAAGGCGCTTAGGACCGAGCGTTTAGCAAGCGCAGCTCGAGTTGTCTGTCGTGGGTCCTGGGTTGATGTTCACATCGATCACTGAAAGAGTCAGTCAGGGGATCTGTTCCAAAGCACATGGCAGAGAAGCAAACGTACTTTGGTTGGGCGTCTGGTTCTGTTCACTCTCCATGCCAGGCAGTGCTTGTGCTATTCTCTTGAACAAAGGCTTGACGTTGTGTCCGACCTTTGCGCTCGTCTCGATGAACATCAGGTTGTGCTTCTTGGCCTCTTCTTCTCCTTGCTGGGTGGTGACTTCGCGCTTGTCGTTCAAGTCGGTCTTGTTGCCTACGAGGACGATGATGACGTCGGAGCCACGCTCACCGCGGACATCGTCGACCCACTTGCGGGTTTGTTGGAAGGACTTTGCTGAGGTAATGTCGTAAACAACGACGGCAACACTGCTGTCGCGGATGTATGAGGGAATCAGACTACGAAAACGCTCTTGTCCAGCAGTGTCCCAGAGCTGTAGGCGTACGGTGCGGTCTTCGAGGTACATGGTCTGCAGAGGAACTGTGTGAGCTTGAACTTAGGTTTGAAAGTACAAAGGAAGAGTAGCAACCTTTGACAAGAAGTCGATTCCGATAGTAGCTTGGTAGGTGTTGTCGAACGAGTCGTACATGAAGCGAGTGATTAAAGACGTCTTGCCGACTGNAAGAAGGTCAGAATCAGCATTAGAGATACGAAGCGATGGGAGTTGTTGCATACCGCTTTGCTCGCCGAGAAAGACCAGCCTGTGATATGCACGTCAGCGTATGCATGTATCGATTAGAACGGTTGTGAGCTACTTGAACTTCTTCAGCGGGTTCGTGTAGGATGCTGGTTGGGCCATGGCGACGAGTTTTGACTTGACAGGATCTGATGAGGCGGGGGAGCAGAAGTGATGTCTTGCGCAGAGCAACGGAACAGAGTGGTATTATGGACAAGTCTGCAAGAAAGCAACACTAGACAATTCAGGAGATTGAATTGCGGACTCGCGCGAGCTGCGACCCTCGATGTCTCCACAAAGACAAAGGGCCGTGCAGCAGCAGCCGGAAAGGGCTTCGCCGACGCCGTTCGAGCCAAGCCTGAGACGCGGAGAAAGACCCAGCGAGATTTGGGCCTGTCAGAAAAATTACTGGCCGCTGTCCTGCTTTTCCAATCGACATTATTTTATTCACCACAACCATGGCTCCCGTGGCAGAAAAGACACAGAGCGCCCCTGCATCACACAAGCAGCCTTCCCGTAAGGGTAAAAAGGCATGGCGCAAGAACGTCGACATCACCGAGCTGCAAGCAGGCGTTGATGATGTCCGCGAGCAGATTATCCAANNGGGTATGAACTCAAGCAACCTCTTCTACGTTTGCGCGAACTAACCTTCCTGCAGTGGTGTTCTAACCGAGAGACCGGCCGAGGAACTCTTCGTTACCGACATCAAGGGTGCAGACTCAGTTCAAGCCGAATTCAACAAGCGCCACAAGCCTCTCAAGGCCGACGAGATCATTGCACAACGCTCCAAGGTTCCCGCAGTAGACACAAGGAAACGCAAGTCCGACGGCATCGCAACTGGAAGCAGCAAGCGCAACAAGAACGGCACCTACGTCTCACACAAGGACCTTCAACACCTGCGCAGCGTCGCAAACTCTGCCGGTGCCCAGTCCGATATTATCAAAGCTACCGAGAGCGCAGACCATGACCCGTGGGGTATGGAACCCTTGCCGCAGGACCCCAGATTCTCCTTCATCCCTGAGAAGAAGGCAAAGGTTGCACCCAAGACTCTGAAGGAAGCTCCTATTTCACTAGCCGCCAATGGCAAGCCTTTCGCCGCTGTGCCCAAGCCTTCTGCCGGCAAGAGTTACAACCCTACATTTGAAGATTGGGAGGCACATATCACCAAGGTTGGTGAGCGTGAGGTTGCCGCTGAACGCAAACGTCTGCAAGAGGCACAAGAGGAGCATGACCGCCTGGAGAAAGCCCTTGCTGAGGCTGCACGACCTGAGCCAGCGACGGACGACGAGTACCAATCAGCATACGAGAGCGAGTGGGAGGGTATTCAGAGCGAAGCCGAGGATTCTGGAGTTGTTACCAAAAAGCGCCCGGAGAGAAAGACACCATCTCAGAGAAACAAGATCAAGAGAAGAAAGGAGCTGGAGCAGAAGGCCAAGTGGGACATGCAGATGAAGAAGAAGGAAGAGCAACTAGCGCGCGTCAAGGAGATTGCCCTTCAGCTGGCTGAGAAGGAGCGTCTTCTTGCTGAGCAAAAGGCATTGCAGCCTGCTGAATCTGGCGCTGAGGCTGAAGCCGAGATCAACGACGAGGATGAGAGCGAGGTGTTGCGCCGTCGCACCCTCGGCAAGCATGCGTAAGTTTCTATTTGTCGACCATGTTCAATCGAGTACTAACAACCATCCTAGNNCGTCCCTGATGCTCCCCTTGAGGTTGTTCTCGCAGATGAGCTCCAAGACTCGCTTCGTGCATTACGACCTGAAGGCAATCTGCTCAAAGATCGTTACAGGAACATGTTGCTAAACGGCAAGATGGAGTCTCGTCGTACCATGCAGCACAAGAAGCCCAAGAGAGAGGTCACCGAGAAGTGGAGTTACAAGGACTGGAAGCTGCGCTAGATGCAGTGTTGCTCTGTCTCTCTTGGAATTACGGAAAAGCAAGTTTGGTGTGGTTCTTACATGCGTTTGATACCAATGGCGTGTTGGGGTTCTTGATTGCATCTGCCTGGCGTTTGGGGCATTCATCTAGAATACAGGGCCTGGGAAGGATATGCTGGAGATAGTACGAAAGGAGAAAATAACATCTACAGAGTAATGTTCAGCAAAGTGATGATCGTATGGTCGTTCTAGTGAGCCTTTATTGTTTTTCACAGGCAAACATGTGAATAGGCATGGATGTGAGATGTCTGATGTTGGTAACAAAAGTATTGTTCTCGTGGTTGGCGTTCGAGAGGGCCTCGGCTTGAAGACAGCGGACGCTTGTGGAGAAGAAGCGCGCGGGCTTGGTTGTTGCTGTTGGACGACGGAACAATAATCAATCTATTGCGCGCATCTGCAGCCAATCAGTCCATCAACCCAATCACCATGGCAGACACCGAGGATCGCGCGCCCAGCGACATCAAGGCTGAGGCACCTCAAGCCACGACGACAGATCAGACTGCACCTCCCACGGCCGACGACATCGACGTCGAGGTTGACATGCAGGACGACAACATGGACAACACCAACAACCAAAAGAGCGCAGCCAACATGAACATGGACGGTGCAAGCGACGAGCCTCCCACTGTGCCTCAGATCGAGACGAGGATGCCGGCGAAGAAGGACGTCGCATTGCGGGACTTCTTGGGCAAGATGGATGAATATGCGCCAATCGTGAGTTCACCCTCAACTCGTGTCGCAACACACTACGATGTGATCACTTTCACTCACACCACTCCTCGTTAGATCCCAGATGCAGTCACAAACTACTACCTCACCCTCGCTGGTCTACCTCCACCACCAGCAACCCCACCCCACCTGGCACGACTCCTCGCGCTCGCCGCTCAAAAGTTCATCGCCGACATTGCAGCAGACGCATATCAGTACTCGCGCATCCGATCCACCAACACTACATCTAACAACCCCTTGACTGGACTCGGTGGTGCTGCAGGCTTTGGTATGATGCCGACAGAGGAAGGCGGTGCTAAGGGCAAGGGCAAAGATGCTGGAAAAGGTGCTCAGCTAGGAGGCCCTCGTCCAGGTTATGGCGGCGGCGGCGTGAACTCATCGGGCGGCAGGACAGTGCTGACCATGGAAGATCTGGGCATGGCCGTTGGAGAGTATGGCGTCAACGTCAAGAGAGGCGAGTTCTACAGGTAATCTTCTTGTGCACTACAAGACATATGGGCAGGCGTTTCTCTGGGCTGGGACATTGGCGGCAAACTTGCACGCATTCTTACGAAAAGACGAAAAGGTCATTTATCTACGGAAAAGGCGTTTGGGGGCAGATGCGGGCATGCATTACTCGATAGATGAGACTGTACCATAGGGATCAAAGGATGCTGGTCACAAGCTATCCACAATCAACTGACAAGACTTCAGAACACTGAATGCATCGAAAGTGGGTATCATATAAGGCTGCGAAAATGTGCCTCCGTGACTGAAATTTTGTACATGAGAACCCAAGAAACGCCAGTATCTGAGAAAAAATCCATTTGGAAACGTGCGTTTACTTATTCTTGGAGTGCTTGTAGGTGAAGCGCTTTCTCGTCCTGCAACACGTCAGCATCGATCCATGGCAGCCAGTTTTTGACAGAACTACGCACGCTGAGAACTCTCCAAGCTTGTGACCGACCATATCCTCGGTGATTCTGACATCGTTGTAGATCTTGCCGTTGTGAACCTGGAAGATCAGGCCGACAAAGTTGGGCAGAATGGTGGCACCACGTGCTTGTGTCTTGATCGGAGGGGCACGCTCGCCGGGCTTTGGGCGAACGATGGGCAGACTGTATATCGTGTCGTCAGAGCTGGTTCCAAAGGTCTTGTGTGCGAGTCCAGGTGTCCAAGAAGTTTGCGACAGAAGGGTAGGCAAAAGATAATTCGGGAGATGCTTACGGGACAATGTGAGGGCCTGGGAGAAGATTTAGTCTTTGTGCGTATAATTGATGAAGGGCTACTTACCCTTCCACACAGAGCGAGCGCCCTGCAGTATCGTTGTCGGCCTCATGATGTGCTGTGTATAATCTAGACTCGGAGGTGTCTGCGGCCTCTGGTCTTGACTGCCTCTCTCTCCTCCGCCAATCCCCGAAGCACAGACCACACCTAATCCATCTACGCGCTACACGTCGACGACCATCTTTGTGCAGGCAGCAGTTTGTGTTTGCCTCAAAGTCTTGGTGAAGGGACGAGCAGGAGGCTCGACAAGAAGACTGAAAAGTCTTGTGTTTCCTTTCCTCTTCTCAGCAGTGGAACACTTCGCAATTTTGTCCTCTTCTCCCCTTCCACCTTTTACCACTTTCATGCCGCTACACGTCTGAAGGCCAAAATCAAGATGCCTGCTAATTCTGGTAAATTTGACACAAGATGGTTAGAAGAGCACGACTGACAAGCTCTCAGCTGCGGACACCATCCGTATCATGGTTTCAACTGACAACCATGTTGGATATGGAGAACGCGACCCGAATCGTGGTAACGACTCCTGGAACACTTTCGACGAAATCATGACAATAGCACGAGAACGAGACGTCGATATGGTCCTCTTGGCCGGTGACTTGTTCCATGACAACAAACCATCTCGCAAGGCCATGTATCATGTCATGTCATCTCTTCGCAAGAATTGTTTCGGTGAGAAACCATGCGAGCTCGAGATGCTCAGCGATGCCTCGGAAGCTTTCCAGGGCGCCTTCAACCATGTCAACTATGAAGATCCCGACATCAACGTCGCAATTCCAGTTTTCTCAATCCACGGAAACCATGATGATCCGACCGGAGACGGCCACCTAGCATCCTTGGATCTGCTGCAGATGGCTGGTATGGTCAATTACTACGGCCGCACTCCTGAATCCGACAATATCATCATCAAGCCTGTGCTACTACAGAAAGGTCGAACCAAGCTCGCGCTATACGGCATGAGCAATGTTCGTGACGAGCGAATGTTCCGCACCTTCAGAGACCAAAAGGTCAAGTTCTACCAACCCGGCACACAGACAGGGGATTGGTTCAATCTCATGAGCGTCCATCAGAACCACCACGCATACACCGAGACTGGCTATCTTCCCGAGAACTTCCTACCTTCTTTCATGGACCTAATCATCTGGGGACATGAGCATGAATGTCTCATCAACCCTCGGTACAACCCTGAGCAAACTTTCCATGTCATGCAGCCTGGTTCATCAGTCGCCACTTCTCTTATGCCTGGTGAAGCTGTGCCGAAGCATGTCGCAATCCTCAGCATCACTGGCAAAGTATTCAAGTGTGAACCAATTCGCCTGAAGACTGTCCGGCCTTTCGTGATGAGGGAGATTGCTCTTCAAGATGACGCCCACATGAGGAAGATTGCCATGAAAGACGACAATCGCGCAGAAATCACTCGCTATCTAACAACAGTTGTTGAAGACATGATCAGAGAAGCTCGTCAAGCCTGGCGCGAGGCTCAGGAAGGCGACATTGACGAGAACCAGAAGCCCGAATTGCCTCTGATTCGTCTACGTGTTGAGTACTCTGCTCCCGAAGGAGGCCGCTTCGACTGCGAGAACCCTCAACGCTTTTCTAACCGCTTCTTGGAGAAGGTGGCAAACGTCAACGATGTAGTTCAATTCCATCGCAAGAAGACTGGCACGAGCAGGAAGAAAGAGCAGCCTGATATGCCCGAAGAAGCCGTCCTGCAACAGCTCACTCTCGACACTGTCAAGGTGGAGAAGCTTGTTAAAGAGTTTCTGACAGCCCAATCTCTCACGATCCTTCCTCAAAATTCCTTCGGTGATGCCGTCAGTCAATTCGTCAACAAGGACGACAAGCACGCAATGGAAGCATTCGTCAACGAAAGTCTTGCAAGTCAGTTGAAGCATCTTCTAAGCGGCGAGAGCGTGGAAGACGAGGACATGACAGAGGCTATGGAGGGATACAAGGCTAAGCTGGAAGAAATGTGGGCCCAAGGCACTCTGAAGCGTACTGTCAGGAAGGACAAGCTGAAGCCCAAGCCAGCCAACTGGGACTCGGACCTTGACGGAGAGTGGGCAGCGCAGCCAGGCGCACTGGTTCGTTCCGAGGATGAAGCAGACGAGGAAGAGGCACCTCCGCCAAAGGCCAGAGCTACACGGGGCAGAGGAGGCAAAGCGACTGGAACCACGCGCAAAACAGCTGCGGCTACGAAGAAAGCAGCACCTGCCAAAAAGACAACAACTCGCACAAGAAAGGCTCCGATCGAAGAGGAATCGGAGGACGAAGAAGAAGATGATGTGATCATGCTCGATGACGATGATGAGGAAGACGTTCCCGATGCGAATGACGACGAGGACGATGAAGATGACTTGTTCGTCAAGCAGGCGCCCAAGAAGAGAGCACCTGCNAAAACTGCGAGCAAGTCGACTTCGAAGCGTGCTGCCTCACCACCAAAGCGCAAGGCACCTGCTCGTAGCACAGCAGCCAAGGGCAGACAGACAACCCTGAGTTTCTCTCAGACTCCTGCGCCGTCGCAAACACGTACTACTACAACTCGTGCTGGACGCAAAACCGCAGGCCCTGTAAGTTTTGCCTTTCAGAAAATCATGAAAACCACTAACCAAACCAAANNGAGTGAGGATGAGATTTCTGACGATGATGATGCTTTCGAACCTCCTCCTACAGCATCTCGTCCTGCAGCACGTCGCAAGTTTTAACGTTCTAGACAACATCGTCTTGGGAGCTCGAAGGGTTTGATTTTCTTCGTGAACGAAGGCTTCGAAATATTTGTGCATTTTTACGGTAGCATAAAAAAAGGAGCGCTGGTACCGACATGACAAAAGCATAGCGTATGGAGTTTGGTAGGGGATGGCTGGATGGTTTGCTCTGACACACACTTTTAGCTCTTTTCAAGCATTGAGGGAAGGCGATAGGACCCTGAACTTCCCCAGACCCGATGCTGTGGGTTTGGGAAGGGGTTATTATTGTCGCTGTCATGATATCTGGGGTAGGTATACAGAAGAGAAAGAGCTATTAACCCAATTCGGGAAATGCATATTCTCTTACGTCAAATCTTCCTCTCAAATGGCAACTGTAATGCCGGAAAGAACGTCCAACATCCTGCTTTCTTAGCTGCTGTTCTTCTGACTCTGCTCTACATCTCACACGACACACTCTTCCATCAACACTCTTTCTTCCATCGCACTCACACTCATTTGGTCTTTTGACACCACCATTCCACCACTACCACTCTTCTTGGATCACCCAGCTCAGCTGCTACTCAGCGATAATACACCTCTGACCCCGAAACGATACCAACCCATTACCGGTACGTCCATCACCACGCCCATACCCATTCTGCATTGCATCAAGGCTGACATCTATTTAACAAGAAGCTCACGAGCATTACCCCTTTTCCAAACCATATACCCATCGTCTCAACATCAAGTATTGTTTGATGCCAATGGCCCACAACATCGCCCGCAAGGCATACTCAGCAGAACAACTCTTGGCTCTACGCCATTCAGCCTCGGATGAAACGGCCATCCAGATCGAAGCCAAGGCTCGCGATGAAGCCATCAAAGGTGTGTTGATTTTCCGCTTCGTCTCCCATCTCTGTCTCTTGGCTTTCTGTTGCTCCCCATCAACAACCGTCAGCTCGTGTCGCTTAATCAGCGTCAACATTCATTGCTCTTCTCTTCTCACCATCCATCCGTTCATTTGGCCAACTTCAGTCATTCATTATCATGCATTCTTTCTTTACACCAACAAGGACAAGCTCATCTTTCAATCCTTCATTTTCCCATCATGAGAGATTTGCGAGTCGTTTGGTGGCCGACACTCCATCGCCTTGTCCACAGAGCCGCTTTGCAGGATCAGATTGGCTAACAGACGATCTTGCAGACCACGTTGTCCGCAACGCACGCTCCTTTGCTGCGCGCTCTACACGTTCGCTCGCCACGTCTGACACTCTGCACCCTCCTCCTACGGAGCCGCGCCAATTCAGTGCACCCGTGCTGACAGAGATCGACCCAAACAACCAGAACCTGCGCCCTGGACTGACTGCCAACCGTTACCGACCCTCTCCAACTCCATCACTGAAGAAGCGCAAGGCCGAGCGAATTCTTAAGGATCATGGCTCTCCTCCTGGACTTCGCGTCACCGCTGGAGGTCGTATCGTTCCAAGTGACCAATCTCCCCTCTGCAGTCCTCGCTACGGCTACAGTGCCATCAAGAAGAACGGCATGCTCATCAAGTTCGGTCCGAACTTCCCCGCTCCTCCTGGTGGCATTCCCATGCAGAGGATGGGCTTGCCCAATGGCTTCGTGGCCCAAGATCCCGAAGGCAGACTCTGTCAGATGGTCGATGGCAAGTTCCTGCCCGTTGATGATGTCGATGGCATTCCTCAGCTCTACATCGCCGCTCCCAACTTGACTGGCAGCACCGGCTTCCCTGCCAGCGAGAAGGAAGCAGCTGCTGGCTCCACGCCCTTCGACAACTCGACCAGACAGCAGCAACCTAGCCAGAGCTTCGACAATGCCCATCAAACTGGCACAGCAGCCAAGCAAACCGCCATGAAACAGCCAGTCATCAGTGTCGCCGCTCAGATTCAAGCTCTGGAGAAGCAGTACAGCAAGCTGGAGCAGGAGTCAAAGGATCTTGACAAGGTCGAAGTCTTGCAGCGCAGCTCAATGAGTTCCAAGGCGTACGCTCAGCTTGTTCAGAACCGTCGTGACCTCGTCGGCCGCATGAACTCGATCCGTGTCAGCATCAAGTCTTTGCGTGAGGCCAAGTCTTCTACCGACCACTCCCCTCAAACTGTTGCTCAGTCCATGCCATCGCAGTTCAGTATGCCACCTTACGGACCAACAGCCATGATGGGACCAGCAGGGCCTATCCCTGATTGGGCCTTTGACGGCATCGCCCCCGAGGCTCACAACATGCCTCCCTTCCACGGTGCTCCCATGCCTCATGGACTGGGATATTATGGCCCACCACCTCCTGGTTACCCTGGCGCCATGGCTCCGTACCCAGGCATGTTTGGTACAATGCCTCCAATGTTCAACATGATGGGAATGCCTCCTGTTGATGCGTTCGGCAACTTCATCCCCAGTGTCACCAACGTGGATTCTCAAGCCTTCTCCAATGGCAGTCCACCTGCTCCACAGGCCAACACAGCGCACGAGACTGGACCCGGCAACGGCAGAGCAGCAGAGAAGACCTCGCAGCAGGACTCTCCACGCAGAAAACATGCCTTGCAGATCAAGAACCCTGAGAACAAGTCCGAGTCGAGCCAGAAGTCGGCACTCAATCCTATGAGTCCCAGCTACCAGCCTGCCGGAAAGTCTACACCTGCATCCAAGGTTATCCCAACTCGTGCCGTATCTCCATCGCCTGCTCTTGCCGAGGCTGTCAGACAGCACAATGCGTGGGTGACCGAATCTGCCAATGCCTCCGCCACCAACTTGAACTCTGCAGGTTCTCAGCGCAAGCTTCGTTATGAATCATCCTCGTCAAGCTATGCTACTGCCGACTTCTTTCCCAACAACCCTCGCGACCATTCGATGAGGAAAGAGGCCTACCCTGTTGGGCATGATCGCAATGCAAGCCGCAGCAAGTTGGCAGAACGCCCTTCGGCATCGAGTGAGCAGCCCGTCACTCCAGACAAGGAGAATCAGGATCCGGGATGGAACTTCGCTCCTGTTGCCAGTGTTACGACACCACCATCCATGCGCGGTCACGTTGTTGACCAGCCAGACACTTCAGATGTCGGCAGCATGGATCCTGTTCAGAACCGCTCCGAGATGAACGTGAGTCCCAAGAACCGTCGTTCGGACTATCCCTTGAGCTACAAGTCTGTCAGTGAGGTTACCACACTCGGCTCTGGCCTTCCTTCACCTGCCGTCGGCTCGTCTCACCGCATGCAGTTACAGCAATCCAAGCCTGCTCCATCAATTGAGTCTCTTGGTTTTGAGGAAGCCACCTACATGGCTGGGTTCAAGGCCGGCAAAGCTCGCCTGCCTGTCGGTCTTGAGAAGAACGGTCGTTGGCTTGATGGTTACTGTGCTGGCCTGCTCAAATCAGCTCAGTCGACTGCCGCTCAAACCCCACCCAATGCCCCAGCTCCGACTCACGCTGATCCAGTCATTGTCAAGCCTTATCTGCCGTCAGGACAGCAGGACATTGTCTCGCAGCGTGCTGTTCCTGCTATCAATGTGAACGCAACGTCAATGAAAACTCTCAAGGATGCCGTCTTCTCGGCTCAGAACGAGAACGCCGTTCTCACTCCGGATCCCAATGGACCTTGCGTCAATGACATGGCCGCCTTGCATCTCGGAAGCTGGGCAAAAGCTCATCAAGGACCCTCAGCTATTGAGTCTGATGCTGTTCTTGCATCTGTACGCAATGGTGAGACGGTCTTGCCTGATCGCACCTCTTCCACGATGCAACGTCAGGTCTCAGGTACCGATGTATCGACTGAACACCACCGCACTATCATGCCATCCACCCAGACAACCGGTGTCATGATGGAGCGTGAGAGGGCTCATATGACTCAGGACCGTCGCGCTACATCCGCACAGATGCAATCAACTGGTGGTTCCCCAACAGCCTACTTTCAGCGAGTCTACCCAGCTCATCGTGTCATGAGCTCGCAGCTCGAGTGGAAATCAGGCTCTTCGATTGCACAAGTTGCTGGTCTGGCCACTGGCTACTTCGCACAGTACGACGGTACGAGAACAGGTGCCAACACTATTGGAGACAGACAGCCGCTGACTCAGATGTCTGGTAACACAGGCATGGCGAACCACGATACCATGTCAGGAGCATTGCCCGAGAAGAAGCAGCCCGGCATGCCGACCAAGTTCACCGAGGAACCCATGACTGTCGACGTCAAAGCAGGCAGCCCATCGTCGTCGCCTGGCAAGAGATCGCCCACTAAGGGCTCTCCAGCCAAGGTCAAGTTCGCACAGATTGCTGGCAGAGCTGGGATCAAAGTCCGCAGCGACAGCAGAGACGAGCAGGAGGGCGAGCCCAGCAGCCCTCAGGAGAAGCGTCGCTGGAGAGATGTTTGGACAAAGAGGTTCACCGAGACTGGCATCCGCGAAGGTGAGCAGAAGCAAGGTGGTCGTCCATGATTCGATGACGGAGACTTCTTGGACATACTTGACTGGTTGGTACATGATATCGTGGCACTAATGGTGATGGCTACGAGGATGGGATTGCAGTGAGCATGTTATGTGGCATGGGATTGATGGTTTTCGGTGCCAGTTTGGCACGAGCAGGATTAACTTGAGGCATGTTTTTGATCGAGTTTGATAACTGACAGCATATTCAGAGGAAGCAGAGGATACACTGGGACTGTTGGAGGATAAGCAGAGTATGATTGCATCAGATATATTCAGATGAATGCATAGACTCCTTTTTTTGCATTCTCCATACATTTTTGCAACTTCTCATGTTGGTGCAGAAGTGAAAATGAGAGTGCTTGAGTATGAGCATCATCATGGTTGTTGGACCGTGCGCCGCAGCGGAGAGCTGCCTGGAACGCCGGCAACAGCTGCGACCATCAATCATCATCAATCAAGCAATCCACGCCATCTTCTTCTACATCAACTCTTGCGCTCTTTCTCCATCCCGTGCTTTGTCGAACACTCAAGGTCTATCACACAAGCTACACACACGTATCCACAGACATCATGGTGCGTCATCAAGCCAACGCCTTCATTCGCGAAACAGGCATACAGCTAACACACCACTCTCACACCAGTCTCTCCGCATCGTCCCTCAGAAGGGCCACGCCCGACAGACCGCCCTCGCCCCCTCAGCGCCATCTGCACCCGGTGTGCACGACACCCTCCGCTCGAACCAATCCCTCAACACACCCCACAACGCCTCGCCGGCCTTCAGCGCCGTCGCCTCCTCACACCCACTGGAAGCACGCCTCAACAACTGGCGCTCGACCCAGGACTCCCTCAAAATGACAATGCTGCGCCGCGAATTCGGTATCGCCGAGCCCATCCGCCGCGGCATGGAAGTCAAGATCTGTCAGGAGGGCGAGTGGAGACCAGCTGTTCTGGGCTACAAGGGCGAGGGTGTGCATGAGGAGATTCTCAGCGGAAGAGATGCTAGTGTTGATTGGGAGGATGTGTTTAATGGTGAGTTCTTTTGCAGTATCGAGGTTCAGAGGTGGGGAGGTTTACTAATGGTGCTGGGAATGCANGGCAACGAGACACAGAATGCACCCGACTTCCACTCGGAGATGGAGAACAGACTCAAGATGAACTGGTAAAGGACATGCCGGAACTACGCCACACACACGAGACAAGTCGACGGGAGAAGGTATCTATGCTTAAAAATGGCAACAAGCGTTTCTAGCATGATATGAGGCTAGGAACGAGCCTTTCACATTGTACAACACACACTGCGATCAGCCTCTCAAACTCAGACCACGAGGTGATACTGGGAAGCAATACTTGCATGAAGAGAGACAGGGGCAGCAGAGCATCGACATAGCTTGTGTTTCTCTTCTCTCAACAGACACATCGATTAATGAAAACAATGGAATGAACATCTCACAAGAGCATATCGATACGAGCTGATTCACTGGCTCACCCGACAAGTCTGAACATGTCCTCCGTCACGCCGTAACCTTGCATGGCACAATCGTTGCAACCAGAACTATTCGTGATATCAAGACATAAAGTTCATTCTTCTCGTGCTGCCTATGTACAATTTGGAAGAAAAAGACAGTATAGACAAGCCAAACCCCAGAATTATGGCGTTCGTTTCGGTATGGCATACAGAGCAATATCAGCATGAAACAAGAAAAAAGGAAGAGACGGTTTCGTGATCAGATGACAAAAAAACGTGAGCAGTATATGTCTAATGAAAGAAGAAACACAAGAACAGAAGCCTCTCCTACTCCTTTTCTCCTGCCCTTCCAGACCCATATGATGGAAAAATTTGGTCCCTTGCACCTTATGCTGGAGAACGCCATATACATGAGAGTAAGAAGAGAAGAAGGAAACATAAATTATGGAAAGAAGTGGGGTGTGAAGGGGAGAGAAAAGGAGAGAGGGAGGGTTTGGCGAGAGGGGGTATCAGAGAAGAGGAAGATAAGAAGAGAGATGGAAGAAGAGAGGACCAAGAGGATCACTGGATGATGCATCGGCAACCAGCAGTTGGCTCGTCGCCATCGCCACGCGAGCCAGGTCTGGCGCCACCACCGCTGTTTTTGCCTTTTGCTGATTTCGCATTCTCTTCGTCGTCGATGACTTCTTGAGGCTTGACACTCATGTGTACGACGTTTGGTGTCGAGTCGCTGAACCGACACTNCTATTTCGGAGTCAGCATTGAAGAGAAGCCGATATTGATAGACCTGGCTTTGAGCGTACCTTTCAGGGGTAGTTTGTCGTCTAGGAAACGACCGAAGTGGATCAAGCGGATTGCTGCAGGAGATGAGGGTTTTGGTTCCCATTCTAAAGGCACAGTGGTGTCAGCGGTGGATCTGCAAGCAAGCAAGAACAAACAGGTCTTACCCTCTCTCCAATCCCGCCAGATCAACTCTTTCAAGGTATATACGCTAATGACAAAAGGATCAAATTCGCCTTTCTCGTTCTCGGCCGTAACATTACGTTTCGCTAGATACTTCTGATCTATGCGGTAGGGATGGCGGGTTCCAGTGCTGCTCAGCAGCAGATTTATAGTGATGACGGGTCCGCTGGGAGTACCAAAGCCTGGTGTTTGGGGCATGGGCGTGGGTAGATCGGTGGAGGGACCTATGGGCTCAGCCGTCTCCTGGCGCACCAGAGCAGGAGCGGGCATCATAAGCGGTGTTGGCGGCAAGGGATCGGTGCCTTCATCTACGAATTGTGGTTCTGATTGCTGCTGGCCACGGTCTGTAATTTGAGGAGCTTCGACATGAGAAGTGGTGGAAGAGGCGAAGAAAGAGGGTTGTTGTGGTTCTGTTGACGGTTGTGCATGGGTATGGTCGGGTTGCTGAGTGCTTTCTACGACTAGGCCCGTCGCTGTCGCATGTGTATTTGCTTGAGGGTCCATCTCTTCTATTGTTCTTTGGCGGCTTGTTTCGAGGTCTCGAGTGCGGAAGGTTGGGAGTGGACGAGGGCGTGGACTCGGTGGCTCGACGGGTGAATCAGGCCAAGGCAGGATTTCAAAGACAAGGCGGGCCTTGGGAGGCGATAGAAGAAAATCGGGCTGCAGAAAACGAGAGTGAATTACTCGGTGTGGACTGCAGGCGTCACGAAACAATAAGGGATGGTGGTGATGAGAGTGCGACGATTGCGACGACGACGATGATGTGGATGTGCACCGACAACGACGACCGGGCCAAAACCCCAGACTCCACCCAACCCAGAACTCCCGCTCCTTCCTATTCCCGATTGCTCCATTGACCCACAACTCTATTTCGCCTTCTACTGCTCAATACACATCACTTTCTTCTATACCTTTAGCACCGTGACAAGATGTCTGACAGGTTCAATTACACATTTATATACACTCAATCTCCTTCACTGCTTGAATATCGTGTGCCCGCTCGTGTGCTGGGCTCCACTTTTATGCTGTCGTCTCCAGGGGCCAGGACTTCTACTCCGACCACTCCGCATAGTGGCCGGCTTGCTCCACTCGAACACCAGACATCTCCTGCTTGACTCCCAGCATGCTCACCTTGCCCATGCTGCCCTCTGTCTCGCCTTCGATCTTCCAGCCAGAAAGTAGTTCTTGCAGCTTCTGAACCACCTCGTCCCTATCCTCAATCAACAGGGCAACTGCATCATACCCTCCTGCTCCGGGCACCACTCCACCAATTACCCCCTCGACGTTGCTGCATGCATCCAATAGCTTCGTCTGCGCCGGAGGCTCGATAGGCACCCCACTCTGCTTGCTCATCTCGCGGATGCCTTGTCTGATGGCCTGAATGCGTTGCTTGAGGCCTGAGTAGTCTTTGGATCCACTCTCGGCCAATTTGACCAACTCTTGAGCCAAGCCCTCGTTGACGCTTTGTAGTCCTTCCCACACCTTCTCTGCCTCTGTTCCCGTGTCTTTTCTCCACGCGAGGACTTGCTTAACCATGCCAGGTGTCTGACTACCGCAGCTGACATCGCACATGATCAACCTGATGCCCGGCGGTACCTTGACTTGATCCTTGACAATCTCAGTATCCCACTGACCGTTCGCACCGCTCTCGTTGACAATGTCTACCAATTGTTTGCCAAACTCTGGTACACCGGGTTCTCCATGTGCTGATAGAATCGATGGCGAAAATCTTCGGTACAAGCAACTGCCATACACTGCAGAAGCCACGTCGAATCCAGAGCCAACTTTGCCTTGAGCAGCACAGTGAGCTGCTTGTGCCAAGTTGTGTAGCTTGCGCTTGCCAGCTTCAATAGTCAAGTCAAAGACATCTCGAGGTAGGTAGTAGCTGAGAACTGCAGCAGTGAATGCAGTCACCAGAGCAGCTGAAGATCCCAAGCCAGTCTTGTTTGCTTCCGAAAGAGGGACGCCGAAGTCGTGGAATCTCGCACCTGTCAAGTCAGCGGAAGAAGTCGAGTAGTAGTCGTTGTCTGCCAGGATGGTGATCGATGAAGGGGAGACATGAGACGGCCCGACAGTGGAGATGTAGCTCAGGGCATAAGCAAGAGCTGTCTCGACGAACGGATTGCGGTTGAGCTTCAAGTCAGCGTTCCTAAAGATTCACACATGTTAGAGTCGCGTCCTGTTAAAAAGTCCAACCAGCTGTGTATCCTATCGGGTGTCGAGTGTCTTCAGAAGCCTGGTCTTCCTCAAGCTTCCAGTGAAGGTTGTGCACATGATGCGAAGAGATCGGTATGCCGTCTTTGATCTCGGGCACACGACCTTCCAGTAATCATATATCCTTTCTGAGAACTTCGTGATTCGGTGCAGACACTTTCTGTCTTGCCGTCTCATGATATCTCGCTTATGCCAACCCCCCTTGTTTTGCGATGATGATGATAATGAAATGAAGAACTTTAGCACTTACACTCTCAACTGAGTCACTTTGACACCCCCGTCTTGGTCGGCCAAGCGATACCCATACTCCCAGACGGCGTTCTGGAATTGAGGTGAATTGACCGTGATCTCAGAAAAGGTGACACCTGAACTTGATGCGAAGGGCTTTACACAGACGTGGATACGAGCATCCAGGCCAAACACGAGTCCGTTGTACTTCCTGTCGAGCACGAGATAACCACCAGCTAGCAAGACCTTGCCAGGTGCAGACACAGCGACAGCACTTTGGCTCATCGTCGTTTCGAATGATGCAGGGTGAATCTTCACGAGAAGCGATGCGGATTGTCTGCTAGACAGACAGCTGAGCAGCAGCAGAAGTGGCTAGATGACAGACCAAGACAGCGCGCAACTGGGCGACCCCTCCTCTTCCGCTCAGGGTAACAATTCTAAAACCCTTGTCCCTCCTGAACGCCGCACAACAGCAGGAGACGCGGTACTGTAATCTTACTTCTGCTGCGAAAAGTGCACGGCTAGATAAAATATGGCCGTAGAAGGATACCGGTCAGCAGACCAGAATGAAGAGGGAATTGACGATGAAGAGCCGGGCTGGTGGTCGATTTTGGAAACTTCTCGTCGTGTAGAGAATCGAGGCTGGCAGTGCACAGTCGATTCCGAGAGTTTCCTTGACCGTTGGACGGAAGTTGCGGGAGAATGTGCTAGTGGCCGTTCGACGGCGTGGCCATGTAAGGCAGGCTATCGAGCAGTGCTTGGAGTAAGATTCTGTAAGGTCCGACGAATAGAGCTGTTTTGCTTATCAAATATGCCGCATCGAGCACGACCGACCGCACGGCTCTGTTGCTTATCAAGACTCAAAGTTCGTCCGAGTCTCCGATCCAGGTGCGTCGACAAAGCCCGACGGACGCGACAAGCTCCCACAATCCATCCGTTATCGTCATCCATAATTCTGGTGCCTGAACATTTTCGCCAGGCAAAACCAGTCATAGTTCAGCTTCTTGTTCTCTCGCTTTATCAGATCTTCTTTCGCGCTTGGGTTTTGGTGCAAGTGTTGTTGACCTGCTTTTTCTCTTCTCTCGTGACATTTATCGACTATCACGCCACCAAGGTATTTTGTACCTTTCCACACTGCATTTTCGCGTGTTCTCTGCCGATCGAGCCATCGTCAGATGAACTTGCAATAATTCTACTTCGAGAACTATCTGGTATGTGTTTCTGATTCTGCTATTCGTTCTTTTCGTTTGATACATTCTATCACTTGATTTGCTGCTTTCTCAATTGACCAAGCATGATCCAATGGCGACTTTCTGACCAGCTTTACAGTCTCATATTTCCAACTTGAGGGTTCTCAATCACCGTCTCGATGGTGTTCGTTAAGCCCACTGTCGGAATCTCTCGTCTTGCTGGTACAGCATTCAAATCTTTCACCCACGGATACGCTCAGACTGTTGTCGCCGCTTCTCAGTCTTCCTACGCTTCGCAAAACACTGGTGTTACTCCCCTCGCAAGCAACTGGATCCATCGCATCGGCGGTAACACCAGCACATCCCAACTACAACATGTGCCGACACACGCAAACACTCAGGCACCTCGTCTGGACAACAATCACAATGATGGTCTAACCCAATACTACGAGGCATGGCACAAACACCACAAGAACGGCGACCTTCGCGAATGGCAACAGTTCCAGTTTCAGAAGTTGATTGGGTACTCAGGCGCAGCAGCTGCTGAGAGCAAGGAACTGGATGATGTTCAGGAAAGCAGCGCTATTGAGGAAGTGGATGAAAGCTTGGAAGATGCACCACAACGGGGCAGCCTAAAGCGCGCATACACGACCAGCGCTGTTGACAACTTCGGAAAGGCCATCGACAACCAGGAAGCCGCTGCTATTGCCTTCGCGCAAGTCAATGAAGCAATCGCAGAGGAGATCAGTAAGACCAAGCAAGAGGTTGAGGCCGCTGTTGATGTGGCAATCGAGGAAGATGCTGTTTCCGAAAAGACAATTACCGCTGCCTACAATGTCCCGGAGCAATTGTCCAGCGATGTTCACAACCATACCGTCGCCGCTCCTATCTCAGAGCTCGATGCGTACACACAGGAACTAGAGATGATGCTTCGCGACAAGCAATATTCACGCATTCCTAGTATCTTTGAGTCGATGCTGTATGCTGGTGTAAGACAGCCTCCGGCCTCAGCCTATCGTGCTCTGATGACCTCGGCCATCGAGCTCACCACCGGCAAACACCAGAAGGTTCCCAAGGCCCTGGAGGTCTACTCGGATATGCTCCGCCGCAGAGTGGTTCCGGATGCGGAAACTTACGCTGCTCTGATCAATCTCCTGGCAAACAGAGCTCTGGAAGCTTCGGCTACCAAGAAGGTTCTCGAGGAAAAGCGCTTGCGTTATGGTGGGATGGAGGCCGAGGACAGCTTCCTCTTCCACTCGGATGCGCTGGAATATGCCATCTTTGCAGAGGACGAGTCTTTAAGCATTGCCTTGACCACGTTCAATTCTGCTTCAACTAAGGTCGACATCTCAACCAGATCTTACGGTCTCCTGATTCATGCATGCGCCAAGCAAGGACGCGTCTCTGACATGGTGCGTCTGTTTGAACATATGTCAGGCAAGGATGTTGTGCCCAACGCGAACATTTTCCCAGCCATGATCAACGCATTCGCGCTTACAGGAGACTTGCGCAACGCTGTGGACTGCTACGATAACTACAAGAAGCTGGCCATGGAAAACGATGCTGGATTGAACAGCATGTCCAGAATGGATGAAGTTGTTTACTCTTCTCTGATCAAGGCATATGCTTCTTGTCAGCACCTAAATGGTGGCCAGAAGTTCCTCCGCGAGATCGAATCTCAGGAGCAGAATGCTTTCAAGCGCCAAGCCATCCGCGACACTGTTTACGTCGAGTCCTTCCTTCCTCTTTCGCTTCAGACTGGCAACTTCAAGGAGGCCTCCGCCATTCTTGCTAATGTCTCGAGCGCCGCTTCCGTTCCTGCTCTGAACGCGATCATCGTCGCCGCCGCTGATAACAACAACTCGGTTGAGAGCACAAAGGCATTTGACGCCCTTGCTGCAGTCGGTGCTGACTTGGCTCCTTCTTCTATGGCAATGCTAGCAATGCACGTCCGCAATGCAAACCTCGATGCAGCTGAGCCCTACTGGCGCGTGCTTGAGAACTCCATGGCTACTTCTGCTTTCATCGAGCCAGCTACCATGCGTGCTCTTGCTCTCATTAGTGTCGGTTTCGCCACTCGTGGTATCGCTCAAACTCGCCACATGTTGAGCCGTATAAGAGACGCTCAGAACTCAGCATCTGCCAACCACGAGATCTCTGAAAAGGTCGAGGAGGTCATTGAGGTCCTTAGCGGTCTTGCTCTGAACAACAACAACACGCTCGAGCTCGGTGCCAGCATCGAACTCCTGCGTATGATGGTGGACAACGGTGCTCTTGTCAACCCCATTGCCGAGCACCTTGTGGCTTCATTCGGTTCTCAAGAAATCTCGCAGCTCAACCCTAGTGACATTGGTCTTCTGACTAAAATTCAGTCGCGCATGATCCTGGATGAGTCGGCTCCTGAGATTGCTGGTGATGCTAGATTTGCTTGTCTCCTCGAGAACATTGTCTCTCGCGCCATCCTTCCTGATGTCTCTACCGAGAACTTGATTGAGAAGACCTTGATCAATCTAGACCGTAGTGATCTCAGCCGCCTCTGGAACAACTACCGCTACCCTGTCCTTCCTTCGCCTGTCTACCCGCCTGTTGTAAACTTCAACGCTTACACTCAAGCACCTATGGTACCTGTCTCGCCTGTTTTCGATGATGCTTTCGACCCCTATGCCAGCCGGACTGACAACAAGGCTTCGGTCGCGATTACTGACCTTCTTGAGAAGCCTCATGGAAAGTCTGCATCCAACCTGAACGAGGCTCTTGCCAAGTTCCGCAACATCCGCCGTGCTGGTCGCGTCCCAAGATTCTTCGCATACTCAAAGCTGATCACTGCTGCCGCCAAGGAGAATCAGTTCAGCCTCTGCCGTGATATCCTAGAAATGGCTAAGCAGGACGTTCCTTTCCTCCCCCAATACCGCGTAGTCAGATTCGGATGGGTCTCGATCCTTGACTCTATGTTGTCAGCTTGCCTGACTGTTGGTCGCCGCGATCTCGCTGCTCAGTTCCACCAGGACTTGCTTGATATGGGAGCCTCTCCATCTGCCAACACTTACGGACTGTACATCACAACTCTCAAGGAGAACACCAAGACTTTCGATGAAGCTACTGAAGCAGTCAAGATTTTCTTGCGTGCCAAGGCAGAGGGTGTCGAGCCCACTTCTTTCCTCTACAACGCGTTGATCGGCAAGCTGGGCAAGGCCCGTAGGATTGATGACTGTCTCTTCTACTTTGCTGAGATGCGCAACCTTGGCATTCGTCCCACCTCTGTCACCTATGGTACAATCGTCAATGCCCTCTGCCGTGTCAGCGATGAGAAATTTGCTGAGGAGATCTTCGAAGAGATGGAAGCATGTGCCAACTACAAGCCTCGTCCCGCACCGTACCACAGCTTGATGCAGCACTTCTTGACCACCAAGCGAGATCGCAGCAAGGTGCTGAGCTACTATGAGCGCATGCGTTTCAAGGGTATTCAGCCTACCATGCACACCTACAAGCTTCTTATCGACACTCACGCCACTCTCGAGCCTTTGAACATGGCTGAGGCTGAAAGTGTTCTCGCCGAGATGCGTGCTGCAGGCGAAAAGCCTGAGGCTGTTCACTATGCTGCGCTCATCCACGCTAAGGGTTGTGTACAGCAGGACATGGCTGGTGCTCGTGCTCTCTTTGACACAGTCGCTTCAGACTCAAAGGTCAAGCTCCAACCCTGCGTCTACCAGGCTATGTTCGAGTCTCTTGTTGCAAACCGTCAAGTTGCTGATGCCGAGCCTCTGCTCGCTCACATGGCTGCTCGCAGAGTCGAGATGACTCCTTACATTGCCAATGCTTTGATCCATGGCTGGGCTCTGGAGAAGGACATCGTGCGTGCTAGCCAGGCTTTTGACCGCGTGAACTTCGCCGATCGTGAGCCTAGCACATACGAGGCTATGGTTCGTGCCCACCTTGCTGTCGAGGACCGCGAAGGCGCTCAGGCTGTCGTTAGCGAGGCTCTCAGCAGAGGCTACCCTACCGCTGTTGCCAACAAGATTGTTGAGCTCATCAGTGGTGGCAGACAGTAATCTGCTACTCTAACCTTCAAAAATCTTTCACTTCAAATTTTTCTTTAGCGTTTTGGAGCGAACTATTACGAGGAACATGATTATAAGGGATGGGATGGCGTCAGGTTTTTGCATCTAAAGCATGGCGTCAGGGAAGCGTGTAATGGGTGGTTAGCAATGGGATTTGATTTGCGGTGTTGTCATTGTACAAAGATATCCGGGAGCAAGGAAGGCATAAGAAGTTGCCTGTCCCCTCTCATGCGTTTGTCGGTTGGATCGGTCGGTTTTCTTTTACATACATCTCCTCTCTGCCGGATCTCTGATACCATATACTCTGAAAGATTTGGGTATGTGGTTAGATCCGGGATGCTCTCCGATGAGCAAATTCAAAAAAAAAATTTCAATATTCCAGATTCTGCTCCTCTCTACATGCAGTGTAATACTATGGTTGTACGTGCGAGGAACGGTAAGGGGACGTTAAAGTCGTGATCAGGAGATATAATAGGTTGTGCTCCCTGAAATCTGGATTCCAGGGCAAAGCTTTCTGAACCAGAGCTGACTGGGTTCAGCGATGCACGGAGGCCTCTGTTCGCGTCAGGCCTGCAAACTGCCCCCTTGAGATGATGCAAAACAAAAAGAAAACATAACGCGGCGAGCAGGATTCGAACCCACGATCTCTGCATATTCTAGCCACCGAGCACCCTGAGGCCGCTCAAGATGGTGAAGAGCTTGTGTTTGCAAGACACATTGCTGCAGTGTCTTGACCACTAGACCACCGCCGCTCTTGTTGGAAGAATTGGAAGACAAGATTAAAAATATAGGTTGATGTGCATCGTGGTCTGGCTAAGGTAGGAGCGTGTCACATGTCGAAGCTGCACATCTCGCATTGGAAAGAGCGCATATGACTGCACCTACCCACCGAATCTAAGCCATGGTCTTTGCACTCCCAACTCGCTCATTGCATCAAAAACTCCAAAAATGCCTTTGCAATCACAGCACCACCATGCGTCTCTCCCACTCTCTTGATACCATCCTCATAAATCTCGTCTTTGAACACACCAGCATCGTGTCTCGCAGTCAGGATATGCGTCACCATCTCCTTGTTAAACTCTGGGTGTCCTTGTACAGTGATTAAGCGACCCTTGGCATACATGCCTTGGTTTTCACAGCGAGTGGTGTGTGCCAATGGAAGAACACCTTCAGGGTATGAGAAGACCATATCTTGGTGCATTTGGTGTATGCTCTGTTTTTCTTTGTCAGTTATTTTTACTAGGATTTGATGAGGGGAAGAGGTTATTACCAAGGAATCAACGCCAAAGATGTCCTTGCCTATGGAGGTGAGTTCTAGGGGTGTGACGCTGACTTCCCAGCCGTGGGTGCCACGGTCAACTTTGGCACCCAGAGCGCGGCCTACGATCTGGTGGCCGAAGCAGATGCCCAAGACACGGGTGCGAGATTGAGGCTCGAGGATCTTCTTTGTGAAGTCGACCAATTTGAGGATCCAGGGCTCGTTGTCGAAGGAGTTGTANNTTCTGTAAAGATCAAAAACATCAGGTGGTTTATTCGTTGTCGGTTATAACATTTCTTCTTTCCGACTTGTTTCCTTCTCTTTTGTATATTCCAACCCAATCTTATTCGTTCCTTCTCTTGTTTTTATACCCCGTACAAGACATCAGAAGACTTTGCGAAAGAGAGACTTACTGCTTCCGGTCATCAAAACAGCATCGACCTTATCCAAGTCCTCGGGATACTCTTGCTTATCAACAACATCATAACTCGAGCACTCGACCTGCACTTTGTCTCCTCCTGCCGATGTCAAATCTTCAGCAGCCTGTTTCAAGAGAGCAGTGAAGATATCGCCATAGCTGCCGTACTTGTTGAGTACCTTATCCATCGGAGTGTCACACTCGAGGATAGCTACGCGGAGAGTAGGCATCTTGTTCTGGGCGTTGTATGGAGTGTGACTTGGGTGGTGGTGTTATCGACGAATGTGTACTTTCAAGGAGGTCTGGATCTTCAAACAGATATGAGTCAAAGGCAAAGGATGAATGGTATTTTGAATGGTCATGAATTAGGTAAGTAATGTAGACTTGGTCAATGCACGGCTTGAGGTCCACCCTCCGGCGTCGCTCGAAACGCTTATCTGTCGTTGGATGATCTCAATAGCTATCTTTGCATTGCACTTCTATCATGATACCGAGATGCTTGTTCATAGTATAACCTGATCTACAAGCAAGCTACAAAGCCTGGCAGGCTGCCTCTACTTATCAAAAGTCAAGAGACTCTGTCTCAGGACAATCACGGTTTCAGAGACACGCTATTATCGTTACTTTAACACAAACGCAAAACAGATGTAGACAGTGCTTGTGTTGAAATGATAGTATCGTGTATTCTTTTTCCCTTACCTCTCTAAGAGACCCGAAAGAAGAGAAACTCAAAGTGGAACCCTCAGCTACCTAACACCGAACATTGGAAAAGAAAACTAAAGTTACAAAAAATCGTGGGGTATAGGCGTGAATCTTTTTTACATCTTCTTGCCAGCCTCCTCCATCATGCGACCGTACTTCTTGAGACGGATGGCGTTGACGGAGATGAAACCGGTAGTGTCCTCAGGGCGGAAGTCACCAATGACGTCCATGGAGGACTCGTCCATGTCGTAGAGCTTCTCGGTGTCGGACCAGCGACCGAGGACGCTGAAGGCGCCCTTGTAGACACGGCAGCGGACGGCACCGTTGACGCTGTCCTGCGAGGCGGCAACGCACTGGAGGAGGAACTTGCACTCGGGGGAGAAGTAAAGACCGTTGTAGAGGATNNCTGTGAACATACAGTTAGCCATATTGCCGTGACAGGAAAAGAGTTTCTAAGAACGTACCTTGGCGTAGTTGAAGGTCAAGAACTGGTCACGAAGAGCGCGGACCTCACGGTCCATGGTCAGACCCTCGAGATCGATGTGAGCAGCGCGCAGGCAGGTAAGACCAGGGGTCTCGTAGCAGCCACGAGACTTGAGACCGATGAAGCGGTTCTCGACAATGTCGATACGGCCAACACCGTGCTTGCGGGCAATGGCGTTGACGGCAAGGAAGAGCTCGGTGGCATCGGTGACGGTCTTGCCGCCAGGGAGCTCAGCCTTGACAGGGAGACCCTTCTCGAAGTGGAGGACAAAGTCCTCAGGCTGCTCGGGAGCCTTGGTGGGGTCGACGGTCAACTTCCACATGTCCTCGGGAGGAGTGACGTTGGGGTCCTCGAGAATGCCGGCCTCGTAACTGCAGTGGGCCAGGTTCTCGTCCATGCTCCAAGGCTTGCTCTTTGTGCTGGTGACGGGAATGCCAGACTGCTCGGCGTAGTCGAGAAGGTCCTGGCGACCCTTGAAGCGGTTGTAGAAGACAGGGTCGCGCCAGGGGGCAATGACCTGAATGGTGGGCTGCAGAGCGTAGAAGGCGAGCTCGAAGCGGACCTGGTCGTTGCCCTTACCGGTGCAGCCGTGGGAAACAGCGAAACAGCCCTCCTTCTGAGCGACGGCGATCTGGGCGCGGGCAATGACGGGACGGGCGAGCGAAGTACCTANGCGGGTGGTCAGGATATGACATCCTCTATAGCCCAATTGGAGAGTGTGTCACTTACCCAAGAGGTAGACGTTCTCGTAAATGGCGTTGCACTGGACAGCAGGCCAGCACAGCTCCTCGACGAACTCCTGGCGGAGATCCTCAATGTAGCACTTCTCGGCACCAATCTTGAGGGCCTTCTCGCGGGCAGCGTCGAAGTCCTCNNCCTCTTGACCAACGTTGGCCATGAAGCAGATGACACCGTAGCCCTGGTCCAGCAGGTACTTGAGGATACATGAGGTATCGAGACCGCCAGAGTAGGCGAGACAGACCTGTACGTAAAGGTCAATTGATTGCTAGAAATAACATCGATGCACTGCTTCTCACCTTTGCTTGACCATGTTGATGGATGTGATGTGAAATGGGGAAGTGTTGGATGAAGGAAGGTAAGATTGATTCAGATGAGGCAGTTTAAGAGAGATGGGTTGGTGAGTCAATGGCCAGAAAAAAGTGAGCTCCACGTTGGCGCGCCAGCTCCACGCTTCCTAGTCAGTTATCGGGCGTATCGCAGCGCTGATCACTGCTCCGGTTTGGCTTTTTGGTTGCTGTGACTGTTTGCTGGCACTAATTGCACCCCAGCTCCGTCACCGGCGCTGCTTGCTCCCTGTTTCGCTGCTTCGCCGACTTTCCCGCGCTTGCCGCCATGTTAAAGCCGTCGCAACCCACGAGTCAAGTCCCGTTCTCCCTCAACCACTGCCTTTACCAACAAGAAACCGTTGGCCTCGAGCAAAGACTACTGACTCACTGCATGCCGCTGTCTTACTCGTTGTTTCCTGAATACACGTGCAAATGGTCCATATCATTTTGTCCTATTATCATTGTCCTTGTACATTGGACGACTGACCACGAATATGTCTGGTCTCCTCTCGCATTGTCTTCAATAGCCAGCTCCTGCGGTAGCCCGGGTACATACTGTACATCCTTCCTTTTCGAAACACATGAATTCCTTAAAACTTGTACTTTGAACCCGATGCTTCAATTTGCGAGCCATGTTCAATGTCGTGGTCAGAAGGTTGGTGCTGGTCGAAGCTGTACTTGACATCACCACGCTCGAGGTCAGACGCAGCGTCGAAGCTCGATTTTGACTCGTGTGAGCTATTGCTGGGTCGACGTTTCTTTTGCAGCTTACGACTATGCCGTCTCTCGTTACTGTCGAAGCTTGCTGATCGTGCTCGCGCGTGGTGGTATGCCACGCCCTGAGCAGATTCTTTGGCTGCAGCCTCTGCTTCCAATGTACCTGGCTTGAGCACGGCAAAGCCTGAGTTTACTGCGCGTAGCACAGTCGGATCTGGGCGTGTGTACGACATGCTTGACCCGCGACGCGATTTAGACTCTGAGGCGGGTGTCTTGGGCTCTGGAAATTCGACCTCCGGATGCTTCTCTGACACAGGAGTAGTGAAAGGATTGGACGTGTTGTTAGAACTGGATGAGCCAGGAGGTGGAGGTGACTGTGAGCTTGGAAGGGAAAAGTTATGTACTTCGCTTGCCCCCGAAGGCGATGAAGTCCAGTCTCCGGAGGTACCGGTACGGCGACTTCTAGGTACCAGACGCCCTGTTTCAGCTACCTGTGACATACGGTGGGTCTGAAGAGCGTCGTCAAATGCCGGATTGCCGCTAGAGTGGACTGGAGGTGGTCTTGCAAAGTCGAGATATGATGCTGGTAGGTCATTGCTTCCACTGCTGCCTCCTCTCGACGAACCTGAGTAGGAGCTATGGTAGCTGACAATTCTGGCTGGATCTAAGACTTTATGTTAGCATTGCAGACCCCATTCTGAACCATGATACGTACCAGTTGGCATGCCAGTGGGAATCCTAGTTTCAAGAGTATGAGCATTGCGGAAATGTTTTGAGCTACTGCCTTCATATCTTTGGTATGAGTGCGGAGGGTACCGACGAGAAGCTGAAGCAACAGGCTCAGGGGAGGATGGTGGGTTACTCCCAATACTGCCGATAGACATCGAACGATCCATAGAAAGCGTCTGGCTTGGCTCTCTTGAAGACGACGCGACAGATCCATCGAATGGCGAGGTTTCTGTGCCATTGTTCGTAAGAGTCATCCCAACGTCTGTCAATGAGCCTTGTCGACTCTGTTGTGGGACGGGTCTGTAGGCTGATATAGAGCTTGAAGAGGGCTCGCGTATGCTTGCAGCTGGTGTGTTGCTGCGAGAAATCCATACACCATCGACCTCAATGCCGCTTTCGATCGCTCGGATACCGAACGGAATCTTTGGTCCATCGTCCATCAGACGTCTCTTTTGGACCATAACCTCGTTGGCCGACTTTTCTTTTGTTTCTGCTTNCTGCTTCTTTGGGCCTTTGCGCATACTCAAGCTGCGGATGATACTCTTCTCACGATTGATTGGCCGAGGACCGTTCTTCTCGTATTTTCGAAGTTTGTGGTGCGTGTACCATAGCTTGAGGCAGCCAGCAAAGATAGTCAGGACNNCTAATATAAATGTGAGCCATGATTGATAACTAGTCAAAAGCAAGCACACATACAATAAGGCAGGCAAGGACCTATCACATGTTAGTAGAAGTTCAGCATTGGTGTGTGCGGCACATACAAAGGTCATTTTCTCCCACAGCGCCCAACCAACGAAGAACACTTTCCCCATGTTGAAGTTGTTGGTCAGATTTGGAACAGGATAGATATAACGAAGGGAGTTAGAGAAAGAAAAGATTTTTAGGATGAATAGGTATGTGAGTGTCGTTATTGTGAAAGTCGGCGCAGCGTCTGTATTGTCGTTCAATTCAATAGGAAGGTGCGCGGATGGCGGCTTCTTCTTTTGTAAAACCCAGCCTTTGGGATTGCAGCCGGCCACAAGTAGACGGAAGAAAAGAAGGAGAAAACCAAGTCAGCTTAACGAAAGACGGCGGTGGAATATCTGATAGGTGCGAGGCACGTCACTCCACGGCTACACACTGCAGGGTCGGGGCCTGCTTTTAAAGGCAAGGAAGACACATTCAGAAGGCCAGTCGGAGAGCGGAGAGGGACTTTGTCCCATCATTATACATGCTACCATTGTCTTCGCTTGCCGCTCACTTGGGAGGATCGATCCGTCTCTACTAAGAATAGAGAAGAAAAATCAATAAGGCCAAGCAGCCTCTCGGCTCATACCATACACTGGAGGTTTCCATGCGGCGCCTGTGCGAGGATGCACGTTTCCCTGGGATGATGCGACCGTCCCGCAGGTGTGCATATGGTTGCATTCGTGTTGGCGCTTCGGTGAGTCCTGGCAAATGGACGGGAATACAAGCTCGTCACCGCCTGCTTGGGCAANTCCTTTGTCCTCGCNATCCTGTCGACGCAGGCGAGATTGCTCTCACGAATTCTCCTCTGTACAAGATACCTTGCAGAGTGGTTTGCAATTNNCGGACGGTTGAAGATGCTTCGCATCAGACGTGAAACGTCGGATCGTTCGGANGGCCCTTGGTAAACCCGNTTGTCCCGCGTTTGAGAACGACTGCACAGACGCGATCGATGCGCCATCAAGAGGCCNATGGTTACCTGCTGCAGTCATGACTTGACCAAAGGGCAAAAATGTGCGCGGAAGCAACATGCTGGGCCGCCATGAGAGCCCAAATGAGGAATGATTCTTGATCGAGTTGATGCAGACCCTGACGTTCGCCTGCAGTTTGATCTCCAATACCAAGAAGCACTTGTTCTGTGCTGCACAAGCGAGCATGGAGTACAGTAGGTCACATGCATACTCGGAGAAGAAAGGAAAAATTTAGACACATCTGGATGTCACCAAGGATNCGCTTTAATAAGCGTCAATACCAAAGCCAATGCAGGTATTGGGTGATGCTCGTATATTCGTATTACATTCTCGCTGTGCAGGCTTCATGACTACTTCAGGCAATAACACCAAGAACACCAAGCGCCNNTGTAACCGCGGTCTTTCGATGCGCTGGAAAATCTCGTACCTAATGCCATGGCATTGAAGCCTCTGGACTCGCTTCCAACACATGCAGTGAGCAACCATGCGGAGGTTTAGGGCGCGTTACCCTAGGGCGTCCAGGGTTAGAAGGGCTAAAAGAGAGTCTCCTGACCATGGTTGGAGATTTCTCAGAGCGACATCGAGCGAGATGTCGGTCCTCGGCTGGGGTCTCTGCGACCTCTGCGAGCACAGACAGTCCTCCTTAGTCACACAGCTTCCGCGAGCCGACCCCTCACTTCTGGGCCGGGGTAAGTCACTCCTGCCTATCATTCTTGTACCTGGCATCATGTAGATTTCCAAGATCTCGAATAATCTGCAACTGTCACATTCACGTTCATGATGGCTGCTTCTTTTCTGCAAAATTATCACTGCGTCAAGGATCCAGGTTCATCAATCATCGTCTCTTTCACACAACGCGCAAACGAGACGTAGTCAAGCCATTCTTGTTGGCGGATATTGGCGAAGGGACTCGAGAATGTCAAATCATCCAATGGTTCGTGCAGCCAGGTGCTCGCGTCGAGCAATTCGACAAGCTCTGCGAAGTACAGTCGGACAAGACAGCTTCTGATGTATGAAAGATGTTCTAGAAAGATCCCCCTGATCATCAGAACTGACATGTGATANNGATCACATCTCCGTTCGATGGAGTAATCAAAAAGTTGTACTATGAAGCAGATGACATGGCTCTCGTCGGAAAGGTGATTTTACGCGACACTTTCCCTATCTCTGCTTGCGCTGATTCTCGTNNTAAGCCATTATTGGACATCGATATACAAAGCGACATCACGCCTGAGAGTGAGGCACTTATCGAGGAATCTGGCGGTGAGAAAGCAGATGTGCCACAAAAGGAAGCACCGCGATCCCAAGCACCCCAACATGAGGCTCAAAATGTCGAGAGGGAGGAAGTTCAGGGTCCTCTGAGCAGGACGAAGCATCACGACAAAGGACTGGCGACTCCTGCTGTGCGACATCTTATCAAGGAACACAATGTCAGAGTTCAAGACATTGATGGAAGCGGCAAGGACGGAAGAGTGTTGAAGGAAGATGTCCATCGACACGTCTCGCAGACTACCTCTCAGAAGTCAACGCAGCAGCCATCTGCGAAAGACCAGAAGAAACCTTTGACACCAGTTCAGACGGCCATGTTCAAAACTATGACCCGATCCCTCACAATACCACACTTCTTGTATTCGAGCACACTCGACACTGGAATCCTTAACAGATTCCGTACGAAGATCAACAGCACGCGAGAGGCTGGGAACAGACTGACTCCATTACCTTTCATATTGAAGGCGATTTCGCTTGCAATGGGCCATCATCCATTGCTCAACGCCTGGTTAGACACATCAGATCCGAAGAAGCCCGAGTTGAGTTACAAGGCAGCACATGACTTTGGGATCGCAGTGGATACTCCTTCCGGGTTGCTAGTGCCGATCGTCAGAAACGTCGAGTCGCAGAGTGTAGGAGCCATCGCGGAGCAGATCAAGATGATATCAAGCAAAGCACGCGAAGGTAGACTGGGCGCGAAAGAGCTTCAAGGACCGACGTTTTCAGTGTCGAATATTGGATCGATTGGTGGTGGAGTTGTCGCACCGATCATAGTGGAACCTCAGGTGGCCATTGTCGGAGTAGGAAGGGCAAGAGTGGTGCCAGGCTTCGATGAGCAGGGGAACGTGGTCAAGAAGGAAGAGATGGTTTTAAGCTGGAGTGCGGATCACCGAGTCGTGGACGGAGCAGAGTGTGCCAGATGTGCCGAGAGGGTGAACTGGTATCTGCAGAACATGGAGGCGTGGGTGCTAGAAATGAAGTAGAGGGTAGCCAGAGAATGACGATTACTAAAAGAAAAGCAGCGTTGTGGCTGAGGCACAGAGTTGAGCGAGGCTGAAGCGCAGGGTTGATGCTTTTAATAGCGGATCGGAGGAGTGGCCGGTGGCTTGTCTAGCGTGTCCCTGGCAAGGCGAAACGAGTTTACGAGTTTGGGAAGGGGACGCGCATCAGCATGTGGATACGCCTATCACCGTGTTGCGTACCCTCTTTCTTATCGTGTTATTGTGTTTTTCCAACTCGTCTTCCTCTTCAACCAGACGACGTGCTGTGACTGTCAGAACCTATTGTTTCCACTCCGACCAAGCCTTCACTCAATCGCCCATCCCACCGCAAAACCCAGAATACACACCCGGTGGGCCACGAACCTAAAGCACAAGAAAGAGCAGGACATATACGATTAGAGCAACCAATGCAGAAAGAGCAGCTCACGACACTGCGCTGAGGCAATGGCCGACGAATCGCCCACAGTCAACAGTCGGCGGCACCGTCGCAATCAGTCGACTCCGCAGACGTCGATTCAGCTACAAGACCTGGGCCCCGCTCAACATGCTCCTATATCCCAGGAACCCTCCTCCCCGTCTGCCCAGCCTTCACATCGCCGCACTTTGAGCGACCGCGGACGTAGCTTGTTTCGGCGCAATAGAGAATCTCTCTTATCACATAGTCCTGGTAGAAATCCACACCCTCCTAATACTCGCGCTTACTCGCCAATCTCCGAGGATCCTCCCAGTCCGCCGCAGAACGATCGTAACTTGTCACCTCTTGCATACGTAACCTCGCCCACTGGTCACCGTACACGAGTCGATGATGCCCAAGATGAGGACGAGCGCACACCTCTGTCTCCACACGAANNGGGGAGCAGTTTCCAACAAGCTATGGGCTTCGCTGGTCTCAGCATAGGTGCTCCTGCTCGCCCTTCGTTGCACTCGGGTCATGGCCGATTAGGCAGTGATCTTAGTCTCCGTACTGTCGATGCATCGCCTTACGACGAAGAACCCGACGATCCAACTAGCTTCTTTCCACACGAGGAGGATATGGACACAGTGCCCCTGACAGATATGAGCCGTCTCGATGCTCACTCACCACAGCGCAACGACCGCGGCAGCTTCCAGAGTATCCGCTTCTTGTCACCGTCTGTCTCGCATTCCAACAACCCAGATGTCGAATCTGGAAACCTGACTCCTTCTGGTCGCTGGAGTCGTTCTCCAGATGGCCACAGCCGCTCTCCTGCAGACAGTCGTCGCTCATTGTCGCCCATGGGAGACTCTCCTTTCCATCGAGCAGGAGATATGATGCGCAAAATGTCGATGCGTGTGGTCAACTTGAGTAATGAGCCCGAAGTCGCTGAGCGTATGATCAGGCGCAAGTCGTCTGTAGGTCATTCTTCTCGTATCTCTGAAGCTGCCGACTTTGGCATTGATGGGCCTCCNCGCTCTCCTGTCAGTGAGAAGATGCCTTCGCCTATGCTTCGTCCTGCGGATCAGCTCGATACAGGCGCGCGTGAGCCAAACCCTTTCCGTGGCAAGTCACTGGGCATATTCCCGCCAGATAGCAAGCTGCGTCTAAAACTGGCTGACTTCTTACTTCATCCTTTCACTGAACCTTTCATTCTCGTGCTGATTGTGTTCCAAACAATCTTGCTTGCTGTCGAGGCTCGCAACAACGTCAATGATGACCCACGATCTAAGCGATTTGGAACTACGTGGATTGATATCGCCTTGCTTGCATTGTTTACCATCTACACCATCGAGATCATGATCCGAGTCATTGTGTCTGGATTCATCGTTAACCCTATTGAATACAGTACCATTGACCGCAAGGTTGGTCTTCGAACCGCCGTTATGAAGAAGGCCAATGATATGTTCGCTCTACATCGAAAGCCTTCAGTCAGGAATCTAAATCCGCTTCCACCATTGACGCCGGCACCTCAGCCTGGAATCCTGCGTAGCTTTACCACGAACACCATGATGGAAGTACCAGGTGGCTCAAAACAAGCCCAGCTACAACGACTAGCATTTCGAGCGTTTTTGCGTCATTCTTTCAACCGACTCGATTTCCTTGCTGTTTGTGCATTCTGGATCAGCTTCATCATTGGTATCTTCGGCGTCGAGTCTCAAAAACACGTCTTTGTCTTCCGTATGCTGAGCTGTCTTCGAATTGTGCGTCTTCTGGGTATAACCAGTGGCACTTTGGTTATCTTGCGGAGTCTGAAGAAAGCTGCTCCTACTCTACTGAATGTCGCCTTCCTGACTGGTTTCTTCTGGCTGTTGTTTGCAATCATCGGAGTTCAGAGCTTCAAATCCAGTCTCCGTCGTACATGTGTCTGGACAAATCCCCAGAATGCTTCAGATACATACACCCAACCGATGCAGTTTTGTGGCGGCTGGCTCTTGCTCAACGGTACGGCAATGCCCTGGCTGCACAAAGACGGCAAGACTTACGGTGCAGATGATGCTAAAGGTTTTTTTTGTCCTGTCAACTCCGTCTGCATCGAAGGCGAAAATCCTTACAACGGCACTGTCAGTTACGACAACATCTTCCAATCTCTCGAGATGGTTTTCGTCGTTATGTCCTCGAACACGTTCTCTGACCAACTTTACTATCTTGCTGACAGCGACTATCTATCTGCTGGTATATTCTTCGCTGCCGGGATCATAGTCTTCCCATTGTGGCTTGTCAACTTGTTGATTGCGGTTATCACATCCTCATTCCAGGTCATTCGAGATGAGAGCAAAGCCAGTGCCTTTACGGCGCAAGAGCAAGTCAAGCATCTTGAGACGGAAGAGGGAAGTGATGGGTTCAAGCAGAAAACAAGCACGCTGAAACAATTTGTGAATAACACACGATGGATCTGGATCGCTGTCATCACGTATGGCTTGATTGTACAATGTCTGCGCAGTGCATACATGAGCCCGAGTCGGGCGGCTTTTCTCAGTAAGTTTTATATATCCTGTGTTGTTTGAAACATGCTAACCCTCTCAAAGGCNTCTTCCGAACTAGGTGTAACCATAGCCCTGGACATCGAAATAATTCTTCGGTTCATGGCAGACTGGCGTCGATTCCATAAAAGCAAGCGTAACCTCGTGGATCTTGCATTGGCTGTTATAACCACGATCATCCAAATCCCGGTCATAAAAAACTCTGGTCAGCCGTATGCATGGTTGACGTTCTTCCAAATCATAAGAATCTACCGTGTCGTTCTCGCAGTCGAAATCACACGCACACTGATCGTACGTAATTCTGCAAATGATATCAAGCCCGCAACTGACTAACATGCTTCGCAGCTCACTGTGTTGGGCGACTTCTCGGGTCTGTCCAACTTGATCATGTTCGTTATGCTATTGTGCTTTCTCGCCGCGATATTTGCGACACAGATCTTCCGCGGGCAGGTTCCTGAAGAAAACGACGAAGGCGAAGCAATTCGTGTTCCGTTCTTCGACATATACAATGCCTTCTTGGGAATGTATCAAATATTCTCAAGTGAGAATTGGACGGACATCTTGTACGACGTCACGTCATATAATGTTGCTTACAACAACGGTTGGATCGGTGCAGCATTCTGTATTATGTGGTTCATCCTAGCGAACTGTAAGTCTGAAGCTTCCAAATTGAGTTGTTCGTATGTCTTGCTAACCAACTCTGAANNAGTCATTGTCTTGAACATGTTTATTGCTGTTATTCAAGAAAATTTCGATGTTTCTGAGGACGAAAAGCGCCTGCAGCAGGTCAAAGCCTTCCTTGCAAAAAGACAAGTCAATGCGACGTCTGGTAGTCAGGGTTCGCTGTCATTGTCAACAATCTTCAAGCTTGGCCAAGTTCGTCGACAAGACCCTCTCGATTATGGCTCGGCACAAACAGAAATGCTTCTCAAAGACGCAGTAGTCCGAGACTTTCTGGATGATCACGAGGTTGATCCCGATGCGAGTCTACCTAGTACAACTGACAGCATACCTAACAACAGTCCACCCGTCAAATCAGGCACTTTGGCTCAGCGTTGGGAACAACTTCTCAACCGCCTCTTCAATCGCGAACCCAACCCTTTCTATTCCAATTTGGAGCTCCAGAAGGCTCACGAGGAAGTGGACACTCGTCAAATGGTGAAAGAGGTGGTGGCGGCGAACGAGAGGGTCAAGAGAGCTCAACGTGAATACTTGAGGAAGTATCCCAACTACAACGTCTCACTTTTCATCTTCAGGGTCAACAACCCTGTGAGAAGATTATGTCAGAAGATTGTAGGACCAGGTCGTGGTGGTGATCGCATAGAGGGTGTGGCACCTTATAGACCTGTCTGGTACGGATTTTCAGCATTCATTTACGCAGCCATTGTAGCCATGGTGCTCTTGGCTTGTGTTACGACACCCTTGTACCAGAAGGAGTACTTCAAAAATCACGACTTCCGAGCCCTGAACTGGTTTGTCTACACCGATATGGGCTTTGCAACTCTCTTCACCATCGAGTCTGTCATTCGAGTTATTGCGGATGGATTCTATTGGACACCTAACGCATACTATCGCAGCTCTTGGGGCATTATTGATGGCATCGTCTTGGTCACATTGTGGACTGACATCTTCACCACAATCTATAATCCAGGCGGTGGTTCAAGAGCTGTCGGTGCCTTCAAGGCGTTGAGAGCTCTCAGATTGCTCAATGTCAGCGACAATGCTAGAGACACCTTCCACTCTGTTATCGTCATGGGTGGTTGGAAGGTCGTCTCGGCAGCATTCGTTTCGATGAGTTTGCTCATTCCATTTGCCATATACGGTCTGAATCTGTTCAATGGCAGGTTTATGGAATGCAACGATGGCAATGTCTCGTCGTTGCTCACCGACTGTACTGGCGAGTACCTCAGTACACCCTATAATTGGGACGTTCTTGCCCCACGTCAAGTCGCCAACCCATACTACGACTTCGATAACTTCGGATCATCACTGTTCATCCTCTTCCAGATTGTCTCACAGGAAGGCTGGATCGACGTCATGTGGAGCGGCCAATCTATCACTGGCGTTTTCACGCAGCCCAACTCTTTCTCATCCCAAGGAAATGCCGTCTTNTTCGTCGCCTTCAACTTGCTTGGTGCCGTCTTCGTCTTGACGCTGTTCGTTAGTGTCTTCATGCGCAACTATACGGAACAAACTGGAGTAGCTTTCTTGACAACTGAGCAACGATCATGGCTTGAATTGAGGAAACTGCTTCGACAAATTTCGCCATCCAAAAGACCCTCATCTAAGGAGGTGCGGGAGACTTGGAAAGAGTGGTGTTATCGCCGAGCAGTGACGAAGAACGGTAAATGGCAGCGTAGCGTCACTGTGGTTCTGGTATTCCACCTGCTTTTGCTGTGTTTGGAATGGTATCCGGACAACAACCGCTGGGATAGAGCACGAGATTACATTTTCCTGGTGTTGACGCTCTTCTACATTGTCAACATCGTCGTTCGTATCATCGGACTTTCCTGGGCTCGGTTCCGAAGAAGCGCCTGGGATGTGTACTCGATATTCTCGGTCTCTGGTACGTTCATCACCTTGGTCTTGCTCCTGACCAATTTCGAGAACCGGAACTATGTGCAAATACACAAGTTGTTCCTTGTATCAATTGCATTGCTTCTGATACCTAGGAACAATCAGCTGGACCAACTTTTCAAGACTGCAGCTGCTAGTTTTACCTCGATCGCGAACCTCGTCGCGACTTGGTTTGTCCTCTTCCTGGTCTTCGCCATTGCCTTCACTCAGACTTTCGGGTTGACTAGATTTGCCGAGGGTGAAACAGACAATCAAAACTTTCGCACAGTGCCCAAAGCTCTGGTCATGCTGTTCCGTATGAGTTCTGGTGAAGGCTGGAATGAGGTCATGGCAGACTTTGCATCGGTCACTCCGCCTTATTGCACAATCGGCGAGCATTACTATGATGGTGACTGTGGTAGTGACGGATGGGCCATGGCTCTGTTCATCTCCTGGAACATCCTCAGCATGTACGTTTTCATGAACCTGTTCATTTCGTTGATTTACGAAAGTTTTTCGTACGTCTACCAGCGAAGCAGCGGATTGTCCGTCATCAGCAGAGAAGAGATTCGACGGTACAAGCAGGCGTGGGCAGAGTTTGATCCAAGTGGTTCAGGATACATCTCAAAAGAGAAGTTTCCCCGCTTGTTAGGAGTGAGTTCATCCCGTTATCATGTTTGTCAATGTATACTAACTTTATTCAGNGAACTCTCTGGTGTCTTTGAAATGCGCATCTACGATGGCGACTTTACAGTCAGCAACATCATTGCAGACTGCACCTCCAGGCCACATCGTGCTCATCCTCTTGGGTTGGATGGCCCCAAGGATAGTATGCAAATCGACCTTGAGAGACTCAATGAACGTCTGTCCGAGATCCCGATCCTTGAAATCCAAAGACGCAGAAAGCGAATGAACATCTTCTACGAGGAAGTACTGGTCTCGGCCGATCCCGATCGTGGTGTCGAGTTCAATTCGCTTCTAATGATTCTGGCACATTACAAGGTCATCAACGACAACAAAAGTCTGCGACTCGAAGAGTTCTTGCGCCGTCGTGCTCGTTTGCAGCGTGTAGAGGAAGCTGTGCGCCGCAATGTCGTCGTCGGATTCTTCGATACTCTGTACTGGGCTCGTCGCTTTAGAAAGGCATTGGAAGCCAAGAAGAATGCACGCATGACCATGGTACCTCAACTAGATGTCCCTGAAATTTTCATCCAGGATGACAGCGAGGATGCCGCTAACTCTGGTCACAAAACTCCCTCGGCTCCGTCTACCCCAATTGATTACTATGCTCCTCCTTGGGCTCCTGGAAGCGAGAACGGCACTCCATCCTTTGATATTGGTTTCACGGCATCTCGACCTAATTTGCGCAACCGCAGTGGTTCTATACAAGTCTCACCGTCAGCCTCGCCAACGCGTGCACGAACGGTTTCGCACTCGTCGCCTTCTGAGATACGTGATATCCCTGAAGACTGGCACTTTGCTGAAGCCCTGATTGAGGGACACAACCGGTCCAGATCACCATCACCATCACCGCAACACCTCGATCCCGATATTACGTCAGATGCCTATGGTGGTTTGGGCCTTGGAGCAGGTCCTCGAAGCCGCGCTCAAACACTATCCGCCTCAAGTCCAGAGTCTCGTCCTCGAGCAGGCACTTTATCAGTCGCTGGTACGCCTAGCGCGGGTGTTCGATCACGTGCTGCTAGCTCCGTCAACGCACAGAATGTCCTTGATGTGCTGGACACCTCGGCATGGGGTGAGAGTATCAGAAGAAGCTTTACTACGCGAGGGTCAACAATAGGACCACGCGGCTCAGCTGTGCGTGACACAAGTGTTGAACCTATGCCTTCCATTACTGATACCCAGCCTTCGACTTCGTCACAAGCTGAAGGACATGATCATGGGCATCCACCTGAGCGATAGTCCTGCACCCCTAATGTAGATAGATAGATGGGAGTTGAGGCTGGATTTTTCTGTATTTGCATAGCGAAGGCGTTGTCGTTGTTATGATTCTAATAGAGAGGCTGTTGCCGAATGATAAACAAATACTATTCTTACTCACAATCTGTTGATCAATTCAAATGTAGCTAATACATAATACTTGCAGCTCTGTCGGAAGGGAAAAGAAACACTCTTCATCTTGCTCGACTCGTGATATCTAGTATTTGTCGCAATTTATCGTTGAAACTCAAACAAACGACAGCCTCTACAACAACAAAATAGCATAGTGCCGGGTACTAGCAGGGTCGAGACAAGAAAGACGCAAAAGAATAGCTAAGCTTGGTATCGAGCATGACATATTTGACCACGTATATGATCAGCTCGCAAGCGAGCTGATATCAGAATTTCACTGAAATCACAAGCTGAGTGGCGCAGCGGAAGGTTCGTAACGTTTGACTCTTCACTAAATCGATGGTGTGTTGTGATAGTCGCCTCTGCTTGTGTCAAAGGAAAAGATCAAAAACGCAAAAAATATAGCTAAGCTTGGTTTCGATCCAAGGTCCTCCGGGTTATGAGCCCGGCGCGCTGTATTGAGTTAGTATGGTGGTTTCGAGATGATGGAGTTGAACTTTACGAACCTTCCGCTGCGCCACTCAGCTTGTGATTTCAGTGAAATTCTGATATAAGCTCTTCAGCTATCAACACATATATACTCGCAATACCTGGAAGTCGCACTTTCGTGATTTGAGAAGTAGTTGTGCCTTCCTCATTCTATGCAAGACGTGCCTTCCTATTTTGCCAGAAAATGTGCCTTCCTAATTTGGCAACTGATGCGCTTTCCTACTCTGACAGCAAACGCGCCTTCTTATGTTCGACAAGCAATTCTTGCTTAAGCTATTATGTACTTGGTCAATAGTTGGTGCAAAAACTCATGGGGACTCCCTCCTCGTGTTTGTGACTACAATCATCCTCCGACTATAGCAAAGAACAAAGTGTATATTGTAAAAGGCACAAATGTTTTCGATTCAATGCCGTGTCCACAGAGAGCTGATAATTTGGTGCTTCTCAGTGGACATTATCCTGTTTCCTACAAGTTGTGCAAGCGTTGGCGCATTGGTGTCACCAGCCTCCAACTTTCCAAGCGCGTTTCTTGAAGCTGTCACTGCTTCCAGAATGATGTCACGACTATGAAACGATAACGCGTGAACAAACATCGACCTTACAATTCTTACCATAATCATTTGATCGATATCCTTCACAAATAAAATAACATCATGGAGCACTACAAACCACACTCTGGCTCGACGTTCGAGGGTTACTACTCGAAATTCCGATTGCCATCCGGCGCACATCTGGCATTGATCATCTGCACAGTGCCACAAGCTAACGAGCGACCTCACAACATCACCTTCACCTATGTACCAGAAGAAGATGTGACTAAATGTTTTCAACGCGAGGTCTTTGTCGACGACCTCAAGATGTTCAATGGAGAGGGCGACATAGCGTTTGAGCAGCATTGGAAGGGAGGCTATGTCAAGGTTCACAACGATTCAACCACCGAGTATTGCATCGATCATCTTGAGGACGAGGGCTTCAGCTTCAAAGGAAAGACGACTAGTCGTACACCTTGGATGCCCGACATGGACACGCCAGAGGGTGCACTCGTCTACCTTCCTCTCCCTCTTCATTGGCACGTGCACTCGGTTGCTTCGGACTGCGAGTTCGAGATGAAGATCAACAACTACGACCTGCCTGAAGAAGACAAGAAGGGTGTCGCATCTGTTCACCAAGAAAAGAACTGGGCCAATAGCTTCCCTTCGGCTCACCACTGGGTCCAAGCCCGCGACGGCGACCGTGGTATCTGTATAGCTGGAGGTGAGATTCTTGGTATGGAAGCTTACCTTCTGGGCTACCACGCTAGCGACCCAAAGTACAACATGAACTTCCGCCCTCCCTTCGCAGTAAAAGCTGCTGGTATCGCTCCGTTCATGAGTGTCGAACACAGCTGGGATACACGCACTTTCGAGCTCAGTATTCAAAGCTTCACGCAGAAGATCGTGGTCTCAGCGAGAGCACCAATTGGCCAGTTCTTTACACTGAGCTCACCATTCCCAGATGGTCATCGTCTCAACTTCTTGGCTGAAAGTTTCCGTGCCACTATCAATGTCAAGGTGTACCACGCTGGTGTGCTGGGTCCTTGGGAGTTCGTCCACGAGGACACTTTTGAGAATGGCAGTCTTGAGTTCGGCGCTGGGTACTACCCTCCTGCGGGTAAGNNGGAGGAACGCTTTTACTAAGCTTTTGTTTTCCTAGTCATCGGTTCTCCTGTTTAGCGAGCATCTTGTCATGTCCTGGTGACCCATTTCAGATTGCATCTCATAATGAAGAACGCAAATTCATGCTTAATCAAGACTACACTGAACCAAGTGATGATAGATATGAGATTATGAACTTGGAGGCTTGTTCGTTTCATCAAAACCTCCGTGGTCATTGTTCATCGTGTCCGTCAAGTTAGCAATCAGGTCAGGGTGATACCCTTAGCTGCTATCTCGAACAGCGAAATGCATACTATACGATCACATCATGTTCCGGTCGCCTCCAAGAAGAATCAGTGCACTCTAATGACTCTAGTCTCCCATTCTTTGGCTCGAATCGTCCCAAAATGCTTGTTGTGTGTCGCTATGCAATTTTCCGTGTAGAATTTAAAGCATCCCAGCGAGCTGACAGCAAACCGTACTAAACCTACCCACTTATATTCGTGTATACAATTCTTGATATGGACAGGTTGCTAGCTTGACATATGACATCGAGACCAATTGTGGGTGTTTGAAAGAATATGTAGTCCTCCTACTAATGGCTCATAGTCAACATCGCAGGCAAGATGTCAAAGGATATTGGACAGGGTCACTATGAGACTTGAACGTTTCACTTTTGAGCCCCACACCCCACCACCCCACATGCCAAATGGGGGCAGTATAAGAGCGTCCAGCCTCCTGCACCAAGATGTTCTTGAAAGTATTAGAAGCTAATATGCCGGAACTCAAGCACAAGGAACTGGACGCTACGTTCGTTGGTGTAGATATTAAGTCTTGTTCACAATACCGAGGGATCAAATACGGAACCATAAACAAGAGATTCGAACAACCAACATTGAAGGCCAGATGGAATGGAGAAAGAGTTGATTGTCAGCAATGGGGACCAAGGTGTCCGCAAAACAAGTATGACATTGGTCACCTTCTTCGAGCTCCGGAAGGCGAAATGTTCTACGACGAGACCGAGGACGAATTTCAATGCTTGAATCTGGATATCACCGTACCTGTCGATACGCCAAGTGATGCACGACTGCCTGTTATGATCTGGATCCATGGTGGCTCTCAAATCGTCAGTTTCGGAAATGGCGCGAGCAAAGCTGGAGATACGACCAGGATTGTAGCAGAGTCAGCCCAACACTCGAAGCCCATGATTGTGGTATCTGTTCAATACCGATTGAACATGTTCCATGTTGGAGACGGCAACGGCAACAAGAACCTCGGTTTCAAAGATCAGCAACTAGCTATCCAGTGGGTCCATCAATATATTGCTGGATTTGGTGGCAATCCTGATGAGATGACGCTTGTTGGAGAGAGTGCCGGAGCTGTTTTTGTACATGGGTTGATTGTAGGTGGAGCTCCTGTCAAGCGTGGTGTTCTCATGTCTGGCTCTATACACATGTCACCACCACAGCCAGAAGTCCGAGCAAAGACTATGCTTATAGACCCAGTGCTCGCAAAACTAAAAGCAAAAGGATACAATTCTCTCGAGGAAGCTCCAGTACAAGCATTGTTAGAAGCACAAGCTGAGATACCGATACCGTCAGTGTTTCTCCAGGATGATAAATGCTTCGAAAACTGGCAAGAAAACACAGGCAATATTGAAGAGTTGGTGATCGGAGATTGCGAGTTTGAGTCGGTCCTCTGGCGTAATGGTGTCGAAGCAATGTCAGCAGAACAGATTGTGGACTGTTTTGACAAAGCTGGAACTTCCAGCAACCAGTTGAAGGAGCTTTATCACATCAACAAGTCGCGAGCACCGCAATGCAGACATGGTGCAATGGACTTCATGAATGACATACGTTTTGCATTACCAGTACCACTGGTTATGGACAGGTATACAAGAGGAGGCAAGAGGACATACAGGTACCTGTTCGACCAAGCAAATCCGTGGCAGGCTTCGTCTCGAGCACACCATGCAGTTGACTTGATCTACCTCTTCGGCGGATTCGACATGACAATGAACCCATCAGCAGAAGAGCTTGGCATAGAAATGAGGAGACGGTTCATTTGGTTCATCAATGGAGAAGCACCGTGGACGATACACAAAACCATGGCGTTTGGACCGTTGGGAGACACTAGAGAGGTTGATGATAGAGGGGTTGCAGCTCGCAGGCGCACACGACAGATGGAGGAGGTCAAGAAACTCGATGCTAGTGACGTGGCTGCGGTATTTGGCAGCCTTGCAGCTGGAAGAATCAGCCTGCACAACTAGAGGTGCTTGTAACGTTTATGGTCGAGCCAAGATAACTGCAGTACATCAGGCCATGAGAGGCCCCGCTCGTGCTGGTGTAGCGTGCGTCTGCCGAGATGCGGCTGTGTTTGGCCATAAGGTCGTTGATCCAGACAGACGCAACGAGGTCCAATTCAAAGTCCGAGTTGGTTTGCTACGACACAAAGCTTAGCAGAGATGTTGGTTTTTCTATGCGTTTTCGACCAACAACGTGACAGAATGGATCTCATCAGCCATGAGCGACTCTTGCTTCCACCATGTCCAACGACACCACAGATGCACGTAAGATGCACGTCAACGCACGTGAGTAACTTCTGAGACAGCCGGACCATTCTTTGGCAGTGGGGATGTTGTTGCTCCCCGTGTGCTAAAGACTCACGATCTTGCAGTTAACTCATTCTCCATCGCGAGTATAAGGGTAATTATACGCTATCGAGATGCACAGTTGCAATCTAAACGTGACTCTACCCATGGAGATAGCCTCCAATAGGGTGTCTCTGTGGAGACCATATTGATTGTGCATTCCTGCAGCTACGCTGTAACAGTCTTGGGAGTTGGATACTACAGCCTGCAACCCGATGAGCAACATGGCTAGTCAGCAACCGCCTAGGCGCAGAGAGATGCGGTACAAGGACAGCACAGTAACAAGATGAGGTCTTGTCCCTCGCTCCCATCCCCTGTCGCCCCGTCAGTCTTACTATATACAAACCTGGGCGGTTGTCATTGAAGTTGGCATTCTTCTGCTCATGAGCCCGGCCGCTACCGCAGTCTGCCCCTCACGAAAAATAGCCGCTTGTTCTTNCTCACCACTCGGCTCGGCTTGTCGCGCTCACCGAAGGTCTGTGCCAACCGCGACTAAGCTTGGGAAAAAGCGCAAACGCCTGCCTTGNNAAAGTTGCAAACCACTCTGACGGCCTGACGGTAGATTTTTTCCCACTTGCTTTCTGCGGCCCGCACAAAGTGACGGACGGAGCTCGCTGATTCTTCGCCTTCGACTGGAGTCTGGTTGTATTCTTCTCTCGCTTGCCAAAANGTCCTCTTCAGCTTGGATTTCCTGTCCCAATTTCGACCGAGCTCTTTTACGTGTGTGAAGCCAACACCTGCTGTGCCGCGTCGCATTTAGAGCCTGTCACCAACACCGCCAACCCAGACTCCCGACTGACGTCCTCTGTCAGCCTGCGCCTGTCCTTGCCCGAGCCTGAGTCGATTGTCCTGGTGTATATCGTGCGGGGAGGTCGGCCTTGAACCTTCCCGGACAAGTTGAGACTGCGCGACAGCTCTCAACTACTTTCTTTGGAACTGCCCAACTGGGCCTACGAGACAAGCTTAGAAGACGACGAGAGAAATCTCTGACACAGCCATGTCTTTTCATACGCACAAGCAGCCAAGGGCCGCTCTGCAGCAAAAGCATCCGGCACAGCGACGCCGTCCTCTAACTCAGTAGCCGAGGATGCTCATGGTCTATCAGTTGACTCGAAGATTGATGCTCATGCAGGAGGAGATACATCCAGCGTCACATCGGCCAACAACAACGACGATGGCTCGTCCACGCCGAACAGAGCCTCTTCTGAGTCAACCTGGGACACCAAGTCGCAGAACTCTGACCGTCCAGCTAAAGCAGATGGCACCGAGTCCAAGACTGAGGCAACCGAGGCCAAAGGAGAGACATCCAAGCAACAGAAACCCAAGCTCCGCGATGCCCCTCCACCGACCGTGAACATCTGGCAGCAAAGAGCATCGACCATGACTCACGCTAAGCCAACACCATCGGCCCACACTACCACCAACGGCAAGCAGGAGAGAAAGGCCGAGAAGGCGAAGAACACAGATGCNAAGAAGCCCGTCGCTGCTAGTACGAGAAATCGTGAGCAACGTCAGACCGCAGAGGTACCCAAATCCCGCGGAAATGCTTCAGCTCTTCCACCAACCAGCGATGTTGCCTGGCCTACCATGGAGACCGCTCGCGAGGAGGAACGCAAGAAGACACAAGTGCAAGAGGAAAAGGCGTCAAAGGACACCAGTAACGCACCGACTACCAAGAAGACCGAATGGGTTAACATGCCTTACGTGCCTACAGCTGTCNNTTTTGAGACGACTTTGCCCACCAGGGGAGCCCCTCGTCCTATTCGTGGAGGTGCGCGTGGTGGAAGCAGCCTGACTGGTCGTACTCCTTACCAAAATGGTCAAAACGGAGACAAGCCTGCGTCAAAATCTGCAGATGCCACCCAGGAACAGATTGCCGCTGCAAATGCCGAGGCAGACCGCGAATCTATGCCTCCTCCACCTAAACCTGTCAAAGTCGAAGAGTCCAAGGATACCTCGACCAACGGCGTGTCTCATGAAAGTCCTGCCATTAACGGCGCTCCCAAGCGTCATCCATCTGCTCGTCGCAACAAGTCTCCTCGCAAGTTTGAGACGACCGGCCGCCGTCCATCCGCTGCTTCGATCAACAATGACGCTCCCAACGGAACTCACCCCGAGGCTACAAAGATCGCCAATAAGGAGCGTACCTTCGATAACCCTACGCCGTTCCGCGAGACCAAGGGAGGCAAGCGCGGAAGGGGCGGTCACCGTGGCGGCCTTAGCAACGGGCACTTCTCTTCTCAAAACTACGCCAATGGCTTCCCTGGCGATTTCACTCCTGCAGCTCCTTCGTTCCCTCCTCGCGGCGGTCATTACCCCCAGCAGAGCCGTGGTGGCTTCCGTGGCGGTATGCGCTCGCAATCCATTCCTTTCGATTATGGCCGTGGCCAGTACCCTGGCTACCCCATGATGGCTCCTCAAGGCTTTATGCCTGATTATTATGGTGGCTACATGGCACCTGTCCCTGCTTATCAACCCGGTGCAGAGCAGATGTATCTTGTACCCGCAATCTCACAGCAAATTGAGTACTACTTCTCCTTGGATAACCTAGTCAAGGACACTTTCTTCCGCAAACACATGGACTCTCAGGGATTCGTCTTCCTGACCTTCGTTGCTGACTTCAATAGACTGAAGTCTTTGACCACAGACTATGAGCTTCTGAAGTATGTCTGCCTTCACTCACCGAACATCGAACTACGCACTGGTCAAGACGGAAAGGACCGTCTACGAAAAGCCGGCGATTGGGAGATGTGGGTTTTGCCCATGGCCGAGCGTGATGTTTCTGCCCAGAACGACGGCCCGGTATCATTCGAGCGCCCTCCTGTTCCACACATCGGAATGGTTGCACCTTTCTACCCTGGTGGCATGGAACAGTTTGCCGAGAACGCTGGTTTTGAGGAGTTCAGAGGCCGCCAAGCGAAGTCGCCTCACCGCGAGAATGGCTTGTCGCCACTGGGCAGCTATTTCATCCCTGCCGAGGACATGGGTGGTGAGCCAGACAACTTCCCCAACACACAGATTGACAACTTGACTGTTGTCGTCCGCAAGCATGAAGAACCTCCTCGTCGTGCTCCATACCACACTGCGGGATCTAGAACCTTTTCCGATGGATCTATTGATTCGAAGAACATCTATGAGGAAGTTCAAAAGACAAAGGCTCAGGAGAAGAAGCCTCAGACCAATGAGTCGGAGCAGCAGGCCGCTACCGATGGCGATGCAACAGCTGCAACTGATGGTCCTGCAGTAACACTGTTCTGGGTTAAGGATCAGAATTCGCCCGTCGATACCCTTCCCGAGGACACCACACATGAGATGTACAGCCACCTCCGCGGCAAGGCCCTATCGCAGCGTGAAGTTGCAGCCACAGGCACTTGCCCTTATGACATGGATGTTCTTTACCAGTTCTGGTCGCACTTCCTTATTCGCAACTTCAACTCGAGCATGTACGCCGAGTTCCGTCATCTTGCTTTCGCCGATGCTGCTCAGCGTCACAACTCTACCGGTATTGAAAACCTTATCAAGTACTATAGTGAGGCATTGGCCAGCCAGATTCCCATCCGCGAGCGCGTGGGACGTCACTTCATTGAGCTTCTCCAGACTGAGAAGGCTGGTGGTCAGCGTGTAGCTTTCAACCAGCTTCGTGAATCATGGAGAAGCACATCGTTTAACGTCAACAACCGCAAGAAGTTTAGCGACATGATCGATGCCGAACTCAAGGCCGAGCTTGAGGCATAATTTTTCTTTACACTTCAATTGTTATTGTTTTTCAAAAAGTCACATATGTTAGGGGTTATTGGGGCGTTAATTCAAGCATGGGACAAAAGCCGGCGATAGATTATCTTCCAGCATGGGTGGGCAAACAGGCGCATCTTTGTGCTTCACCAAAAGCAACGTTTAGCTGCAGGGATGGGTTGGGGAGATGGGTTGTTGATTTGCTTTCTTTGCACACGCCGACATGGTTAATTCTTCTCTGGTCATGTTTTTGCTTCTTTCCTTCTTGTTTTCTTCCTTTTCCCTCTTTTGATGCCCTTTCCATCTTTTCTTCTCTTTTTATCTGATCTCCTTTCTCAAGCTGCACTTCGCCCGGTTGCATTTGGGCAAGATTGCTGTTGGCAGGAATAGAAGGAGAATACGGGGCAGAAAAGCTATGTTCATGATATGTAAATACACACAAAACCACCGCTCCATTAGAAAGACTGAAGGTGCAGCACATGATGTGAAGACCACTAGGTATGCAGATTGCAATGGACCCTTGAGATGGACCAGATAAGATCAAGATGTCGCCGTTATCTCCCGCAGTCGCCACCCGCCTGCGCCACCTCTCCCGCGTTTTGGCGATGACTACTACTTAGGCACCCGCTTTCCATCCCACCTCTCTCTCCCATCCACAGGTCTGCTCGACGAATCACATTCATCATGCCGCCGCTGGCAGCCCACTGGCATAGCCTCTTGACGAGGCATGTCAAAACATGGAAAGCAGCCGCCAAACAAGTCCAGAAAATCATACAGAGCAAAGCAGCTCAGTCGGCACAACTCGAGCCTGTCTTGGTCCGCAGCTCCGCACGAAAGCCACTTCATCCTGCAGCTCGCATCAGACAGCACCAGAGCCGCTGGTTCAGTAGCTCTTCGCGTTCTACCTTCAAGGACACCGTTAGACGCTTCACCTCAATTGCCGAGCAATCGTCAGGACACCAGTACAAGCGTAGCGCTCTGCCCAAATCCAGCGTTGGCAATGCCGTCATCCGTCACTCTGGTCGCGCTCCTTTCGCCTCGACCCTGCGACCCAATCTTACTGGAGGTACTCTAGGACGTACATCTGGAGGATACTCACTTGGAGGAGGTCGTGTTGGAGGCCAGAGATACTTCTCCCACGGTCCCGCTAGCCAAGCACAAGTTGTTCAGAACGTTTCTCAGGCTGTTCGTGCCTTCTTCGTATCTGGAAACAAGGCTCAGTTCAACGGCGTCAATTCGCGCGGAGAGAAGTCATACAAGACCGTTACCGCCACCCAGGACGACACTGCTAAGAAGCTGCGCTCGCTGCCTAGACAGACCCCTGGCTCTTACATTTCTTTCCCCATCAACCCCACAATTACTGCATTGACCTCTCTCGATGCTGTCGCCGGCTACGCCGATGCTGAGCACGTAAACTCCGACGGTCTCCTTGACGGCCTGACTGTCGACTTCTCCCGCTCGCTCAAAGACCTGACTGCTGTCCTCAGCGACCTTAGCAAGCTCTCGAACCTTGGCGATCTGCCCATCACATATCAAGGTTCATCGTTACGCATCCATTTCCCTGGCTGCGATGCCGATACCGTTAACAGATTACGTGACGAGCTGCAAATCCAGCGAGGTGTCACTGTTCAAGACGAAGACTTTGATGACTTTGTTGGATCAGAGATCGCCTTGCTGTTCCCTTTCGCTCCAAGCACCCAGGAGTCCGAGAGTGGCAGCGAGTTCTACGAGTCACCGTCTGCAAGCCATAGTCGACCAATCGAATGGCAGACGATGATAACGCCTTCCGAGAGCAGTTGTGGTCGCGAACTGTCAATGAAGTCGGACACCTTATCAGAGTTAGACTTTGAATTCGACAGTCCGGCTATGGCCTCGGACTATGAGTCACTACATTACTCTAGCTCTGGTGAACGCTCAGATGCTCAAAGTCCTCTCGAGTACCAAAACTTCGAAGGGATCTACAGATTCATTGAGCAGTGCGACTCGCACCGACGCTGAAGGAGTGACTCCCTTCTTACTCACCTATCTCTCACCTCTCTCTCGGTTAAGATTGTTACGATACTATACCCTTGGCGTTGGTCTCATTGCTTTGTCCCTTTTCTCTTTTCTGTTCTTGGTTCCTCAGAGCGCACCTATATAGTGACCACTATCAAAGAGTCCACATCATATACCAACACCTCGTATTCACATTGCTGCCTGAATGAATTGGAGAGAAGGATCAGCCCTTGCAATCGGAAGACCCTTCCCGGCAAGGGTCTCGTGAGTAATCGCCTCGGGCCTTGTTCGGAAGGCCTGTCAAAAAAAGCTGTATATTAAAAATGCAATATATAAAGATCCGCTCCCGAGTGCTCCCCCCTCAGTGTCCTTCTCTCCAGGGATCACTGTAGGTGGCTGGGTCTCATTTTTTCTTTATCTCGCTTCTGCTAGATGATTTCTCAACACTCCATTTTTCTTTTGATAGCTTTTGCTCTTTGTGTCTCTCTGCATGAAGTAGGATCTTGCGGAATTGGGTCCTGCGTGCAGTGCCGCATTCTGCTCGGTCAAGTCCCGACGATGGTGGTACATGCGTCTGCGTATGCGTATGCGCATGTGGCATGTGTCGTAGATCTTTTTCTTCTGTATGAAAGACGCAATGGTCGGTGCAGGGGAAGCGCCTCGTACGTTTCGAGAAGGAAAGGGACCTTGTATGCATAGTAACTATGTCAAAGCACTAACAAGCTTGGTGACATGTGTAAAAAAAAAATAAACGTGAGTTCATGAGAAATCTATCTATGCTATGGAAAACAACAACTGCAAACGGTCAATCACTCTTCCCTACGAGGCGGCATTGGCCACTCGGCCGCCTCCTCATCGTAGATCTTGACGTGTTTGGTCATAAGAACTTCATCGTCAGGAAACCAGCTCTTGTTCCGCAGTGAGCCGACAGTGACTGGTCCAGAGAGTGTCACGTCGAGGGGCTTCGCCGCGGCGGAATTTGACCTTGTGCTTTCTAACGAATTTGATCGTTCAGCGATGGGATCCAGTTCGTACACTTGACCGGGTGGTGCGCTCTTCAAGTCGCCAACCACACTGGTGAAGTTGCCCATTTTGCTCGGCTTCTTGTCGTCGTCCATCTGTAGATACCCGCGCTCGGTGAATCTGGCGCCAGAATAGACTGCTTTTCGCTGTGATGATCCCTTGGAGTTGTGGCTGAGGGACTTGCTGCTGTTGCTTGTGTTTGTGGTACGGGCTTTCTCCATCATATTCTTGAATAGTGGTCGAAGTGTTGCCAGACATGCTGCAACCACACCCAATCCTGGTTCCGTCAGGGACAAAACACCAATATTTATCGCGTTCGTGAAGAATGCAGGACCGGTCTTCAACCCTGGGATATATGCGATGCGGATCAGAGAGATGACACTGCCAATCCCTCCGAGGCTGAGTAGAAGACCGGATGAAATTTTCGCAGACCGTGGTATTTTGGAGTTCCAGAGTACGAAGACTGGTAGACATGCGAATGTCCAATCGCTGAGGGCGTTGAGAGATGAGTGTATGTAGTTGAGCGGCTGGAGGATGTCGTCTTTGATACAGACTCCAACGGCTTCTTTGATCAAGAAGTTGGTCGGTATACCGCACTGAAAGACAGCAACGAAGGCAAAGGCGATGGCATAAACCGAGTAGACTATCGTAACAGCGTAGATGACCCTTCGTTGCCAAGTTCGGACAACGATTCTAAGGAAGAAGATGGCCAGGCTGATCTTCAATGTGACAGTAGTCAAGATATACAGGCCCATCAGAGAAATGATATANNCTACAACTTTGATTAGCTGGAGCGAGAGGTAGCAGCAAGTGATGCAAACCTTCATGAGATCATTGAATAGCTCCAGTTGAGACTGTATGCCTTCTTGCAGTGCTCGTTGCGGTCTGCTGCTTTGTTCAATTTGTTCGATGGCTATCAGCAGACCGCAACATATTGTAGATAAGCAAACTGTAATGAGCATCATCCAGTCGTCTTTCCCGAAAGAGCGTATCAAAACCGCTCGCACGTAAACCCGAAGTGCGAACGAGATCCATGAAACGACAAGAAAGAAGACGCCCATGACCAGCATGACGACTGTGCGAGGCCCGAGTGCAGCCACTCTATGTGCAGATTCTTCTATGACATCCATGTCGAGAGCGTTGCCAGAGAAAAATTGGGCCAAGGAAAGATCAAAGGCGAGGATGTTGTTTGCGTCGAGGCACCTCAAGCATAAAAGAGAGCCCAAAGCATTGAAGGCAAGAGGAGATGGAAATCATTGCAAGTTGACTCGTAACTTACCTGAGTAGATGAATTGACTGATTTGATGTCTTTTTGGCCACGGGAGGAATTATCCTAACCAACTAGCCTCTAAACCCGGACGCATGGTGGGAAGGATGCGTGGCTGAACGGGCTGATGGTTTCCGATTCGACCTTGAGCCTTCTGCGAACTCGCTTATTGGAGTACGCCGCTGGCAAAGCCTCAATTGTGCAGTAACTCAAGTTCCTTCTCGAGTGACATGCAGGAACCATTTGTCGATGCAACAGCCTACAGGCGAATAGTGCAATCAAACGAGCAGATCTGGCCACTGGCGTCGAGTGGAGCTGCGTGGAGCTGGTTGAGCGACCTGCAGACCGTGGTACTGTAGATACTCGCGTGAGAATCGATGCACGTCCGACACAAAGCCGATTGACAGGTATGGGTTTTAATATACGTGAACCATACGCTTGGGCCCGTAGGATTTCACAATCGTGTTTCACTCGGCTCGAGGTGACTTGAATTCCGAAGGCGGCAGTCCTAAGAGAGCAAGCTGCGTGTTACAGAACATGTCCACTTCGAGGTTAGTTAAGGCGAAGGTTACATAGAGGACTGAGGTTGATCGCTGACGGAAAGATAGCTGAAACTTCTGCTGGCGGAAGGCAAGCACGACGAGGTCGGCATTTCCTTCGATGAGACACTCAGTGAGTCGCCTGACAAACGTGATTGTAGTATAGCATCCTGCCGATATGATCCGAATGAGGCACTTTTATAATCAGCTGGAAGGGATCCATCAATATTGACGACCTTGGGTGGCCAGGCCCTTTCAATATACTACACGAAAAGCTCAATATGCTCGCTGCAACCTGTGTAGCTTTTAGCCCATGATTGAGATATGGAGGCACTACGGAACCGGCCGCCTGCGAATGTGTCTGCATTTGTAATTGAAAGCAGAGCATGAGGCCTTGATAGACATGGTCGGGAACAGGGATCAGTTTGCTAAGTCCTCAAACACGTGGGATGGTAAGCATCTGAAGAACATGCTTGCGCAATTCGGACCCACGTTTCGTCTGAGCTGGTCTCCACTGCAAGATGACGAAAAGATCGAGCGCTAGGAAGACGAGGCTCAGAGACGATAACCCTCGCTATGGGAGACAGACAGCATTTCGCGTCTGGCTCGATATCAGAGTTAAATAGAGTCACGTGGGGTCGTGTGGCCAGCACATGTCAAACACGTTCGCTCCTGCCTTCGATTGTGGCGAACTTCCCCACGATAGAAAGGCTACAGTCGCGCTAGTCGCGTCCGCCTTCGAACATGACTTGACGATAAATTGTTCGCCTCCTCTTCGTCTCTTGTACTTTGACAATCGCATTCGCAACACGCATAGCAACTAAGCTAAGACCTCGCCACAATGAGTGCTGAAGGACAAGAACTCGCATCCCAGTCAGGCTACGAAGATGGCGCCGCCGGTGGTCCTGGTGCACCCACGCCACTCTCTGCTCTAGAGGTAAGATGTCGTTGTGAGCTCCTTTCACCGTCACAAGCTAACTGATCAAGNGGAATGGCGGGTCTGACCAAGAGAGACATCCAACTGTTCGTCGAAGGCGGATTCCACACCGTCGAGTCAGTGGCGTACACTCCCAAGATGGTGCTTGAGCGCATCAAGGGTGTGTCTGAGCAGAAGGCAACCAAGGTCCTTGTAGAGGGTAACATCGATTCTAATTCCGATCGTCTGAGTATGAGNCTGACACGGTTTCCAGCTGCCAAACTTGTGCCCATGGGCTTCACGACTGCCACCGAGATGCACGCACGCCGCAGCGAACTCATTTCTATTACGACTGGTTCCAAGCAGCTTGATACCCTACTCGCAGGAGGAATTGAAACAGGATCTATCACAGAAGTCTTCGGCGAATTCAGAACGGGAAAGAGTCAGTTGTGTCACACGTTGGCGGTAACCTGCCAACTACCATTCGATATGGGTGGTGGTGAAGGCAAGTGTCTTTACATCGACACCGAGGGTACCTTCAGACCTGTCCGTCTGCTTGCAGTGGCGCAAAGATATGGTCTCTCAGGAGAAGAGGTGCTCGACAATGTCGCATACGCACGTGCATACAACTCGGAGCATCAACTCGATTTGCTCAATCAAGCGGCACAAATGATGACAGAAACACGCTTCTCGCTTTTGATTGTCGATTCAGCAACGGCACTATACCGCACAGATTTCTCTGGACGTGGTGAGCTTTCGTCGAGACAAACGCATCTGGCAAAATTCATGCGCACATTGCAACGCTTAGCAGACGAGTTCGGCATTGCAGTACTCATCACCAACCAGGTGGTCGCACAGGTAGATGGCGGACCGAGCGCCATGTTTAACCCAGACCCGAAGAAACCCATTGGTGGTAACATTATCGCACACGCCAGTACAACACGTCTCAGTCTGAAGAAGGGTCGTGGAGAGACCAGAATATGCAAGATCTACGATAGTCCCTGCTTGCCCGAGAGCGATGCCATGTTCGCCATCAAGGAGGACGGTATCGGCGACCCCAGCCCCAAGGACCTCGACAACAACTAAACGACGGAGAGGACAGAGTGTACATGAGGGAACGATATTGCTTTTGAGCTTGCTTTTGTTTTTAAGATACCAGGAGGCTGGGGATGTTTTTGGCTTGGCGTTGGCAGGACGAGCATGGCGACATGACAAGACGAAGACAGGAGTGGCTCGGAGTCACAGAGAAAATGTAATGCTACAATGTTTCTGACTAGACGAGACTGTTCATGTGTGTGTTGCAAGTGAAGGATTGTGATGAATCAGTCAGTGAGCGAGTGAAAGTTGCATGGCTTGCATGGACTTGGATGACAGCAAAAGCTGGGGCAGCTCCAAAGTTTGGAAGTTTGGCCTTCTTCAGCAGTCGCAGCTCAGCGCCATCACAGCAAACGCGCATCAACAATCCATAGCGCGAAGTTCTCAACTCGACCATCAGCCCAAGCAGGTCGATGTTACATGGAGATACAATGGCGTTGACTGTGACAGCTCCACTGGCGCCATGTCTATACACCGAGGCGCGTCTGAACATCGAGCCGACTTACGCCAATTCCACCCTACACATCCCCACTGAAGGACAATCCTCCTTCTTCTCGCGCAAACGCTCAAGAAGCAATGATACCCTGGCTGATGCCGACGAAGAGTCGTACGCGAAACGACACCTTGCTACCGAGTCGTCCATCTTCTTTCGTCGCCAGAACAGAAACCCGCGATGCTTCCTCTGGCGCGTGCTCGAAGAAGGAAAACTGCTACACATTCAGAGTGTCGATCTGATCCAGGCCCGCAGAAACACCCAAGAGAGCGTTATAACCTTCGCCTTGAGCTTCGCCAACCCCATCCGACCCAATGGTGTCGCCTTTGCCGATGCTGTCGAGCGCGACGCCCTCGAAGTCTTCGTCCTGACCACTTCCAACGAACTTTTTACCTTTACTCTACGCAAAGACCTTCTCCTACGTGGCTCACTACCCTCGGCTGCCGACTTCGATCCCAACAGTTGCTTCAAAGTACATCAGTCACCTTCGTTCAGCTTCCGATCTCCCTACAAGCTCGTCGCTCTTAGTTCGATGGACTTGCTTGTTTCTCTCAGCGACGGTGGCTTGTTACGTCTTTCAAGAAGCGTTGGTCAGGGCTCTGGATCATGGCATGAAACTTCGTTCAGCGAACCTGGCTGGGGGTCATCCTTCAAAACTTTCTTCTCCATGAGAGGCCACAACACGATCAAATTCAACGGCATGGACCTTGAGCCCTCTACCGCTGCTGCAATCGCCTTGTCGCCAGACACAACACATGTCTTTACCGTATGCCTCGATCACACTTTGAAGGCCTGGAATACCCAGACCGGGAAATTGGGAGTGCAAACAGATCTCCTGAATGAGAACGACAAGGAATTACAGTCTGGCTCGCCTCAGTTCTTGATGAGTCCTGCTCAAGGAACGCTCCTTAGACTTCTCCAAGTCGATGGAAGTCCCGATGGCGACATGTACTACGCTGTCACGAACTCACCAAAAGACCATCAATTCAAGTTCTGGGCAGTCATGGATCCCGACGATGTCGAATTGGGTATCCGCGACGTTCAACCAGACACCAAATTGATCCCCCCTCTTGACGAACTGATGAACACAAACGCTTGGCAACTTGTCGAATATCACGTCCGTCCTTCGAAAGGCTGGCGCAACACTCAGCTTTGGATCAGAGTCAGATCNGGGGCTATCTGCAAGATCTTCACTTTGACCTTCGATCTGCTTGCCGGACCTGAGGATCTCGAGGATGCATGGCGCAACAATTGGGCCTTTGTCGACGATGGATCCCTTACCATCGAGGCTTTGATGGCTGACCCCTCGTACCCAGGAGATGCCGATATCCAACTTTTGGTAGAAGACTGTTCCAGTCTAAGCGACCGTTGGCTTGACTTTTTCTTCTATCCCGGCAGATTTAGTGTGCCTATGTTGGAAAGCGCATTGCACATCTATAAGAAGGGCTTGAAACTCTCGACTGAATCATCTCGATCGACCAAGGAAAGCCCGCTTAAAGGAAGAATATGCGATGCCATCGCTGCCAAGATCACTGTTGACCAGGATGCTGAAGGCCAGCTAGATTTTGACAAGTACCAGTCCGAAATTGCTGCACAATGGCATGTGTTCTTTGGTCTCGTGCGACATCTCCATACTAGACGTGGCGATTCTCTCTCTTTGGCATTCGACATGGACACCGACCTTGCCTGGTCAGTCAGAGCGGATCAAGTCGGCCCTGTGAGACAATGTAGCGAAGCTGAGGTTATGAACCTCAACAAAGATGTCTTCCTTACTCAAGAAGACTCTTTCATTGTCAACTCTATGCCCCTTGCCGATCATCTGACCGATGAGAACAGCGTGCACATTGGTCGTCTTCTTGCAGGTGCGAGAACGTTCAGGAGNGGGCTATCTTCTGACTTCCAGGCACTCTTCGTGACTGCAAGTGCTGCGGATGCTCTTAGAATCGGTATCAATGATACGACCCCCAATGGCACCCAAGACAAGCACCTCGAGGACTTGCGGCAACTCTACGAAATATGCGCTCTTCATACAGAGGTCTCAGACGAAGATTTCAACCAGTTAACAGACTCGATGCAAGATCTTGGGGGTCTTGGTGATCTGGATAATGAGCTCTTCTACGCTGCTCTCGAACGCCTTATTGAACCTGAACAGGGTGCTGATGGAGACCAGGCGCTCACTCGTTACGGAGACAAAGCAACGATTCGTGGCGCACAGGACACTCTTACCATGACAAGGGACATCATTCTCGACCTTCTAGCCTTAGTGGTCTTCATGGCTGGCGATCTCGAGGAGGATGAACTTTCGCCTGAGTTCAGACCCTCAGAATTATACGAGCAGCTGGTAGTGAAGCTCAAAGAGCACAACGTCCTGCTTTGGCTTGCTAGCAATGTCCGAGAGGAGCCGTCAAAGAAGGCCAAGGACGCCGCCGACAGTCCCGTATCTAAGAACAACAAATCTCTGTCTCATCCTACTCTGACAGTGCTTGAAAGCATCTTCATCGGAGACTGGCACAGCTTGCGATTCCCAGCTTCAGAAGCTCTTCCGTTCCTCATCACCTACTGGTGCCGTGCGTGGACATATGGGGCTAATATTTCCAATGCCTACAACGATGTCGTCTTGTATGTTTTGGGCAACCTCCTAAAGCATCAGGACTACGATCTAGCTGCAGATTTCCTCAGATTCGTGTCCGAGGGACCCTGGGCCTCCTATCTCCGAGGCAGACTCAATCTTGCAGTTGGAAAATATGCCCTGGCCGCCGAGTATTTCAAGCAAGCAGCCGAGAAGCTTGCTGAGAAGAACCTCAAGATCGACGGACTGGATACATCAAACCTGATTGATCCCCAAGCCCGTAACTTTTTCAACGATGGGTTGCCCCGTTACTATTTGCACATTTCATACCTGTTTGAGCGCAGTCGACTGCACGCATACACGGCCGACTTTGCTTCCCTCGCTGCTCAGGAATTCGCAGTAAATTTCGAGAACTTCGACGATAATTCATTGATCGATCTCGACACGCGCAAGCAGGGAATGCACAGTAGTCCGGCAGCTACAAAGGTCAACTTGGCGATGGAAGAGATCAAGCTGTTGCGCGTGCGCGAGCTGAAGGAAGACATTCTGACACGCGTGTTCAATGCTTCATTGCAGATTTGTCGGTACAAGCCTGCCTTTGATGCTTTGCTTGTGTTCGGCAACCCTGTGCTACGCAAGACGTCACTTCAGGCTTTGCTACAGTCGCTCATTGCGACCAACAGAATGAGCACCCTTCTTTCTCTGCCGTTCCCAGAGTACCTCCTTCCCGAGGTTGACGATATACTGCTGTCATTGGCACGCAAGCATCTGTCCTTCTCACCGACACCCACACCTGGGCAACCTCAATACCATCAAGTCATGTACACATGGCGTATTCACAACAACGATTTCCGTGGAGCTGCCGAGATACTGTTTGAGCGTCTGCAGCGCCTCAGACACAGCACGGCCAAGGTATTTGAGCCCGACGACGAGACATTGGTCGAGGCGTACTTGGTCCTGATCAACACGCTCGCATGCTGCGGCAAGGACGAGGGTTGGATTCTTGCAGAAAGGTTCGAGGAGGATTACCAGCGTGGCAAGAGCGTGTCAGCCAGTCACGGCAAGAAGCGCAGAATTGTCACGCTGGAAGATGTGCGCAAGGAGTATCAAGCAGAGCTGGACCGCAGAAGCGAGATGCAGCAAGGCAGATTCGCGCTGACCACAAGTGATGAGATGGATATGTTCTGAGGGTGGTGATGTCTAGTGGTACTTTATATCAATCAGCCTTCAGGGCAACAACAAGATCATAGGATTTGGGGATGACAAAAGAGAAATGGGTAGGAAATTGGGCATAGCGCAGGCGTTCAGGCGTATAATAGATGTAAAGATAGTCAATTGCCAATACTGAGGGAAGACCTCTTTGTCAGGTCAATCGCTGCCGACGTTTCTGTTCTTTCAGGTTTCAAGTGAATATAGTGCAGGTCAATAAGATCAAAAGTGAGCAGGTATTCAGGGGTATGGGAGCTAGAAGGAGGAGGGACGAGTATGACGAAGTCGAGGTAGGGCTGTGCCGAGACGGCCGAGGGTGAGATTGGCGGAGGTAACATCACCGGGCAACAACGACAGGCATTGAGTTGTCTAGAACGCAACCAGACGACAACATGTCCAAGTCGACCTTCTGTCTCGTGTCGCTACCGACATCCATCTCGCCGTCAAATGACAGCGACGAAGCGCTGACGGCCCTGAGAGCCGTCGTCTCGACCGACAACGGCACGACGTATCCGTTCAGCATCCCATCCTTCAAGATTGGCACTCTGGACGCCCTGGTGCAGCAGGCCGACGACCTGCAGAAGCTGGAGCAAGGATGCAAAGGTGTCGTCGAGAAGGTGGCCGACTCGTTGAAGAACATTCTCGAGGGCGACGAGGACAAGATCGCCGACCAGAAGAACGTCAACGACAAGCCCGTCGACCACTACCTGCAGAGCTTCCAATGGAACAAGGTCAAATACCGCGCCGAGAAGCCCATCTCGGAGCTGGTTGACATGCTCCAGAAGGTTAGTCTCCTGTGCTTCTACTCAAGTCGTCGCATTGGCTAACAAGAACACCANAAGGACATTGCTAGCATAGACAACGACGTCAAGTCCAAGTTCAACCAGTACAACTCTACAAAGACCTCTTTGGCTTCGGCCTTGCGATCACGCACCGGTAACCTGTCGCAAAAGTCGCTGTCCTCTGTCGTCAACCCCAACAACCTCCTCGCACCAGACGCCTCGGAATACCTGCAACAACACCTGATTGCCGTGCCCAAGAACCACGTCAAGGACTATCTTCAGAGCTACGAGTCTTTGTGCCCCATGGTCGTGCCCCGTTCATCGCAAGAGCTGGCCAAGGATGACGAGTTCAGCTTGTTCGCCGTTACCGTCTTCAAGAAACACAGCGCAGAGTTCATTCACAAGGTTCGCGAAAGGCGCTGGACGCCCCGTGAGTGGAAGTTCACCGAAGGTGGGCGTGAGGCCGAGGAGCGTGAGCAGAAGAAGCTTGAAACCGACGAGCGCCGTGTTTGGGGTGAGGCTCTCCGTCTTGGTCGCACTGGCTACAGTGATGCTGTCATGGCTTGGATCCACGTTCTTGCCCTGCGTGTCTTTGTTGAGACGGTCTTGCGTTACGGTCTTCCTTTGAGCTTCGTTTGTGGTCTTGTCAAGGTAAGGAGTTTGAACATCACGCTAAGCTATGCACAAATGCTGACACGANNATTACAGACGGACAAGAAGGTTGTCGAGAAGGTCAAGAAGAACCTCGACGGTGCCTACTCACACCTTGGTGGAAACGCCTTCGGTCGCGACAAGAAGGGCAGAGTGACCAAGGATGATGCTCAAACGGCCAACGAACTGCAAGCAACTGGCCACGCTGGTGGTGAGGACTACAACGCATATGTCTACTACCAGTTCGAGATTGCATGATTGCAAAGCATATTGAACAATCCTCCTTCCTTGCCTTAGTCTTTTGGCCAGCGTTTCCTTGTTTCCTGTCCTTTGTTTTCCTGTCCATAGACACTCTATACCCAGCCAAATCTTGCAGGTTGTCCATATACAAGAGAAAAAACATGATGCAGTTCGTATACTTTTCTAGTAAGGGTCCGTTACATGAGACGTTATATACAGTTAAAAATGCAAAGGGGTATCACACAGAAACCATTTAACCCTGCTTAAGAAGACCTCTCTCCTCGAGGTACTTGGTGATGATGACGACAGCCTCCTCGACGCTGGTGTTTGCCGAGTCAATGTGGATCTCGGGCTTCTCGGGGGCCTCGTAGGGAGCGCTGATGCCAGTGAAGTCCTTGATGACGCCGGCGCGAGCCTTCTTGTAGAGACCCTTGGGGTCACGCTTCTCGGCCTCCTCGACGGAAATGTCAACGTAGACCTCGATGAAGGGGAGAGGGGTGTCGGTGTTGTTGGCTTGCTCGTGGAGTTCACGGGCAGTCTGGCGATCGGCCTTGTAGGGGGAGATGAAGGAAGTCAGGGCGAGGCAGGATGAGTCGGCGAAGAGCTTGGCGACNNCTGTTGCATAGCATGATTAGCATTGCGGCCTCGATTCGAGCAATCAGGAGTATCCACGTACCTCTGCAATACGGCGGATGTTCTCGTTGCGGCTCTTCTCGTCGAAGCCAAGGTCCTTGTTGAGACCGAAGCGGACGTTGTCACCGTCAAGACGGTAGGCAGCAAGTCCCTGCTGGAGAAGGTGCTGCTCGAGAGCAGTGGCAATGGTCGACTTGCCCGAGGCAGAGAGACCGGTGAACCAGATGGTAGCACCCTGCTGCTTGCGGAGCTCGCTACGCTCCTTGCGGGTAAGACCAGCGTGCCAGGTGATGTTGCTGTTGTCAATTCATGTCAGCAATTGACTACATGGGAGACATTGATTAAAAGTCCAAACTCACGTAGACATTTTTGAGGATATGAGAATGTGGTATAGAGGTACTGAAGAGGGAAAAAGATGGTTGCTCTATGCAAGATTCGGAGGGGCAGTTCTGGCGTCCATCGCCGATTGCGTAGGTCCTCCCCACCGACACCGCCAGCACGTCAACACAACCAAGCCACAGCAAGAAGGAAGAGCCGCTTCGTTGACCTGACTTCTGAGGTTGCGGGTCGGTCCGAGTTGACGCTAGCCTGCCCCTCGGGGTTGTCGTCGGCGGTGGTCGGGCACGTCGGGGAAGCTCCTTCCTATGCGGGCGCGCTTACACGAACACATGTGGTGGTCGTTCCTTCCAAGAGCCTCAATTCTTATCGATACTTGTCAAACTCTGCCTCTGTTGACTCAATTCGTTTCCTTCTATAGACAAAGAGCACACTTGTACTTCTGCTCAAGTGCTGTCAATCACATTCACGTCTCCCACCTCTTTCTCCAGTACTGGTTGCACCACCAAACATGTCTGCCATTCGCTCCTCGATTAGAGTCGCAACTCCTTTGCTGCGTGCTTGTAGACCCAATGCTATCTACCAAGGGTCCACAGGAACTTGTGTATCAACTGCAAGACTGCAAAGACTACCTATCAGACTTTCCCGAATCACACCAGCGGCAGTACGATGCTATGCCTCATCCACCGACCAAGCCAACTCCAAGACCGGTCTCTATGACCTTCATGTGGCCAAAGGGGCAAAAATGGTTCCCTTTGGAGGATACATGATGCCTGTTCAGTACAGTGACCTAGGCGTTGGCGAATCTCACAAGTGGACCAGAGAAAAGGCCAGTCTGTTCGACGTCAGCCATATGTAAGTTTTGATCTTCCTGCAATATTTCCTCAGTTCGTGTCAAGTCGACCAACGCGATATCTCTACCTCCAGGGTACAATATCACTTTACTGGGCCTGGAGCAACTGCTTTCCTGGAGAAGATCACACCTGCTGATCTGCAAGCGCTACCACCTCATCAATCCACACTCTCAGCATTACTGCACCCCGAGACTGGCGGCATTGTAGACGATACCATTATCACTCGTCTGGACGAAAACAAGTTCTACGTCGTCACCAATGCTGGGTGCAGAGAAAAGGACGCCGCTTTCTTTACCGCAAACCTGGACGCCTGGAACAATGCAAACCAGCCCCGCGTAGACAAGATCGAGTTGAAGGATCAAGGCCTTGTGGCTCTGCAAGGACCTCTGTCAGCCGATATCCTGCAAGGTGTACTCGCTCCCTCCTCCGACGATGTTGACCTCAAGTCGCTTTACTTCGGCAGTTCCAAATATCTGACCCTTAGATTCGCATCAGGCAAAACTTCAAAGCCTGTTCTGGCCTCTCGTGGTGGCTACACTGGTGAAGACGGCTTTGAGATCTCCATCGCACCCGAAGATACTGTCGCCGTAACAGAGCTCCTTCTCACTGCTGCCGGACCCGACAAGTTGCGTCTTGCTGGTCTGGGTGCTAGAGACTCGCTAAGACTGGAAGCAGGCATGTGTCTGTATGGCCACGATCTCGATGACAGCACAACACCCGTAGAAGGCGCTCTTGGCTGGATCGTTGGTAAATCGCGTCGCTCGCCTCCTCGTAACGACTTCAATGGCGCTGAGGTTATTCTGCCACAACTGATACCCGTAAGCAAGGGTGGAAAGGGTGTTACCCGTCGTCGTGTAGGACTACTTGTCGAAGGCGCTCCCGCGCGCGAGGGTGCACAAATTGTGGACGCTGACGGTCAAGCCATCGGTGTCGTTACCAGCGGCTGTCCTTCACCTACGTTGAAGAAGAACATCGCTATGGGATACGTCAAGGACGGCCAACACAAATCCGGCACCGAGCTTGGAGTCGTAGTCAGGGGCAAGACGAGAAAGGCCACAGTGACAAAGATGCCTTTCGTACCCAGCAAATACTGGAAAGGAGGTATCTCTCCAGCTTAGAGATATTCTAATCGCATGTACAGTATTCGGACCAAGCTTCCCGAGGTCTGCTGACCATTCATGCTCAAATCCGCACTCCCTTGCCGCTGCCCACCTCTCTTGCCTCAACCTTTATATATTAGATTATTTGTGTCCTCTTTGACCATGGTGGTGCAGTGGTCAGCACACCCGATCCGGTAACCTAAGTTCCTATTACCGCTTACCTAAGCCCCTAAACTCGCCTACCTAAGTTCCTAAAACTCTCTCTCGAGGATCGGGAGGTCGCAGGTTCGATTCCTGTCCATGGTGTTCATTTTGCTTGCCCTTCTTTCTTTTGCTTCTGTCGTCGCTGTAATATACGTCTGATCTCCCCATCTCATTTCGTCGGATATATATAGAAGTCTCTTCCTCGCGTCTCGCGCGTCAAGCAAGACTGGAAGAATGCAGTCTGCAATTTCAACAGAGGTTCAAGACTTCCAATCTCGTTAGGGAAGAGGAAAAGGCAAAAACCCGGGTTCAGATAACGAAACCAATGTGATGCTCCTTCCCTTTCTCCCAGACACCCTTTTGTTTTATCTGCTCTGCAGCATATTACAGTCTTCTCGATTCTAGAATCATCTACTAGAATAGTCAAAAACATACTGCACACAAGCGAGCAATAGGAGGCACAAAAGGAGAGACAGAACCACAGCGTGACGAACTCAAAGAAGAGGAGAAACTTACAGCCGAACGTTACATGATCTTGCGACGTTTCCATTGTTGTTCTATCTGCTTAACGGCCCCTTGCAGTTTCCGATTGTAGAGGGAGAGAAACATTTTATTGATTCGGGTAACAAAGCCTTTCAACAGGGGAGCATCAACCGGATCTTGGGTATGATTTGTACCAAGCACTGTATCTAGAAAGCAAAGCAAAGAAAAGAGAGAAAAAGGTCCACCAGCGCCACGCTATACCCTGCAGAGAAGCAAAAGCAACAGGAAAAGGACAAAAGGTCGACTAAAGCGATTTAAAAAGCATAGTGGGGTTCAAAACATCGAAACTTTCGACAGAGAAGATAAAGGAAAGGAACGAGGAGGTAGAAGTGAGTTGGCTAATATAAGCCACAACTCAAGCACTCTGTGGCAATAGCAGAGNGGCAATGAACCTCAGATCCCAGTCTCTGGGATCGGACCCGAGTTCAGATAGAGGTCTGTCCTTGGCCCTGAGCAGGTCGTAGGCTGAGACGTTGGTACGCTCGATCCAGGCTGCTGCAAGCTGCAACTGTGATTCAGCAGCAGGACCCTGGGTCTCGGAGCTATAAGCCTTGTTGTGGGTACTTGGAATAACGACCAGACTACCAGTGTGACGGACCAGAGTCGCAGGAGGAAGACCGCGCATGCGAAGGAGTAGGTGCACGAGGTTACTAAACGAATTGCCTTGCGGCCAGTAGTGGCCGGGTGCTTCTTCCAGAAGCCAGTCGACTGGACGATCTGGGTTCTCACCTGGCGAAGCAACTGGCTGCTGAGAAGCTTCGACATTGTTGTCGTTAGCTGTGGTGAGCTGAGCATGTATATCATCGTTTGATGAGGGTCCGGCGGGATCGAATGATCTGTATAGTCCAGTCATGCGCTCGACGCAATTGAGCAGGATGACGGCGGCAAGAAACGTGAGGAAGGACGAAGACTGTTGACGTTGCAGAAGGCGGCGTTCAAGCTCGTTCATGACAAACTTGGCTTGCTTCTGACAGTACCTCTCGGCAGCATGCTGCAGCTGCGCGTAGATGACTGCATAGTCGGTTGTGTCCTGCGAGAAGCCCTTACGATCTGAGTGGCTCTTGTCTTGAGAAGCAGAAGATGCCTGCTCGGCATGGTCGCCTTGGACGGCTTCCATGACTGGCGGATGATTCGGTTCGTAGAAGATGGACCAGATAGGCTCGTTGGAGATGAGGATGTTTGTGGCAGCCCAGAGATTGATGAGCTTTCCCAGAAGAACATCATTGTGATCAACGCTCAGCTCAGTAGCGACCTCGAGAGTGGAGCGCATAAAGGTCGATGGCTCGTGTGAGATGCATTGCATGATGACCATATGCAGATAGCGCTCCAGGGTAGCTGCCAGCGTGTCGGGATCACGTCTGTAGTTGAGCATAAAGATGAGCGAGGGAGCTGTAGGAGGCGTCATAAGAGCAGGGAAGGTAGCATAGATGTTTGTATCAGGGAACAGGGTAACCTCGATTCTCCCAGGTAATTGCATAGGATCGACACCCTGCAGCGCAGTGAAGACGGTGTGGTGTTCCTTTGCTTGGAAGAGAGAGGACGAGTAAAGCGTGAACTCTTCGGCGATGCGAGAACGAATACAGGCGTTCTTCCACAATCTTGCGCTCTCGATGTTCTGGCAGGTGCCACATGGAGTGCCTTCAGAACAGGGCTTCTTCAACATACGGCAGCGGAGGCATGCACCCTTCTTGCGCACAGTCTGAACCTCTTTGCGTCTCTCCTCGGTAAATCTGCCACGCACTTTGTTCTTGTTGGCGCGTTGCAGCAAACCAAAACCGCCTTGGTTGACGGTAAATGCTGGTGATTCACCGTGGCTTGGAGAGACACCCTCTTGTGCTTCTTGGGGAGGTGCCTGGGAGGACTGTTGCGATACATGCGAAGGCTGATCGGCAGGCTGTGCTGCGTGTTGTGGGGGTTGCTGGCCTAGATAATGTGCTGATTGTTGGACAGTCTGCTGCTGTGGTTGTTGTACTTGATGGTGTAGCTGCTGTGGTTGTTGAGATTGCTGACGCTGCTGGTACTGCTGGGATTGGGGTTGAGGCGACTGATGAGCAGAGGAATCGTCGAGAGAGTTGTTGACGAAGGACGAATAGTCGTCATGCTGTTGGAGTTGTGGATCGACTGGTGGATGTGGAGGTTGGCGCTGTGCTGCAACATCTGACTCGGCTCTACGCTTTCTAGACTTGGTGGGCATGTGATGGACCATGTCGGTAGCTGCATTGGCCGTGTGCATCAAGGGACCATTGTCCTTGTTCTCTTGGTCCATGTGCTGTCGCAGTTGGGCTACCAGGGCCTCTTCATGTTGACCATTGGCCTGGAGCTGGCGAGAGACTTCGGCAAGGGCGTCCAGACCCGAAGGTTCGCGACGTGGTATTAGGGGAAGGTCTGCATCAGAGTGGGGAGTCGAGTTGTTCGAGGTCATGTAATTGTCGGCGGGCTGCCACAAAGCGCGGGAACGGTCCTCGTCGGTGATGTTGGGACATTTCTCGAACAAGTGGCGTGTCAGACTGTCGGGTCTGCCCTTTGGAAACTGNNCTTCTTGGTCAACAAAGGCATATAGCGGTAAACAAGAAAGCATCCTCACCACCTGGCCGCATCTTTTGCAGCTGTGTTCATATCTGTTGCTCTGGTCGGCCAACTTGGCGCCTCTCTCGAAAAACTCGAGGATCAGCGCGTTTGGCTTGCGTCCCATGTCTGCGACTGCGACCGGGACCGTCACTCCTCCAGGGAGACGGCGGTTCGTCTTATGGAATTTGTTGTCGACGGCCTATCCAGATGACGCGCTACCACAAAGGCGGTCAATGAAGGCGGTGAGTCTACAAGTCAGTCCAAGGCACACCCAGATGGCAACCGAAGCACCAGTTATTCTTGTGATGGTAACATCCCGCGACGGACCCTCCAGCTGAAGGCAACGTGGATGCACGGTCCTCCTCGTCCGGCATTACTTCGCTCAAACTCTGATGCTCGTCAGATGCGACTTCCTGTTGTGGCAGCTTGTTTATACCATTCCATGAGACTACCTACAGCTTCGACTTTGCTTGAGGCTGGCTCAGAGCTTGGACAAACCCTTCAGACATCTGTCCTTTCTTCTCTCTGGGTATCGCTGCTCGAAGAGCCTCAATCTGTATGTATTCGTCTTTCCATCGCTTCAGCTCCTGCAGGAGCCACCCGCTACACTGATCCGCCGTCTCTTCCACCCTCTCCATCGGCATCAGATGCCCACCTCCTTGCATCGTAAACTCTTTGACTCTCTCCTTTGATACACCTCCACTGCCACCCACCCCTACTCCCGTAACTTTCAGCTTGTCTGCTATATGTTCTGGTGCCGATAGATCAGACTCGGTGCCAAACACGTACAAGACCGAAGGACGAAGGTATGGCAGGAGCTTAAAAATATGGAAGCTCTCGGGTCGGTAGAAAGGTGACACTGATGACCCGTCCGTGGTCACATCCGGATGCGTCAATGGGTTGGGTGCCGCGCTCGGAGCAGGATTCGATGGCGTTACGAAATTACCTCGCATAAAGGTCATGACCTCTTGGTGTTTTGTTGTCTTGAGCGTGATGGGTACTTCAGCCTCGCTGTTAGGAGACACGACGCTACCAGACACATCCGCGCCTAGTGCCGGCGGTGTAGAAGATGCCGTTACTTCCGGGTACAGTTTCGTGGGTAATTCTCGTAGGGCATGTTCCATCCAGCGGTCCAGTACACGTTTATCCCAGGACTTGAACATGGGCGACTTCTCAAATGCTTTCCGTGCTGCTGCTCGACTGGGCCATCTGTCTCTTCTTTNTGCAGACATTCGGCCTAGGGTGTAGGCATTTAGATAAGCCGCTCGAATGATCACAGGATCAATCAATATCAAGGTGCTCAGCAGACGAGGGTGCATCAACGACAACGCTGTCAGATGCGCTCCTCCCATGCTGTGTCCCACGCCAACCAGTGGTTGTGGCATCTGACCCCGGAAGTGGTTGATCATCAAAAACAGGTCCCGAGGATGGTCGAACCATGATGNCTGTGAGGAGTGAGTCGCATGATTAAAGTGATATGCTGTAACAGACTCACGATCATTTCCCAACTTATCCTCATTGAGAACACTTGACTGGCCCTGGTGAGCTACATCTGCAATCCAGATACTGCGGATCTTGATGTCACTGGCTCTTAATCTCAGATGCATCTCATCCCATAAAGGTTCGTATAGTTCNNCTGTCATGACACTATGTCAGTAATTTTTCACAAGCTTCCTTCCTGTATAGGTTTCATTCACCTTCGGGAATCCATTGGCATGTGCGGCGATAATTGTAACATCGCCCTTCTGCGGTGATAGATTGTCAAGCGGGGTGTATTGCTTGATAGCAAGGTGAAGCGTGTCTTCTTGGCTATCAGCAGTTGCCAGTGGATACTCTCTGATATACGAGCATGGCAGTGTGTGCTCTTGTACTTTGAATGACGAAGTCGACATGTTTGAACAACTCTGGTAGTATACACATTAACGCAGGGAAGAGAGTCGAGATATTGATCGAGTTGCCGGGTGTTTGGCCGAGGTACCCCAGGTTTACCGAGGCGTCGGTTGTGGGCCTCCTTTCTCATCACCACCCATGCTAGCCATGTCTTCGTTTTCAACATACACACATTCCAGATTGCACATAGAATTTCAACATGTAAGGCAAAAGTTGAGTAGGTACTTCGTCTCAGTCGATGACTTCCAAATGCTTATTGGTTTTTTGTACTGTCACAATTCTGGCTCAACATCAACAACCAGTGGTTGTGTTGTTCGGCTTCCTTCTCAAGCGATGTACGGCCGCTCTCTATTTGAGACTATGGCTTTATAGCAAACAGACCTGGTAGAATTGCTTCTGACCTAGGTAGGTATGTTAATGTCGAACCATAATAGAAAGATCTTTGAAAGAACCAAAGCTTTGCCTCCATCTCCATGCTTCCTCGTCTTTCCACAACGAACCCATCGCATCGCGTTTCCTGACTTTCCCCATGAGTCTTCAAGAGCGAGGCTCTGGGATAGGTGCATGCTGACAGTTGACACAGGTGCATTTGTCGAGCTCATTGTTGATGATCATGAGAACATTCTCGGCAAAGGAAGTGACCGAGGCGTAAGACATGCCGCTACGGTGTCCAAAGACAAACTTGTCGACTCTCTGGCCATCTTCGTAGGTTTCGGGACGAACAAACGATGCGTAATTACGAGGTGGCTTGTTAATGAACTCGACGTAGGAGCNCTAGGTTTTGCAGTAGACATGTTAGTCAAAACTAGCACAGATTCGAATAGACAAAAGGATAGGAGTTCTAGAGAACTTACCAATGGCAGCGACAAGGTGAGGGATATCGTTGAAGGCTTTGGTGAGACGCTCGAGGAAGCTGGCGTCGTCTTCTCTGGTCATGTCATGGGGTGCATGTCCTGGAACTCCGTCGCTGTGATACATAGAGTCGCTGAGATCGATTTTGCGAACAGAGATGTTGGTTTTGGGGTCGACCTTGGCCATTTTGTGAGGTTTTCTGGTTGTCGAGATGTTATAAGTGAGATGGGCTAGATGAACTTTGTTTTGTGTATTCTACTGTTTGCTGATGGTTTGGCCACAGCCTTGATATACATGCCTGCTTTGATGTGATGTTTGCTTCTTCCTGCACCCAAGCAAAGCTCCATGTCCTGCTCACAGCGGGCGGATCGGGACAAACTATCAAAAGCGCATCAGCTGCTATAACAGAGAAAACATCATTTCGGACAAGGACAGATCAGGATGCATTGTCGCTTTGTATAAACTTTTTTTTTTGATTGGGATTGGAAGAAAAGCATTTCCCACCCAACTAGGATTACAGCCCGGACTTATGACTCGAAATCTATCAATGCTCCGTCTGACCCCAATCTAGTCACCAAAGGGTAACAAACTTCTCGTAGCTTGTTCTGCTGTGTATTCATCGATAGAGTACACAATCAGCAACAAAAACTCAGCAGGTCGGCTCTTCCGCGTCAAGCGACGAAGAGCTTCGGGTAGGCGACCTGAAAATGCTAAGTGGCTCGCTTATCAATGTGAGCCGTGGTCTGGAACGGAAATAATATCATTGAGCGTCGTGGCAATGTGGTGATCTCAAGGAAAGCGGTGGCAGATTTACCTTTCCTTGATACGAACACCTTCGACAAGCTCCGGCATGGCATTGGCAAAGGCAGGGCCAACGGACCAATTGCTGAGATTGCGCATGTGAGACTCGAAAACGGGATTGATCATGAATTCTTCATCGTCGTCCAGAACCGCAGCCGATGTAGCTTCGGCGCCATGGACGCTGTTTGCGCGCGGTAAGAGGCATTGCTGGGGATCGTATGGCCAGTTCAGCGATACGTCTTGGCAATAAAGAGGACCGTAACGCTCGTTAGGATAAGCAGAAGCATTTTTAATCATGCGGTCGCGCATCCATGGCCTGGTTCGTAAATTAGCATATAGAATCGAAACAATAGACCGATCGGCTTACCATGGCACGTTGTCGAACCAGATGGGGTGGCTGACTTCAAGCTGCGACCGGATAGGGCGAATCCATTCGGGTAGGCGTTCAAAGTTCTCCTGAGTAGGAGCAATGCGCCAGCGCATGACGAGGAACATTATATACAAGCAGGCAACCTGCTCTGGGATCTGGTCGATTTCAGGAAGGTTGGCCAAAACGTCGGTAAAGAGCTTGCTCAAAGGATGCGACTTGGGTGCGCGAGCTGGGTTGAGGAGAGACGATATAGAAGGGTAGGCCGGGCCGACTAGTGAGGAGGAAGGCGTGCCCTGGGCTGCAGCTTTGCGGCGCTCTGTCGCAAAGTCCAACATAACGCTGTCTAACTGGCAAGTGGCGTCCTGATTGCGAGGTAGACGCATATGCACTGGCATGTCGGCCATTGGAGTGGGCATGAGATCGCGTGCTGGTGGTGATGGCGGATGCACCTTACGATCCTCAGCTAGGAAATTGCCGAAGCTCTGGTTGGGTAATTCTGGTACAAGTTGATGCTGTGCTACCGGAGCGGGTGCGAGTGCGGGCTGAAAGTGCTGGTGCGGAGAGAATCGTTGTTGCTGCTGTTGTAGTTGGGCTGCTTGAGCTGCTTGAGCATACTGTCTGGCAGCACTGGCCGGAGACTGGTTCGGACGGGGTGGCTGAGGCTGTTGGGTGGGTTGGATATTGCGAAGGTCGGGATGGAGGTGTTGTTGAGCAAAAGGAGGTTGGTCGTAAAGATTGGGAGGTTGGGAGGGGTACATGAGAGCCTGAGGGGGAGGAGGTGCTTGTTGTGGGTGATGTTGAGGCATTGGCAGAGGACTTTGTTGGGCGGTAGCAGCAGCAAGGTCTAGGTGGTTTTGTCAGCTTGCGGCGGACTAGTAGGGGACGACAGAGCTACTGCTACCATTCAGACCCTGTGAGGCAGCCACGGGCTGCAGCAACGAGAAGATGGTCTGCATGCGGCGTTTGAGGTCGTCATTTTCGGCCTGGACCTGTTCGCGCTGGCGAAGGGCATTCTGCAGCTCCTGGAAAGGTTGTTGGCTCTCGAGTTCCTTGATGCGACGTTCCAGCGTCTCGATCTGGTTCCGCGTGCGTTCGCGGATGGCGCGCTGAGCCTCGCGGTCGTTGGCTCTTTTCTTTGCCAGCTGCTCCGGGGTCAGATTGGCGACGCCGCGCGAAGAGGTGCCATCGGCCTTGCGTTTCCTGCCATTGGTGACGGCGGGGTATGCCCCCGGCTGAGCTGTCGCGTCGGGCGTCGTGTGCGACAAGGGGGTGCCGTTGGCAGGCGGCATTGACATGGTGCCGTCACGCTGCGGCGTGCCGTAGCCCGACGAGCCATTCGTCGTCGCCATCATGGGCAAAATCTTGTGTTGCGCTGGTGAGCAGGTGATAGGCGAGTCATGCAGGACGTGATCTAGGGTTGATGCACGGTCGGTGGGCGCTGTCGGGCACGTCGCGGAGCTGTCGAGCGCGAGTTGAATCAAGAGCCAGCCAAGTGAGCGTTGGAGAGAAGATCAGACAGAAGCCAAGCGGCCGTGGGATTGGGCGTGGACACGAGTGAAAAAATGGGCAAAGGGAGGGGAGGACTTCGAGGATAACAGAAGACACAAAAGAGCATCGTGCTTCTTGGGCAAAGTCAAAGTTGGTGACGAGTCAGGCTGTCGAATCATGCGGCCGCCGTCTCATGCCTTCCAAGATTCTCACTCGGTGCTTGGCAACTTCTCTGTTGGCCAACGCTGAAGCCCGTCGATATGGCCGCCCTCGAACTCGTCGGCCTGTGCTCCCATAACATGTCTGCAGATCGTCGCTGTAGATCGTGTTTCTGATCCAAATGATATGCACTGGTTCCCGCCAATTGTCCCTTCATCACCAGCTTAACTCGCAAGACTAGTCTGCTAAGGTTGTGCTCAGTCGCATTTTATTTCCCTAGCTATCTTATTTCCCTCCTACTCTTGCTCCCTGTCAGACGCCGAAGTCGCCGTCAATCCAAATCCAAATTTTGACATGGCGCTCGCTTTTTGTTCCTTCCCGAATCACTGCCACAAACGACGCTCCCCACACAAAGCCTCTTCCATACTTGACCGTTTGTTCTGGGTACCGTACATGCTTGTCCACTAACAACTCGTGCATGGGTAATGATTCTGCCGAGAGTCGAGATGCGTCGCAGTATCACGGTCTTTCCACGGTTCGAACTTCGAACATCCTCAGGGAAAAAGAACCGCATGCCCCACCTTCGCAATCGCAACCCCACCAGATCATCAGCTCACAGCTCCTCTTGGGCACTGCGCCTATTTCCCACTTCCGGAAATATCACTCTCGAGTCTCGACAGTATCGTTTGCTTTCCGTTGTTATTCGCCATCAACCCAGCAGTGAAAACATTTGAGCATATCCCTGCTTCTCAATTCCGATTCTTTTGGCAGTCGTCTGGAAACGCTCCTTCAATGTCTTGTCCAATCATATGTACCTCCCGTTCACAAGCACTCTCGCCGCCCGGCAATCCTAGTCTCCACAACGGCATCCCCTTTCCCTCCTGGTGCTGCCGCCCTTCCTCTAGGCTCTACATACGCCGCTTGTCCCATTGCCACGCTAGTCAGCGCTTCGTTCTCGACGACTCTCTCCCCTATGACTTGCCCGCTGCTCAACATGATTCATGGCCATGATCTTATACATGCTGACAGTTGCAGCCCATCGCTTCTTTTTACCCATATGTACCTCCTCTGTCGCTCTTGTACAGAAAGCTCGTTTCCTAACCGAGCGTGTCATCCACGGAGTGACGATCGGCTTTGCAATTGGCCCTGCAGATGAAGTCTCTCGGATTACGTGTATGTGTCTACAAACATCCATCGTTTGATCCTTCCGATCCTTAGAGGTCAAGAGTTGAGTCATGTCCGCAAGATTCAGCCATGACTCGAGCTGTTTCCAGGGCTACTGATGAATTCTACCTCGGCTGTGGATGGCGTGCTGTATAGCTGTGTACAGTATGTCCATACCATGTGAGTCAGCACTCCAGTACTTGACTCGTCCAAACAGATCTCAACCACGTGGATTGAAAATTCTCAACGAACCACAGTTTCACCTTGCTATGGAGGTTTGCCACATCCCCAAGGGCCAAGGATGAAGACGATGGAAACCCTAGTGGTCGATCCATGAAGCTACTGCATGCAGCTTATGGGGAACCGTCAAATATCTGCGTGCGCACCAAACGCTTTCGAGGGGGACGTGACGGCCTTGCCTCATCGCTATCACTTTTGAAGGCAAACCGTTACGCTGTGCCTCCAGAAGATCTCTCCATGCCATCTCGAGATAAGGGTCGTCTTTCTTAATTTGCTTTCCTCTACAGCTATGTGCCTCCCGATGAAATCCGAGATTCCAATTTTCGTCCGTTTCTGCCTCGGCTGGTAGGACATTTGCTTCCAAAAGCATCAATCCTGGCCTAATGAGCAACATATCGGATCGCTAACGGTCCATTCTTTTTACTACAGGCTGCACTCCAGAAATCACTGCTGCGTTTGTGTGTTCATGAAGCAATCTAGGCAACAGGGTCCATTGCTTGCAAGCGCCTGGTCAGATGCCAAAGAATTGGTAAGTTCGTGGTCCGTAGCAATGCTTCATCGCCATTTCTTTTGAGATGAAAAGTCCCGACATTGGCTTCTCTGACGGTTGTGATGCCGTGCTGTGCGTGACTACGAAGTTATGAATGTCTACCTGAACACAATAGCAGCAACAAACACTATCGTTGCCTGATCATCGGACACGCTAGCATTCTAGTTGAAATCTCGTCAAGCATCTCAAGTTCCATACTCTCTCACCATTCGATGGTTGCCGTTGTTAGCCGCTGCTTACAGCGAAAGGCACCCGCAGGCGTCCCGAAAATATGTTTCTACTCCTTCAACGATGCCACGGAACTTTAACTGCGGGTACACGGAATATCAGGGAAACACCTCCGCCAACGTCAGAGACTCGTCTCTCACCGACATCTTGATCGACACTGATGCGTCCTCATCAGTGGGATGGGTTCTCCTGGTTTGTCTAAGACCGCATCTTGAGCAAATATGCCGACTGACTCATGGCTCAACACGAACGTCTGACTCCTTTTTGATATGCATCAGCACGTTTCGCACCCTGCGCTAGACCTTACAGGCGGGGTGCGTTCGAGTCGGAGTCTTTTCCCCTACAAATTGTAAGATGGCTTTGCGCACACGGAAAGAGCAACCGCATTCTTCTTAGTGGCTCAAAATCAGACTTGTTTTGAGCCAACGGCAGCTTGATGCACGAAAGAACAGATCTCACGTTCGACAGCACATGCTCGACTTCAGCTTTCCTGCGTGGATTGACGAGTTTCACTCAGGACCACCGTCCAATCTGTCGTCAAGCAGCATGTCAGGATTCAATCCTCGCACAAACTCTCACTCAATTTCCAGTACCACCAAACAACATACGATCAAAGAGTAGTGTAGTTGCTTCGGAGAAGTGATGCTCGAGCATCTGCAGTCATTCTATATCTGCAATAGCTACTACTGCAACTTTTTTCACCGCCTGTGCTACTGGACCTGTTTATCGACATGCTGCTCAATCGAATGGTACTGTGTCCACGCACTGTGATCGAGGGATACGCGTTCCTGTCTGACCGCAAACTGACCGTCACTAATAGTCATACCTGCAGCACTCCCTACAAGCTAACGTAGAAGATGTGTAGACGTCTCTATACTCGCCCATACTCGCCCGATTCTGTGTGCAAGGCACACGACACTCCATTTAGGAAAAGCGACCAGCCTTATGGAATTACATCATTCTTTTGTAATTCTCGAACTTTGAGATTGTTACGAACGGAACTCGCCATCGTAACATCCCGGAGCATAGCGTGATCCGTTCAAAATTCAACCGTATCCCTTCCATGTCCTTACTCGTTGGGCTTACTTTTTATATCTCCGCTGCGCCGATGGTCTGGGTCGTGCTTGCTGCCAAAATCTTAGTTGCCGTCCCCGCGTGAAACCCTCTGCTTGCACGTGGCGGACCTCAGTCTGTCATGAGCCACTAGCACGTCGGACCGAGCGTGGAAGTTTCTGCAGTGGCTTCCAGAAGACGATATCGGACATGTTGACCGAGGCTGCTGCTGTTGGTATGACCCTGCCCATGATACCCAAACGTCTTCCTTGCCGAGGAAATTGACTCGCTCCACAAGCGACCGTCACTTCTCGAGAGGCTTGTATTGTACACAGATATAAAGTTCTGGAAGCCACAATCTTGTGCAGTATCTGGTTAACACGAAGCCGCGTACGCCAGCTTATACTTCGAGATCTACCGAAGAAGAAATTCGGATGCCGTGATTTTGACACCAAACTTTGCACACGTCAAATATCAGTCGATCACACATGCTTCAGATGCTCTGTGCCAAATTCACTTTGTACATGCCGAATGATGTATAGAGTTTCGCGGATTGTTTCCTCTTTGTATACGAACCCGCAGTAGAAGGATATATGTGGCTTACAGCACAATCATCATCGCCGTAGTCCGGCCTCAACCATGGACACAGACATATACACATTTAACTCCAGACATCGTGTCATATATGGGCTTGCTACGACTCAGCATCTTATTAGGCAAATTCACTCTCAGAGCATTCTGAAGTGTGTAACAGGGCAATCAGTTAGAGTTTGTAGCCCTTATTGATGACGACCTTCAAGCCCGAATATGTCATTCTAACTTGACGTTCCCCAACGACGTGGCCTTCTCAAATACATTGGAATTGAAGACAGGGTCAAAATTCACTACAGGAACGGACTGACGTCCACCTCCGCGGCTCTCTGC